TTGAAATGGAACCAGCAATTAAGTCGCTTTCGTAAACAACGCACAAAAGTGTCATGCTTGAAAACAAAATAAAATACGGAATGTAAATGTGATACCCTGTATTAGATATAAGCTATTCTGACTCACCCCGGCACCTGCGAATCGCACACCGTTGTATTTACTGCCATGCACCGTAGTGCATATGTGGGACTGAAAAAGTAATTAACGATGGAGATATGAGATGAAGATAAAAGTGAGAACCAGATTAGAAGAAGATTTTAAGGTTTAAATTAATAGCTAAACTACATGATGCTCTTATGAAAATGTTTTTTGGAACGAAAGATGCTCGATAAAGAAACCAAGGTATTAAATATGTACATGGGCTATGATGAAATGACTTAGACTGCTCAAGATCTCTCCCAGCAATCTCATTGGCAAACCTAGCAAATGGGAAATCTTAACGTTATCAAAATTGGCTAGCAATTTCAGTTCATTGGGTTAAAATTTTAATTCCTTTCACAAATATATCTACAATGCCTGCCAAAAGTATTTGGAACACCCACCAATTTACGCTGCATTTGATATCTTTCATTCCTTTCATGAAAAAAATTGCTACTTCCGCCCCTTCCCCCTCAAACAATGTTGATGATTTAGAGAAATAGCATAAAAGAAGCGCAAAAGAAAGTGCTTCCTAAAATCCTAACCCGTTTGATAGTAAACCAACATTGTTCCGTGAGGGAGAGGGGGATGATTGGTTTTGACCTTGGAAATTGATGTCAGTGTTCCAAGACTTTTGGCAGGCATTGTAAGTATGGCATATCAGCTGTTAGAAACATTGCACGTTGTCCTCTTTTGTAAATAAATATAGAAAATCTTAGAATAATACTAACTTAAGCTCTGTTCTGAAGCATCGAAATAAATTTTTCGACTTTCCGGTTTTTCGAAAAATGTTTACACTAAGCAAATTTGAACCATGACGACAAATTTAAAGAAAATGTTCAAAATTGCGAATGTAATTCTTTAACGTCTGCATTCCAGTTTTCGTAATATAATCAGAATTTCGTAAGATTAATTACTTATCCTTTTCACACCCACCTTGAATGGTAGCAAGGACATCGCTTTTTCGATCAAAATCCTCATTAAGCGCTGCGAGTAGAATACAAAGTCATCCCTTGCGCAGTTCTTGTCCCTGCGTAGGAGAGGAGAATTCAATTGCAAATGGCTGATTGCTACTTTGCCACAACAGTAGCACTAATGCTGCTTCAAGGCAATCAAAAGACACGAGGCTGGGTGGCTTAAGACATCTGTCAATCAAAATTTGGCCAATGAGCGAACATGATTCCTTTAACGTGCTTTTTGATTGGCTGGCTGAAAATTATAAGCCATCTGTCAATCAAAAAATGGCCAATAAGTGGGTATGATACCCTTCGCGCGCTTTTTGGCTGGCTAACACTGATTGGCAGATGGTTTATGCCTCTTTTCATCTGTCCATTGCATTCAATTTCACAACAGCCACATTTATAGGGATAAAATCACACAGACAAATTTAGAACTAAAACACAAACTAGCCAATCTTATCATGAATTACCAACTTATCATATCATCGAGGTTTTGGTAAGATACAAGAGGGTTGAAAACGTGCTAACAGGCACTAGCCAAAAAATAAAGAAAGGGGGCCAAAGTATTTGAAGAGAAAGGAGGGAGACTGCAAGGGGTACCTAGCCAGCCTGTGCATTTTACGACAGAACATTTTGAATGTTAAAATAGCAATATCCAGGTAGGACTGACAGATTTTTCAACTTTCTTTTGCCATATGCTTATGCCTCGATATATCTTACTCACAAAAAAACATAAATCTTTTTTCGACGTATCATGGTCTATACAAGAAAATTCATATTCTTTCTCTCAATAACATCAACGTGGCCATGAATTTATATGCAGTTAGGGAGGGTAGCAGAATAAATTTGCAAGGATTATACTTTGTTTTCTGAACGCATATTCAAAAGAAGCAAAGACACGACGAAAAGGGAAGGGTGAACAATGAATCTGGGAATTTAGGGATTTGGGGACTTAAGGATTTGGGGATCTGTGTATCGGAGATGGAATGAAAGGTGTCAATTCAAGTTTGAAGGTCAGGTAGAATCTGAAATCGTTTTTGAAAAAATAGCTTAATATATCATAAAGTAAATAATTTCAAATGAATAATCCGTTGACAGTATCATTTTGATAACGGGGATGTGACACGGTACATCCCACAAGCTTAAAGAAAGTTAAAAAAGATCTGTGGGTTAAAGACCAAACATCCAATAGGAAAATCATTGCAAAATCAAACACCTGTGTGTACCCATGCTTATCACAATTCCCTTTCGCGCATCGAAAGATCTTTGTTCATGTCTAAAAAGCTGAATTCTGGCTAGACAATAGTATGCGCGAAGGAGGCAACTGTCCTTAACAATAAAAAGAGTGCAATGTATGGTCACTTAATAACCAATCATGATTAGTGATTCATGAGGCTGGTTAAGGCAACTGTCCTTAACAATAAAAAGAGTGCAATGTATGGTCACTTGATAACCAATCATGATTAGTGATTCATGAGGTTGATTAAGGCAACTGTCCTTAACAATAAAAAGAGTGCAACGTATGGTCACTTGATAACCAATCATGATTAATGATTCATGAGGTTGATTACCTGATGATTGCTTGCAACCCTCTGTGCTGTGGAGTATCTTCGACAATGTGTAAATTATCAGGCAACGGCTGTCCTTTATGAGCTGTAACCAGCTTTGATCTGCATTAGAAAGGCATAAGATAGAACTTCAATCAAATTATAACTGAGGGTGCTTCAGTGGGGGTATTGGAGTCTATACTGGTATCTGGGGGTATTGGAGAAAGGACTGGCAAAGGTATAGGGGTAGCAAACCCATCCCTTAATAGCGGTGGGAGAGAGATTATTCAGCATTAGGTAGTAACATGTCCGGTGTTTATGAAACTGCAGATATAAAATATCTCAGCCGGGGGGGGGGGGGTTGGTTCAGGACGCTGTTATGCGTTTTCTCTGGGGAAAAAGAACTGTAAAGGCAATATTTAAAGTGGAATGAAATTTTACAAATAATGTTTCGTTTGAGGTCTCTTGATGGAAAACAAATGGCAGACTTGCATATTCAGACTTGCAGTCTACCTCATTTTCAGATCTTTGATCAATGTACCTGGTCCCTTTCTATAGCTATTTCCCTATCTTCGTCTATCGTAAATCCTCGCATAAGCCCCTAACTTTGACCCCATCCCCCCTTGAATAAGCCCACTCCCCAAAATATTTACATGTAATAAGGTCCCAGTATTAAACATAAGTTCTTTTCCCAACAAATCTTATCATCTTTATATTTGAGCACACAGAAAAATAAAGCAATATTGTGTTAGTTCGGGGTCAAGCTATACCATTAATTAATCATTAAATTTACAGTAATATAAGGACAAAGACAAAAAACAGAATAGTGAAGCAACATCTAAAACTGGGTCATAGAAATGAGAATGTAAGGTTTAGAAACCTCGACTTGTATTTATTTCTATTTAAAAACAAAGAATGCACTTAAACTGGCTAATGCATTTAAAACTACGCGATAAATGACTGAGAATGGGCTATGGGAATTAAAAGTAGAATATATTCAAATATAAAACTAAGTTGTTTTTCTACAAACCTGAAATTGAATCCACGCTGTTGGGAAGAACCAGAATCCATAATTAGGCCTATTTTAACAGCGTTGCTTTCAAAACTTACAACAAAATAGCGACTAATTACAGGCTGAACGAGATGAATAAAAGATAACGTTAGGTGCTTGCCTTATCTCTGGGAGTTTTAAGAATAGCTGCTAGTTACAAACCGCAAAAATGTTTTAAAATCGCTGATTTTGGTACTTCAGTCTTTAGGGAGGAAATTGAGGTTTTTAAGTAGATAGAGGAAGCACGTTCAGAGATTTAAAACTGCCTTGCAGCTGGCATTGAGATAGAAGAACAGGTTCTAATGATCGCACAGATCTAGGCTTTTTTGCTTCGACTTAAGTTACTGAAGGTTTCCACAGTCTTCTTTTAAACTGTCTCTTGAAACTCCTTTTGACAACGTTTAACAATGCGAAGATCTTTCCTTGCTTTGATTCTGAAATCTAATTCTTTCCAAACTACAATTTCTTTACATTTTCTAGCGTTTCCTTTCATTTAATTTAGTATCGAATGCATGCTGCTTCCTGCGATGTAAGAGCTTTTTCTGGCATCTTTGCCTAAACAGTTCATTTATAGGCCACTCTTATCAACCCTCAACAATTCCTCAATGGAAGAATACAAACCCAAGCCTTATTATCAAGCCTTTTAGAGCAGGTATTAGGAAAAACACTATTATTTCCTTTTGAAATCTATTTGTTGTGTTGATACAGATAATTTAATTCGACAAGCACAGATTGTCTAATGAAAACAAACCTTTTCAAGCTGCGTTCGAACATGCTGCACAATCAGATTGATAGCAACCGTATTTTCTCCCTCTACAAAGCAAAAATACTGCGTAAACCATAGTTAATTAAAACCAGCATACCTTAATAAAGAAAGATAATATCGATTAAGCATCTAAATTTAAGCGTCTGCTTGAATACTAGTGGATGGTATAGTTCAATAAAGGTTTAAACTTTCATAAACAATTGAATAAGAGTTAAATTATATCATTGCAAGCAAAGGAAATTTTCATAAAGTAAAAATGGCTTGAGATAAATCCATTATTTTGTTATTGAAGCATTCTTTCAATAATTATTGAAATGGTTCTTAGGAAGAGTGTTAGGGACTCGTTCAGCTCTCATTGCTGTCAGGGAACATTATAGTAATATCATTGCTTGCATTAAAAAAGAACCAAATAATGGGGCCAAACGATGAAAGATAGATTCAGTACTCTTTTTTAAACCGATATAGAAAAACGAAGGCGAATTAAGGAACTTATAACAATAACTGAGAAAGTTGTATATAGCTAAGGAATTTGTTTGCATTTATTCCAATTGAAGAACTGGAAGGTCAAGTCATGTTTTCCAGTGTTGACAATGAATTACTCACCCCATGGCACAACAATGTCTGAAGTTTTCATTGACGGGGCAATGTATTGCTCGAACATCTGCGAAGACAATAAACACTAAAAAACGAACACTAAACAAAGAAAAAAACAATAAACAAATTCTCTTGACAAAGAGCCTCGGGTTTCATTTCGTGATTTCTCTAGATAAATCATAGATTATTTTAAAAAAGATTGCATCATTTATCAAAAAACCACTGGGTGTTTTAGTTTTGTGATATGATGCAATTCAGAAATTCGGTTCCAAGAATTCTCAAGATTCAAAAGTCTCTAAACGTCCTACAGTTGCCATAAGCATTATAGTAAAGGTAACTTCAATTAATACCAAAACTGCTTACAAACTGACAAGTTCCTAGTTGGTAACACAAATTTTGACCTTGAACAATCAACATTAAACAACAACAAAAAGAACAAGTCGTGGGCAAAACTTTCACGAGAGCCAGAATTTTTAAGACAGCACATTCCTTGAACTTCGCAAATTTAAAAACATTTGTCTAAAGCAATTATTCTCAATCTCACGCTCCTTGCTACATTATAACCTTAATAAGAATTTATGCTTTCCCCTTAAAACTTTCAAAAAAGATGCATTAAAAGCTACAGAGTGCATGTCAACAACAATTTATTCAACAGTTGTCAACTTGTTGTCACCGTTTTGTTCTATAGCTCAGGTATTACCGAGTCACTTTGTTGCCCTAAAGATTTAGTCAGATCTTGAAGCAGATAAAAACATTCTAAGGTTGATCAACGCTTTTTCATTTGGGCCTAGAGGGATCAAATCCTAAGAGAAATGAATCATCATCGACATGTTCCGACTACAAAACAACCGCTTGTGGAAAAGAATCTCACGAGACCATGAGGATTCTCGCCTGGTTTTGATGGCTGATGCCCTAGGGAATGTTTTTTAAGGGATAGAGTGACGCAATCTCTAATCATTGACCGTTGCCGAGTCTGTATAAGTGGCACAAAATACAGCAGAAGTTAGCTTATACTTACCGGCTTTACAAATGTATCATATTGTTTGAGAACGCCAATCAAGTCTCGTCCCCTCTCGCTTATATCGCGCTTAAGACGTCGTGCTAATCGAATATCAGAGTCTGTGTCCACAAATACTTTCATGTCTAAGATCTAATAGAAAACAAAAAGGCAGTTAAAAGAGATTTGATACAGCAAGCGGGAGGCAGGTGTCCATTTTCTGTGGGGTTGGGGGCAGTGTGAGGGGCAGTGTCAAGAGGAGAAGAAACTCGTTTACCTTGCCCTCCATGCAACCGCTTGTCCCCTAAGGGGGGAAGAATTCTAGAATACCAATTCTTACCCCCCCCATTTGACATAAAAACTTGACAGGTTCCTCTGGACAGAGTTGATGAAGATTATAATTAATGTTGAGGTCTCTCTAGAATATGAAACGCAGAAAAGAGGTGCATCTTTAAATACAACAAAACAACTTTTGAGATTTGTTAGAACTTTAGAAAGTCAGAAATGCTATAATACTGCAGTGTTACACAAAACATCAATCTTGAAATGCAGCAAAACTATGTTGATTGATAAATTAATATCACACACAGTGGATGACATAATGCATGGATATATCAATTAAGTAAAGAAAATGCTTACATCAAGAAGTTCTGGTGAAACAAAAGTCATAATTCCCTCAAATATGACAACATTTGCACCATAAACAGTTTTCTGGAAATCAAAATTAAGCAAGTAATTAATACTGTTCAATTGCTCTTTTAAACAGTAAAGTTTCAAACTTTCCTTTCTGAAATTGATTAAGTCACAGAAAATATCATATCAACATCAAACTGTTTTTCATAAAAGGCTCAAATTCAAAGTTGATTAAAGTTGCCAAATAAAACTGTATTGCTTGCCAGATGTTTTTAAAATGAAATTCAAATGAAAATTTCAATATGGCAGAATAACTGAAAAATCTGATTTGCTTTGGAATTATTTCATACAAAATATGTAACTATGCTTTAGTTTGTTTACTTGTTTCAATACCATTTCCATTTATGTAGGCAACAAACATAGGCAACTATAAATTTAATGGCACTGAAGTTATCAGTATTTCAAACAAAATATTGTCATAAAATAAACAACACTCACCTGTTTTGCTAGTCTACTATGACTTGTAAAGTCATAAATTGGAACCTGATAAAGAAGAAAAATTTCTAAATGATAATGATCCAGACAAAATTTGAGATATTTCACACTGTAATAATGTGGAAGAAATCTCTTCTCTCCAATTTCCTTTACAAAAATATTGAAACAATCTTCAAGGGAAACTTTCTGACTCATCAGGCTTGGCAGTTTGAGGAGAGCCATTGCTCCTGCCCCCGCCATGCTCTCTTCAAATGACAGAGGTGAGCTACAGATTTCTCTCCGAAATTGCTCTAAAACAAGTTGCTCTCCTTGAAATCAATTTCCCTTTGTTTTAAATTCATATTTACCTTTACATAGCTCACCTTAAAGCTTTGCAGTACATCAGAATTATAATATTTATAACCACAGACTTAAAATACCTGGACACTTCTTCCCTCTTTCAGTTTCTTCATTGTTTCAACAGCCAGGTCAAAATCAAATGCGTCTGGATGATCAAAATTGTATTCATTTCTTCCAGCTGCTTCATGTTGTTCATGGGACAATACCTTGGAATAGGAAAGTAATGAATCAATTTAAACAGATATAAATTGCAATTTAGAACCATCCTTTTCAACATACCAAGACCTGTCAGATTAATGTATCAATTCAAGATATAGCTAACTTCAGTTCAGCTGGATTCAGTTCAGTTATTTTTATTTCAAATCCCACTACATATAAATAGTCAAAACGTTTAACAACTTGAATAGTTACAGGCCACAAACTTTAAAAACAAGGCTGCTGATACAGATTACAGCATACAATAGAGATTAACATATTTAATAAAAAAGATTGGCGATAATACATGACTAAAGAATTTGCATGAAGCTATGCTGATCAAGAAGAGTGCACCCCCTCTTCGCTTACTGTCAAACCAAATCTTGCTTCACAATTTGTGAATGTGAGCAATGTTGCTTTGAGTTAAGAAGCAAAATGAAAAATGTAAGATGCAAGATGCAAAGCCATTCAGAAAGCAAAAGTTAATTAAGCAAAAAAATTAATTTTCAGACAATCTGACATTTTACACCAAATTAAAAATCATGGGAAGTAGAAACATTCTTCTAATTTTATAACGTAACAAGCCTCCTTTGCAACGCAGAAGGTGAATCTTATCAATGTGATATCACATTCCAATGGAAAACATACAAACCTCTATTTATTGATATTGGAAAGTAGAAAATTTTGAAAATTAGTCAGTAAACAGCAAATAAATTAGATAAAATGAATTAAAATAAACATCTAAAACAAACCTTGTAGAAGGAGTCCAATGAGAGGATAACAACCCACGGAACTCCAAGTTCGGAGATGATCTTTTTGGCAACTGTGGTCTTCCCTGACGCACTTCCTCCACATATACCTGGAATGAAAAAATGAATTGATTCAAAATTTTATTACAGCTATATCTGCAAACTTATGGAATAAATAACCCTTATTCTAGTCATAAAAAACCACATATGCTCTGCAAATCGGCTGATATTAATTTTTCTACCAATTGCCGACAGTAAAAATTGACAATCTCATGATTTGGGCCTCTGAAATTATAGACGTTGAACTAATGTTTGTTACAATTTATTTAATTCCAAGGACTGATTTGGGTAGCCTTAACAGAGGAATGTATGGAAAATTCAAATCAAAATTCTAGTATTGTATGTTGCCAAAGAAAAAGGGAAGTAGGCAATAATTATAATGTATATGCAAACGTTTCCTGTTATAGACATATGAACCATGTCCCCTATACCTGTCTTTGTTTCGGAAGTCAAGGTAAAGTGCCATTTTGGAGCTCATGGAAGTGTTACTTTAATGCCTACATGTAACTAGCCAATCTACTTTTTAAAATGCTTCCTACCTTTATGCTCACTGTCACTTAATAATTTGAAATTGAACATTGTCTTAATTCTAATGAAAATTGACCTCACCAATCATGAAGGCTTTTTTCAATTGTCCATTTGAATCGTACCAAGGTGGTCGTCCTGTGAAGAATTAACAGTATAAATTCACTAGCCAGTTATTTTGGCTCGGTTCAAGAAGAACAAATATAATTAGCTACTCTGTACACTGTTAATTACCAAGCTAAACAATCAAGTTCATTTCAAAACTGTTAAAAGGCCATACCAGGAATAAATTTGCAGGGCTGAAGTCAATCGCACTCTTTGACAAATCAAGGGGTGCATTGGGGTGCATTTTTTATTTAAGGATAATGAAGTATTTATGAACATTTATCAAAAATATGTACAAAATTTGAAAATTTCCTGATTTTTACTTATTCAATTTGAACAAGGGTATACATTTTTATTTTTTCAAAGCTATTTTGCAAATGGAAAATAAAATTTTTATGAGAAAGAACAAAACAACATAAAAACGGAGGGGTTTCAAAAGTGTAAATCCTCCCAAACAGAGTTTTTCGAAAACAGGCTGTACCCATAAAAACAGAGGTTTTAAAACTCTCCAAAAAATTTGAAAAAGCAGAAGCAGTATGAAGGGTAAAAACCACAAAAACAAACATTTTTTACTCTGATTCTGTGAGCAGTGTGAATGCACAAAATTAGACATTTTCCTCTTTATAGACAATGCAGTTAACGGGGCCCTGTTTACATGATGCTGTTTTCATTTCATATCATTTGGTTTCGTACTGGATCTGCCTTTCTTTTACACAAAATTATCCCGTCTGATATAAATAAATAAAAAATAAATACAAATACAGTCTGGTTTGGTTCATACTGTTTTTGCCTTTCAAAATGAAAACACTGTGATGTGGGATGAAACCAATATGATACATCTCTTTGTTTGTGTAAACTGTTGGATCTGATATCAAATGAAAACACTGCTGTGCAGAGACAACCAAACAAGCAAACCCCCTGCAGTATAGCGTTCTGATGCACAACAGCGTTTGCATGTAAAAGGAGCCCAAAATCGAAGATGAAACGGAAACAATAACAAATAAACAGGCACAAATTTCATGTTGACTTGGGAAACTAATTACATGATATGAACTGAAAACATTATTGGTTAAACAGGGCCTAAGAATGGTTTCTGTAAAGGTGGTATAACTCATAGCCCTGACAAGGCAGGTGCCGAGCTGTGTGCATGCGATAACATGCCTTTCAGATGATGGCCTGTGTCAATAAATACTATGCTACATAGAGAAAAATATTTTGAAGCTTTTAATATTTACAAAGAAATCAAAGGTCCTGCAATAACACATACTAGAATAACACATACTAGTTCACATTAGATCTTGGTAAGACAAATACTGGGTTTTAAGAATCTTTTTTACTCTTTGCAACATTGCAGCTATGGGATGTGAAGAAGACATTGTTGCAATTAACGAATAGATAGACACATGATATTTTAAGGCCGTTATGCAAGTGCAGAGTTTGGTTCTGCTGGATTTATTTTTAACTGATAAGTTCTTCTGTCTCTGAAGTTGACACTAGGAATACAAACTGTTGTTTAGTTTCCTAAAGTTTTAGACATTGTTTATTTTGGGAGTAATAGATGAGGCAATTTGATAAATGGAAATGGGTATTAAAATAGTTATATTGCAGCCTGAATTATTGCCCCTGGCCCAGTAGACAACCAAAATTATATAAAATGCATGTCCATGAATAATTTCTTTACCAGCTGTGTAGACAATTTTGGATCTTGTTTTTCCTCCTCTCTCAGATATCTTCCTGGCTTTTGTTTTCCGTGATGGGGAACTTGGCATTTGTGGAGTGCCTTCTTTTTCAAAAACATCTTCATTACTGTAAGTAGAAAATAAGTACTAGATTAGCCAAATTATAAGATAAAATTTTCAAATTGATAAGAAATTGAAAGGTATTTTAATAGACAGAGGGCATAATACACACCTATGCAGTCCAGAGCACTAATTATGGACACTAAAATTTGGTTGGTAGAAACTTGATACTTGAAAAAATCCTTGATTTCGACAAATCAATCGCAAAAATCTTTACTTGTCTCCCCCATATACTTATTTTTTCATTGCTACTATTACTAGATTATATCATTCTGGTTCCTCTCAGCTTCCTAGGCAACTATACATTGTTAAAATTTTTATCTACCAGGGTGCAATCCATGTACTTAGGCCCAAAGATATCTGGCGTACACCCAGGTTTTTTTTCAGCGTTCAGCGTGTAAACCACTAAAAAATTTTTGGTGTACTTAAAATATTTGTTAGTTGGCATGCTAAACATGAAGTCATGTACATAGTTAACATAAAATAAATACTCATACACCACATATTTCTCTAATAATCAGTTTTCTTTGTTTGGCGCAATAATATTTACAGTTTTACTAACTGCTTTTATATTTTCGGCGTACCTAAACAAATGTCCCAGTGGACCTTCTGCATACAGTTGACATGGAATGCACCCTGGATTATTTATATGGACTGTAACTTACTATATAATTATCTTATTGTTTACAGACAACAGGATTTCGAAGATAATTAATAGAGAGTGCGGGAAAAAAACCGACCCGAGCGAGGCTCGAACTCACGACCCCTGACTCTGTACGTCAAGTGCTCTACCGCTGAGCTATCGGGTCGTACTTTCAAGCCAACACCCAAGGCCGAGTCATTCACCCTCACTGCCCCTCTCTTTTACCAGATACACAGGGGAGCCATCGCAGCTCCATCACAAAGTGCAGAGGACCTGAAGAATGAGAGAAGACTGCCCACACCAGGAGGGCCATCGCAGCCCCAACACTGGATAGGGTTGAAGAGAAAGTTTACAGACAACAGGATTTCGAAGATAATTAATAGAGAGTACAGGAAAATAACCGACCAGAGCGAGGCTCGAACTCACGACCCCTGACTTTGTACGTCAAGTGCTCTACCGCTGTGTATCTGGTAAAAGAGAGGGGCAGTGCGGGTGAATGACTTGGCCTTGGGTGTTGGCTTGAAAGTAAGACCCGATAGCTCAGCGGTAGAGCACTTGACGTACAAAGTCAGGGGTCGTGAGTTCGAGCCTCGCTCGGGTCGGTTATTTTCCCGCACTCTCTATTAATTATCTTATTGTTATAAATTTTCTGTGGAAATATGGCGCAATATAAGTGCTTTTATTTTTCATATATATTATTATAAATTTATAACTAAGTTACTGAATATAAAATGAATTTGAATTTTAACACCACTTAGTCCAATTTGCATTTTATTTACTTATTGGTTTAGCCCAAAGATTTTTGGTGAAGCTAATTAGCAACATAAACATCGCCATTCTCTGCATAATGGATTTAATTGTTTTTTATTTGGTACAGGCAAATAAATGTTTGACATACAGTCATGAATGCCGTGGCAGGCATGGTTTACATGGAATCACCTCGGCCCTGAATTGGTGTCTAACAAGATGGAAAACTTGTCTGCATTCTCAGCTACTCTCTTTAACGAAAAGTCCCAATCTCAATTTTGTTGCCAGACAAAATAATTTTCTTGGTTACTTGCACCGCATAAGTAGCATATAAAATCACTTGATGTTTTCAGAAATAGATATAACAATAATTTTTATAATTCATTCAGACCTTGGAGCAAAGAATTGGGCTGCACTGTGCAGTGGCGTAGCGTCTATGTATGCTACGCTTGCGGCGCAAGCGTAAAAATTTATAGACAAATTCTAAAATTCTTGCAACACTTTCAATGCATAACAATTTCCGCAATAAACGGCTTCTCTTTCTTGTCATGAGCAGCATGCAGTGAACTCTAGCGCCAACAGGCCAATTAGCCCCAAATTGGCTATTTTTATAAGTAAACAGATCGCTAAAAATTATGAAATTCGAAAAATCTGAAAAACTGAAGCCCCTCCACATCACTCTTTTTGCCTGTCCAAAATAAGAGAAACATGTGATGCTCCAGTGCAGCTTCAGTGCAACTCGAGAGAAGCTTCTGAGAGAAGTGAGAATTTTCCGGACTGGAGCTTGCGGTCGGCCTGAGCGCAAGCCTTCCCAAATATTTGATAATCCACAACATGTTTCTACCTATAAGCTGCTTTTTGCGAATACTCTTTGCGTGATAGATCATTTCAAATCCAATTATTTTCCTTTCTTTACTTTGTGACTGTTGAAAAGAGAAAAAGTTTCGTCAAAGTGGGGTCAGAGTCTATTTGTCATGATCCGCATTCCGTAATTCAAGTCAAAAGGCTTGCCAGTATAGTCAGAATTTACGGACCAGGGCATGCGGTAGACCTGAGCGCAAGCCTTGCTAAATACATGATGATTTGCCGGGACTAACTTTCTGAAACTTTACACATGGAAGCATCTTCAATTCTAACAACTCTCACAGCTCACTATTTTCATCTTAGTTAACTATGAGAGTAAAAAATGAGCAGAAACTGTTGCTCCTGTTCGCTTAGGCTCTGCAGTGTGTTAACAATTTTGCAATGTGGAGAGCTCCTTCTTGCGGGAATCCCCAGCTTCATAATAGCATAAAAAATTCTTACATTAGGTGGGCATTAGGTGATGCCTTTTCTTGAGGAATATGAATAAGAATAAAATATTTTGCAAAGCAGTTTTAGCACTAGGAGTTATTCTGAAAAGTCTTGCTAAACAACTGAGCTTTTTTCAAAAACTTTCGCATGGGTGATAATTTTTCCCTTGGCCCCTCTTCACTTGCCAACCTCTGTCGGAGCCTCTGATGCTAAGAATAGACACCTTGATTGATTAGAATTAGAGTACAAATGATTTGTTACTTTGAAAATCAAAATTTGCTATCACGATTATCATTAATTACCGCTTGTATTTTTTAGAAACTGAAATTACGATTACATTTATTCAACATAGCCGTATATTTTATGTTACCGCATGCCTAAGTTCTGCGCTCACGCTACGCCACTGGCACTGTGTCTTTTTAGCATACCGAATGGTAGCTCGTGTGGTTTGAATGAAAGCAAATTCGAAAAATGCCTAGGCCGATTTCATTAGACGCCTTGCTTCGGTTTCGTATGCAATGTCATATCTTAGCCATGCTTACCTTTCTGATCCACTAGAACAAACAGGTGAGTCTGACCTACTTGTTCTTGTTTCGGTGTCATCAGCCATGAGGAAACTTTAAAGTTTGATTCACTGAATCTCAACTCTCGTTATCCACGTTTCTTCACAAAGTTGTCCTGCAAATCGGTTCCACAGGGTGGGCGCGTGATACAACAGCAACAACCAAAACAAACTATTGAAAATGACTAATTTGATTCGCACAAAGCTGTCATTTGCACTTCTTCGTAGTGCCATACTATGCATACGTGGTTCCAGGAATAGGCGAAGAAAGGTTGAAGTGGACACAACCAACAAAGAAATTGTAGAAACAATATCCCGGATTGATTAATTAAAATTGCTGGAAAAAATAAAATTCAAGTTATTTTCTAAACGTGTGTGAACCGGCGGCCTTTCGGTATATAAACAGCGCCAAATGTTGAATCATCGATGAGAAAAAAAAACTATTGAAAATTGCAACATTTCAGTTTTAAAAACTTTTGTAAAATCATTTCAGTTTTAAAGACTCGGATTCGATAATAGAAATCTAGTTTCGATAATAATTATATATGGTTACCTTCACTACTACAATAGCCTTCACCAGGCTTGATACATAATGAAATGAGCACTGCACAATGAAAGATTCGCGAGGTAGCAATATTTTTAATTGTGAAAATTATTTGGGGGTAAGGGGTGGCTAATCCGTTGTAAAGTTTTTTTTCTTGATTGGCGTCCAGGTCTTTTAGCAGCTGTGATCTTAATGTGGAGTTAAAGTCTGCTTTAAGCTTAGATATGACCTTCTGCCAAAGTATGAATGAATGAAAAAATTTGATGATGAAGCACGCATTTCAATTTCTAGCAAATGTCTCCCAGAAGAAGCTTCCGCGCATCTTTATTTAGTTTTTTCAAGATAAACTCAAGACTGAAATTGTGTTTAAAGCATGAAAAATTGGTCTGGGAATGCATTGGTAAGACAACAGACCTATCATAAATATTGAAAATATCGGGAACTTTTAAATCTTTGCTACAGGCGCCAAAACAACTATTAAAACGAAAAGTCTAACTTTTCTACTAAAGCATAAAAGTAAAAAGACCAATTTTTTGCGTATTTCTTCACTAAACCAGCACCTTCAATCAAATTTTAGATTTGAAGAGGATATACTCTCTAAAAGCTAACCTTTAAACAAATAAGAAGCAAAATACGAAGAACAGTTGGCAGAAATTTTCGCAAACAAATTAAAGTAAATAGAAAAATTAAATATGAAAATATGCATTGATCGTTCCGGAGATAAATAATTCAGAATGTATTTCTCGATTAAATGCGATATCACAAGAAACCTGTGAATCGATTTCCTAAACAGATCACAGGCTGGCAGAATTTCAAAAAGAAAGACACAACTAAGTTCAGTGAAATGACCTAATGGATTACGAAGTCTTCTTTACGATAAGCAAACTCCTTCCTGGCTAATAAATACTAGACTAGTTAATTTTACAAAGGAGTCTTAATTTTTCTAGAAACAATACTAAAACTACCCAAAATAGTTGCACAAATCCTATGAAAATACGACACATTGAATTATATGAGCAGTGAAATGAGCCAAATCTTAAAAAAGGTAAAAAATCCAGTCTATGAACGAAATTTTTAAAGATTAAAAATAACGAAATTCAATAGGAAGTTTATAGGAGAGGTAGCTCTGAGAATAACCGCCAGATGCAATTAGCCCCAAGCATGACCCTCACCTTTGTCGAAAATATTATAAATGATCCCCTTTACGCTGACATGCCTTAAAAATACACTGCCTTATTTCTGACAACTGAGTCAATTTCAAACCTTTAAAACCATAAATAAAACGATTAACAAAAGTCGAAAATAGTTTTCAAAATATTATATCTGTCGCTTGCCTTTAAAGAGTAATGAATTTTATTATTTGCATCTGCTCGGGAAAATACATTAAATTATGCCTCAAATTACGATTGGACATTACAAGAAACAGACATGCAAGAGTACAAATCTATGTAAAAATATCAGGAAATCTTGGTATTTGACCTAACCTATAAACACAAGTGATCTTGAAAGCAACTACAAGTTATTCTACAACTTTATTTGTCTAACGAGTCGTAGGGTGAGGGGCGTGCCGGCCCCCAACTTTAGCTTTGTCAGCGAGTACAAAAAAATACTAGACTCTAGGTTTATCATTGATTACTCGAATGTTTAAAATTTCGAATAGATATGAAAAGCAATAAAAAAATTAATTGATATTATGCACTCGATTCCTGCTTTGAAATTGTCTGTGAATTCTCTAATGGTTCAAGAATTAACTGGGAGGAGTTTGGCTCTATTCTATTATTTACACAGTCACACATGAGGCATGCAAATCTGGAGATCTGCACCCCAAGAGTTTTCCTTAGCCTTGCCCCTGCTTGGCCCTAAGTGAAATCATAAATAACATCACGATCAAATCTTTAAAAAATCTTTTGAGGCTCTTTTTGATCGAGACCATGCCAAACTAAGGTCCCCTAGCAACTTCAGTCAGACCATTTTCTAAATAATGCAATATATTGGGCATTTCTGTTGTTGAATAGTTGGTATGTACGAAACTGAATAAAAATTTGTGTCATTACCGTCTGCGCCACATTTACTCTGTTGTAATACCATCGCACTGTAAGTGTAACTATAAGATAGAAGAACGAGTTGAAACGTATCTTTTCAGACTGAGCCATTTTGGTGTTTGGGTGATCTGTGAGTATCCTTTATTCAGTTCCTCTAAACTTTGAAAAGCTTCTTTACAGTGTAGCCCTAGAAATAAATGAGCAAAGTTTGCTGTGCATTCATTCAAACTTTTTAAATGGAAAGAGATCAAAAATTAAACTAGCGTAAACAGAAAAATCAGCTATAAGAAAAGGTGGACCATGATTTTAAACCAGGGGGGAGGGCAACTGCAAAAATCTAAGGGTACTCTGGTTTGTCAAGGATAGGTCTGCTCAGTGTACTTTTACCGCTTTGGAAATTAGGAAAATGATAGGTCAATGGTTTAGCTACTTCTCCAGGTAGTTTTCGGGAGTGTTGCTTCAGCGAATGTGAAGAGATAAAGAAAATTTAAGAAAGATCAGACTTGCCTTTTAAGATAGACACAACATGAAGGGTCATAGAAAAAATACTGAATCGAGTTCAATTTTGCAAACTTTTATTACTTTGCAAGTTTGCAGGTTTTTGTCCGTATTAGAGGAAAAAGCTCCAAATCTTTGAACTGCCTCATTCCCCCTCCCTGTTAGTTCACAGTTTCAATTAAGAAACTTATCCAGCCTTGCACTTGTAAAGGGGGCTTTGCCCCCAAAATCTCTTTGCATTTTAACAAGGGGCTAACTCTTAAGCCCCTTCCGAGAAACACCTAGAAAGATCCCGAAATTGCAGGTTTGTGTCGGGTACAGTACTCAGTACACAAAGCTACTTTTCAGTAATTTTACATTGCGTTTACATGCGGAAGGTTGAGGCCATAAACCTCTGGTTCGGAGGAATGTCAAAAACGTTTTGAAACAATGGTAGCAGCAACTGAACACCCCTTCTAGCTCAAACAGAAGGTAGATTCAATCGAACAAACATTTTTGTGGTAGAATTGTGGTAGAATTTTAAAATAGATATTCCTAGTCTCTGTGCTCTTAAATTAAAAACTGAAAATAAGAGGTCAAATTGAACCGAATGTTAAATAACACGAAATCTGAACAGTATGATAAATTTGTGAAAAATAACACTTACCGGCATAGAGTAGAAGAATAATCCAAGCAGAAGCAAAATTAGTGCGATGATGAAGAATTTTAGGAGACACCATTTGAAGGAGTTGAACAAAAAGCCAAGCATTTTGAGTGGACTCATGAAAAACCCAAGTGCGTCGGAAGGTCGACTAAAAAGATCAAATTAAAGTCTTGATTTATTAACAAATCTTTATTTACAAACATTTCCTGGTGGTAAAAAATCTAAAAATGGCTTTGAAATTGGCAAAAATTTTAAAACATACTCAAGCTTTTCGCCTGACACTCCGCAAAGAATAAGAAACTCAGAATAATTTTCGTAAAATGTTTAGTTAGCCAACCAACAACCAAATCACGTGATTTTAAAATGAGGCAACGTTTACTTGAAAACCAGGATTTCGTTAATTACTGTAATGGTAAAATGTTTCGTCCTATCTAGGAGTTTTAGAATTGATAAACATAAGGATAAAAATCGCTTTTGAGTAGAAATGAGGAATTATATTCCCCTTTGCACTCCATTGACAACCTTTGCAGTCATGTACTCGCGTTCATGACTGGCCTAGTTCGATCCGCAACTGCATAAATATATTCCTTTGCTTTACATTTTGGTGCAAATATTGACGTTTTACACTCTGAAAAGTGTCGAACGAAAAACTTAAGTATGTTTTAAAATGTTTACTATTGTCAAAGCCATCTTTATCAAACTACAATTTGGCGTGAAGGTAAATAAATGTTTGTAAATAATATTATCTTGGCAGCAGAATAATGGAATGATATATGAGCAAGGTGTAACTGGCATTTCCTCGAAAGATTTAGAGCTGAATCAAACAAACTGTTATTAAGCAAAATCAAACAAACTGTTATTAAGCCAGCTATATTCTATAGTAGCAAGTGTTGTTCGACAGAACTGAACAATGTTTCAAAATGGCTGGTTCTATAAAAAAATAAGCCAAAAAATGGATCGAAAATTGATTGACAGACTCACTTTGGTTTAGCGAGTGGTTGGGGCTCCTCCCTGGCTTTCCCCGCCGGTGCTGCCTCTGCATCTTCTTTCGTAAGCAACTCGAATTCAGCTTCAACTTTTCCCTTAAGGAAACCAAAGCAAAAAATCACTAAGAGAGTGAAATCAGCCATTCAGAAGAAAAAGGGAAATTATCTATATCGTGAGATGGTTCTTGAATCTTGATATGTATTGAGAGGAAGCAGCTCTAAAAAGTCATTTGAAGTCTCAATGTGAAAAATGAGGAGAAGAATCAAGGGGGTGGGGGGGATAGGGGGTATAAGAACAAGCAGCCTTAAAGATGTAAGAATACAGTTATTATTGAATTTCAAAAACAGTTGCCTTGATAAATATCCAAAGGCTTGGTGCTCGAACAATTCCTTACGTGCAAAACTGGCTCTAAACCCATGGCAAAAAGCACTCTTAATCGTCTAATTATCAAATTAGAAACGAATTGCACCATTAATCGTCTTATTCATCAAGTTGAAAATGAACTCCATTCCACTGAATGCTACAATTCCTCCTATAATATGAAAGGGGCTGAGCCTTATAATATAAACAGTTATACAAAAATTTCCAATAAAAAATTTCCTATTAGGGGTGACTGGTTTTTAACAAGTTGGCTAGATTCTGTGAGCATCACATGGCTCGAGATTAGGAGAAATGCACTGCTATATTTTAAGGCTTTATGTAAAATACACTTTTCAACATACAGCGAGTATAGGATTCGGGTCATCATCATCATCAGGGTTATACTGAAACGGCCACCATCCTTTCATATGCTTGGCTTTTATAATTGATCCAGTTACATAACCATCTTCTAGCATCTTCAAACTGCAGGATTTTGCTGTTTTCGCAGGGTTCGGTATATGTGTTATTGGCATGATGATGTCACCTGTGTGAAAAGGAGGTTGAATCAGTCTGAGGCTGAGTTTAAACTTTGCCACTGGCAATGGGTGAAAAACTGAGTCAATGATGGTAAAAAAACTAAGTCAATGATGGTAAAAAACTGAGTAAATGATGGTCCAAATATAAACAAAGCCAACGTGCAAAAAAGCTTCAAGTATACTGTAAAATGTTTGTTTTCTTCAAAGCCATTTTTAAAGCCAAAACAATAGTTTATCAATAGGTGATAGATTAAAATGCTTTAGGTTTGGTTATTTTCTATGTAACAGCATATGACAACGACCTGATGTGTCCAAAATCAAGCACTTTAAAGTTTCAGTTAGATTTATGAAATTTTTTACCTAGCATGTCATCAGCTGAAAGCAGATCTGCATCCCAAACTTGTAAATAAAGATTCGGCGGGTGTTTCTCTTCAGTCACATCAACCGAAAAAATACTAGCCTGTGAGAGATGACAAAAATGTAAAAAATTTGCCTCAAAAGAGGAGAAAAGGTTTTGTGGGTAAAAAGATATTGTAAAGGATCTTTTATAAAATTTGTGCGGTAAAAAAAATTGCGCCCAGAGATGTCAAGGCGAAGCTGGAGATGAAAAGATGAAATCTTGAAGCAGGGTAAAACTCCTAATTCATAATTCTGTAGCCCCTAAAACTTTATTTGCAAAGAAAAAGAGAAAATTGAAAATTATGTATTTCTTGGTAGATCATAATAGCTAAGATCTAAACCTTTTTCTTTGTGACAATCTTTTCTTCTGATTTGTGAAACATGAATTGAAAAACGAATCTCCAGTTGAACATTCCAGAACCATCAGTCGATCTGAAATAAAAATAGGCACGATTTATTACAATATGCTTACAACAAGCGTTTTACAAAGAAAGCAGATTTTAATACAGTAGGACATCTCATTTGGTTTGATTTCTGGTGTCGGCGGGCCTGCGCGTCCCTGCTTTCTTGTAGGAGATGTCAACGCCTAGCTAACACTTATGCTAAGAAACAAAAGTCATTCTTTTGGCCGAGCAAGGTCCCTCATGCTTATGTCACAATACCACCAAATCCGAGAATCTTTTTCTGTAACATTGCATATCTCAAGATTAATTTATAATTAGTAATTTCTCACCGGTAGTGTACATCTGTTTCTTGCCTGAACTCTCTATTACCCTCTAGCCAGCTATAAACAACAAAAACTTATTCTTAAAGAATTTGAACTCAAAATTATACTATCTAATGTCCACGAGGCCCATATCTGTAATCAAAGTGGCAGCTTCTCTCAACATTCAAAACTTTAAAGCTTACTCCGTATGTTTAGAACAAGTGATCATTTTAAGTGGAAAAAAAATTTGAAGCAAGAAAGGAGCTTAAAGGTAGACTCCACGCACGTACTTGAAACTTAACACTTGCCTTAAAAAGAAGGAAAGTTAAATGGAAAATCGGTTTGTTTAAAAATTTCAAAGAGTCTAAAATCAGCATCTGATTCAACACTTATAACAATAACAACATGTTGCAAAATATCCCGATCGGCTGAAGGGAAATGGGAATTCGTGCTTTACTGAGTGAATGGCTCTCAAGGACCTTTCAGAATTTCAAACATGTTTTAAAGAAATTTGCCCTACAGTTTATCTTGAAGTTGATTTATAAATAGCAGTTAATTTTTAGGAAATTGCAAGATTAAGTTGAGATTGGCAGTAAATTTGTAATGCATATTCCGATTTTTATTGCAACGCTAGGCAAAACAAGCAATTTGACTGTTGTCTGAATCTGACTCAAATTGATTATTGATAAGTGTTTTACAAGTTTTCTCCATGAATAAAATTACTTTAAAAGAACTAACGATTATAAGCAAAACATGTCGTTGAAAATTCAAATATTTTCGGTAAATGGAATAAATTGGTTTCATAAACATTTTTCGAAAAATTGACTAGAAGACACTTAACGTAAATTGTACACGTAGATAAATCGGTTTTTGATGCAGCATTATACATATCTGTCTAGTCATGGCAAAATGGCCTGCTTATCTGGGAGCAATTCTCCATTATTGAGATATATAAACTGTAAGTAGCAGTTACCCTTTGACGTAAATATCACTGCTTGCTTCTCCAGTTATGATGTTGGTCTCCTCCAGCCGTACGCTGTCTGTATTCCATATAATAAGTCTCAGCTCGTACCTGTGGGCAAAAATAAGTGTTATGGCAAGTCTTAAATCTAACTATAGGATTAATTGCACTAATAAAAAACACGTATAAATACGATTTCTAGAATTAAGCCCCAGTGACGACTCAAATGTGAGCAGGCTTGTTTAGAATCGTACCTCAGCCAAATGAAAACCTGACTTTGGCAAGAAATGACCGATTCTGAAAAGATTAGGACTGGTTCAAATGCATCTCAACGCAACCCCTTGAAACATACGGAAAACACAATTCTGTCAAGAATAGTCCTTTTAAGATACCATGGAGACAAAAATTCAAGCATTTGCAGGATCCTCGACGACAAAGAAAAGGGCCAGGGGGGGGGGGGCTATATATTTTGCAAAACAAGAACTTTTTGCATAATCTTTAGTTACGAGTCTTTAGTTGGCCATTAGCCTCAACTTTCCAACTTGCATCGGAGCTTATGATACGTTCAGCTCATAATCAGTAATTCTTGTCCAATATGGGATGAAATGTACGAGATTAGCTGGTGTGAACATCCGTTTAAATCACTCTGTTCCTCAAGATTTTTAAATCTCGGTAAAAAACGGTAAAAAAATTTCATATTGATATAATCAATGCAAAGAATCATCAATTTGAATGATTTTTTCAAGATTGCTAGCAAAAAAATCCTTTCATAGAATGTTGATCGTAAACCTGTTTTGTTATCGCAAAAAATGAAAATGCTATCAAGAACTGCGATTCATAATAGAGATGACGAAATCAAACTCTAAGGTATGTGAGGTAGGTTCATACTCAGTTGGCTTTCTAGGCGTGACGTCAGTGGGTGGGCCGGGCATTGTGAGCTCCATTGGGAACATATCAACCCACATTTGAACTCTTCCCTGAAAAGTAACAATAAAGCGCGTTTAGAGAGACAATGAAACACGAAAGGTTTAACATTTGAGTTTGCACTGATGTAGTGCAGCTAGTTCTGGAAATCTGTAGAAAATTAAAAACCTAGGCTCTTAGATCCTTACGTAGCAACATCAAATAATTAAACTCTAGAATCAAACCATCGTCAGCAAATCACTGATTCAAACTTTGCAGTGGATCCGCGAAGTGTGCAATTAATGGACTAGATGATCGGTGACCGTATCATTGAATCAGTTGTTAGATCACTGAATCGTAACATCTATGATTGCTGATTAAAACATAATACCAGTCACTGATCATTGGATCAGTGCATCAGTTATTGATTTACTATCGAATGTATTCAAAACATGATTTTCAGGATGCTCTTATAGAAGCGAAGCAATATGTTATCTAATATCAATAAATACAAATATTAATTTGTACTCTTTAAAAAACCGTTCATATCAGCTGTACAAAGAACTTTAAACGATTTGTTCACAATCGACAAAGCATTCTCGACACATTGAATCATTAATTCAAATAGTATCAACTCTCAAACTCATTAACTGCTTTATTTTAACATACGAGCAAGGCCACATTCTACATACACATCTTGCATACACATGAATGCACATCTTGCATACCTGTTCTAATCCTGGTTTTTCAGGGTTTATAAGCGACCTCGTTTCGACGTATTCAGGGCAAAGATGGTAGCCTTTATCTGGTATTTCATGAAACCTGTGCAAAGCAACCAGCGCACATGGCTCATCCGAGGGTTTCTCGCGCCCTAGAAAATAGTTGATGTAGCAGGCTTAAAAAAGCGAAAAATACCGTTTTACATACATTGAAATCAACGCTAGGCAGGGGGTAGAGATTTCAGTCAAGGGGAAAATTTGTGCCACACGAGTTCACATCTCCAATATACAAAATAACATGTGAAATTCTGTCTTCTGATTATTTATACATCAATACAATTTGTAACTGCTTCAAACTGTATAAGATAAATTAAAAACTAAAAAAGCATAAATTACTAAAAGAGCACAAATAAGTCAAATAGTCTATAGAAAACATAAATTTTCCAAGATGGGATAGATCGCATGTGCAGATTCGGTCTTCTAATTATTCCTACATCAATACAATTTTGAATTGTTTTATTCTTTTTTGATTAAAATAAGAACTAAAAGAGCATAAAGTACTAAATGAATGCAGAAATCGAAAGTCTAGCTTCGCTGCTCTTTGAACAAAAGGTTATTCCATGTTAAATAATCTATAAAAACATAAATTGTCCTTTACCTTCTCAAATATTCATGAATTTAACAAGTCATTCAATGTCACGAGAAAAATACTTATTTAAATTTCAGATAAAGGGGCTAAGGTGTTCACGAGATATGGTTGGTCGAAACAGGCCATAAAATCAACTTCAAAACGCTGCAAAAGCTATTCCTGTTGTTACATTGGCCAAAAACCCTTTAAGGTGGAGTCACCAAAATGCGCTTTTTATTCAAATCGTTACAGGGAAATTGATACAACTTGAAACTGGCCAATTCAAATGTCTACAATACGCACTGTCTGCAAATGCAAATATTTTAACAATTGAAAGCATTCCATGCTGAAAGCCCTTGAGATAGACATCTGGAAATGATCTAGTGTATTATTTTTACAAAAATTGAAACCAAAGAATTTGATATCGATCTTTTTGTAGAGCAAAACTGCAAAATCTCTTGCATTGTAAGTCAAAACATCAACATGTTTATGGCAGATCAGATTAATTTCAATTGAAAAAAAATTCCCGGCTACATAAAATTAAGGGATACTGTGCTGGTGTTACTGGTTTTCTACATATGTTGTTAAACGACCTGCTTTTGAGCACAGCAGAACTGTTTTAAAAACCGGCCTATTTGGATAACATCATAACCACATCAGGATAAACATAAAATCTAAATCAAAGTGAGCCCAGTCACACCTTTTGCGTCTTTTACAGTGGGAGAACCCTCGAAGGGTATGCCTTCAATCGAGCAGATGCCATTGTCGAAGTTAGGCCCTTCAAGACCCTCATCTTTGCACAGCTTTGTCAATATTTGAGATGGCTTTTGTGGATCTCGCCATTTTGCATAGCCGTGTCTAAAGAAAGATTTCGCAAATTAATCTGGCAGCCAGATTGGTTTCGTATATCTAATGTACAACACAAATAGACGGTATGAAAAAACTGGTAAAAATAGCACAAGAAGAAATTATGGATGGATCAATTGACATAGACTGAGAATATAGGCACAAATCAGCCAGATATAACACATCACAATCACACAGACCAAGGTCAAGACATCAGTATCTCAACGAAACACGCAAGTATCACAAAGAAACATTGGGGAAGAAAAAACTGACGCTTGTGGCAATTCTTAGGTAATGAGATTTTCTTTAGAATTTCTTATATTCTTATATATGATCGAGGAATCAAACCAGCTTGAAACAAGAATCGCCAAACAGATATCAATAACGTTGTTAGCAACATGATAGAGGATTTGATTGGCTGGTTTGTTGACCATATGGTAAATCAGAATGTGGCATATCGTTAATAGAAGCCTGCTATTCAGGAAGGCATCCATTCCATACATATAGGTTTGTGAAATCAAACTATATTGCTTTTAGTTTCTACCATTTGGGGAAGGCCCAAGGCCCTTAAACAAACCTAAAAAGGGGGAAGTTAGAAAAGGAAAAACTTGGATAAGTTAGATATATTGAGCAGCAAGGTGAAGGGAAGGAAAATGTTAATGATTTATTGGATAAGTTGCGTGAATTGGGTAGAGAAACGGAATGGGAATTAAGACAATAGACTTTATCTATTACGAACTTTAAAACATTTGAAAAAAGCAAAAATAGGCGAAAAAAACATATCAAAGCATTTTTCTTTCCACATTCCGCAGAGTGTCAACATCAGATAATGGCCGAAAGGTAAGCGGTAATTTAATCCCATGCCTGGATAGGAAGTGATGTGAAAAAAAGATAGACGCATTTGGACCTTGCTTTATGATTTAAAATTGTCGTCACTATACGCCTTGTATTTAGGAATTCTGGTTTTTGCAAATACGCCGTAGTCGCTATCTTTCAAAACAGTTCGTATCTGATTTCATGAAAAGGTGCATGAAATGTGCTTTCAAGCTTTCACGTTTCCTGCACGGTCACACAATCTCTAAATTGAGAGCAAATACTGTTTGCATGAAGCGTGCAATCCGGAATGGGGGATCCGGAATGGAGAATCAGGAATGGTGAGTCCGGAATGAGGAATCCGGAATGAGGAATCCGGAATGAGGAATCCAGCATTGGGGAATCCGGCACGGGGAATCCGGATTCCGTATCTTAAAGATAGCCCGCTTTAGTTATCAAAAACTGATAAGACGTACGTGACATAGTCTTTCTGCAAACCACAAGACGCTCTATGTTTGCTGTAGAACCGATTTTCAATATCGACTTTGGTCTCGCCAATAAGGTCGTCGCCACTCATAAGATCCCAGTCATAAACCTGCACTGTCAGCATATTATCAAATGGCAGCACTGATTTGAATTCGAAAACCCTGCGAGGAGATAAAACATAAATTGTCAGCAACTTTATAAACTAAAGGAGGGTTTGGTATGCTAATTACGGCCCCTCGTGGCTTTTTTTAAAAACTTGTGTTACGCGTAGCTTGCGTACATGCGTTATTTTGTTGCGGAGGAGAAGGGAAACGCTTTTAAAGGGAGAAGCAACTACTTTCTCCTCCGCAACATCATTTTGAAACAGATCTTTAAAGGTACGGTATATATTGAGAGAACAATCTGTTGGGTCCCGTTTACCCTACGTAATTCAGATTTTACGTTTTTATATATGAAACAGGACGGTTCTAAGCTACTGCTCTGAGTTTCATTCTAATTGCGATCACCAGCAAACTATATCGCTTCTTTTATTAACACTATTTACAAATATGAAAAGAATCCGAAGTCTTTAGAGACAATTGTCAAAAAAGCCACAGAAACCCATTCGCTGGAAGACAAACATGTGATTAATAACAGTATATTTCCATTCAAGAAAAGCCAGAGTAATTATTTGGTTAGCAAAGACTTGAGCACTGATTTTCCAAAATTGCTTTTTACGCAAAATTTCGAAATTAAAGTCAGGCAGAAAAAAGTATTCGAGGATTAAGCATGTACACAAAGTGGGATGTTTTTCTGCAAAATTTTCAAAAATGGTGCTTTGAAGACAAAGGTTCTCAAGATTGTGAATCACAACTAGAATATTTGACGGCATTTTTGAAGAGGAAATCTGGCGTGCTTTGAGTAAACTTTTAATGAATGAGTTAAAGGGAAGGACTAAATAGTCAGAAAAAGTTCCGCACCACCCGAAGAGCATAGATTTAAAGACAGAGTTTCAGATTATGGTTGCGAAAGATATGAAGTTAGAATATATCATGTTTGTGATTGGAATGACTTAACGGTCTTAATGACTTAAACAAACAATGTCCCTTTAAGTAAACTTTTCTAATTGGATCAGGCAATCACAGAAACACCTTTAAGGAGGCTCACCTCCCAAACTCCGGTGAAAGTTGCTTTGAGACATAGTTGTCTCTGTCTTTAATGCTTTTCTTGCCAACTTGAACGACAAGATAAGGATCGGCCTAGAAGTATTAAAAAAAGACTAGAGTTGAATATCAGTATTATATGAGACAGCTCTTGGATATTTCAAGATTTCATGTATGAATGCTGGTTGAGTGATAATGTCGACAGTGAGGAACAGCTCGGATTAGCTTTAAACAGCAAAAGTTACCACTCATGGGTTAATAACCGCAATTGCCTACAGATAATACTTTGTTAGATACCTTATGCATCTGTTAGAGTAGCCAGTCGATTAAAAATTGAGATTGAGACTGCTGAACAAAATCTTAAAATATCTGGTAAAGAAAATGTAGCAAATAAAATGACTTAAACTTCGATTGATGGCAAAAGAATATCGTTCATTTTGTTTTGTATTCATACGACGTAAAGGTAATCATATTGTGATATACTACCTTTCCATTGGGATCAGTTGGGTGTAGATTTAGGCACTGTAAACAAAAGCAAAAACTAAATTGAAGTACAAACAAATTGAGAAAAATATGCTCCCAAAAGATTGATGGCTTTTTCAAAAGATTAATGGTTATCAAATAATATTAAGTGTAGTAAAACAAAGTATGGCAAATAATTGAAACACAGAATACAAAGAGTCTATTACGATAGAACAGATAATGTAATAAAATGACTAAATAGATCATAATATGAAAAAAATAAACATATCATATGATATTACAATACAAGAAATCATATAATATCTCTTGTCATAACATATCTTATCATATCATATCTTATATAACATATCTTAATCTTATATAACATATTTCATTAGAAAATTGCTTGATGATCGCAGTAAGCGTGAAATTCGGAGTAGCAACTTAGAACCGTCCCGTTCTATACACCAAATAGCATAACATATCATATCACAATACAATAATAATATAATATTAAAAATACAGAATATACTACACACTTACCCTTATGACGTAGACACGAACTAGCACTTTGATCGGTTCATTACTTGGCAGCTTATAAAACGTTCCTTTAGGATCTTCAGGGTCAAAGCCTTTAGGCAGAGGGTGCTTCCAGACTCGAATATTTCCCTGACAATAAAACAATTAATTAGAAAAACTATAATCAAAACGATCAACCTTTGAATTAAAAAAAGTTTCTAATAGTTGACTGATGGTTTGAAATTGCTAGGTGTTGATAGGAGATGGATAGCAGGAAGGGTTTGGGGGGTTTAATCAGTAAAAGGGGTACATATGATGTCAGATCACTGTTTTGTTGCTAATTCCTGCATGTAGAGAAAGATGGGGGAGGGTTAAGTCTAAAGTATTTTATTTCGCTCAAAAGACGTACTGTTTATTAAGTTCATTGTGGGTGATTTATTCAGTTTACAAAGAGAGCTTTACTTTTTCCAACTTATATCATGTTCTTAACAATGTATCTAGTTTTCAATGTATCAATGTATCTAGTCTTCTGTGTTTTTAACAATCAAACTAAAATATTTTCATTCTGGTACTAGATTTATTTGCTAACTATATTATCGTTATTCTGGATGAAGTACCACACGCAACGTACATATTTAATTGGATTTATCTAGTTATCAACTACAAAACAGGAAGAAAGACGTTAAAAACAGATAAAGACTCACAAACAAAGTTAAAACCCGGTGCGAATGCTGAAACCATATGAAGTTCTCTGAACATTTAGAGATGCATTTCCATGAAGACAATAAAAGACCTCATTGAAATAAAAACATCTCCTCGCTTAATCATGTCTTGTTTTACAACGGAGATCATTCATAAAAATGAGTAACTAATTGGCAAAAGACAGCTGAAAAACCTTGAATTTTCCACTGAACCTCCGCTCTTCGTCATCTTCATCGTCTGTCTTTTTGCCTCTAAGTAAACTGAATGTTGTCATGAAATCATTGAAGGCGCCAAATTCATCAATATCCTCTAGTTCCGTTTCGTAGACCTACGAAACAATGATCAATCAATAATCAGTTTAAATCAATCGATTACTCAAACGGGCTTTTAAGGCAGAAAGCAGTTTTCATACATAAGTTGTTAAACTGTGAAAGAAAGCACATCTGCCTCTGAATCATTGAAAAAACGTTTTGGTAACGTGAAATAGTGCGGGGAAATAGTTAGCGAGATATACGAAAGTAAACAAGACCACAACCTGACTATGTCTTTTTTTGTTTTAAGAAAGATTTTAAAAGTTCTAGAATATTTGCCCGTAGAAAGGTAAGCGTTTTCTGGCTAGGATTTGATATGACATCCATTGGCTCAATGCTCATTGGCTGAGAATAACGTATAGAGTTTAATGAGCAGTTTTCAACATTATGCCTTGCAGCAATATTAGAGGGAAATAAAGAAAATACACGTGATGGGGAACATGCACAAATCGAGGCATGTGTCACTGTGTCTTTAAAAGGTCCTTTTTTGATAAGCCCATTCTAGGGTAATCTACCCCCCCCCCACAGCAAGCCCTGCCTTAAACTCCCCCCCCCACAGCAAGCCCTGTCTTACACAATTCTTCTGGATAAATAGATTTGATACTAATACAGGGAGTAACAAACAAACAAATCAAATATTTCTAAATAACGTCATACGGCTTGATAAAAAACAAAAGATGGAGGATGATAAGAATACTGTTCATCTCTTTCAAAACTGTAACAGCAAAGATTTTAAAGAAACAGCAACCCAAAGGTTAGTAATGCAAAAGGACTTGGACTGAGATTTCTTCGGTTCAGTATAAAGCCAAAAAAAATTAATGCTGGGCAAATAAAATCAGTGAATTTACAAATATTTATGGTATGAGCAATTCTATGAGTCCAATTAAAAGAGCTTAAAAACACAACATAAATATTGGTAAATAAAAATTCAGAAGAACAGTTTATATTTGAATAAAAAATGATAAAAACGTTTATGTTCGACGTTAAAAGACAAGCCTACATAAAGTAATATAGCTAAACTGATTACAGAAATGTATAGTGTAAGAGAGCCAATGTTTACAGAACAATCAAATTACCGCTGCCGTGATGAGGTTTAGCTCTAATTTCAATTGAGGTCATTGCATTGTGTGCAGCTGTTTAAACGAAGTAATTTCATGAAATCAACAGCAGGGGGAGGATAAGCATCATATCAGTCGATGAATGATTCTGCAAGTGATTGCTGACAGTGGTGGTGGTAGTGATAAGGAATAATTGTGATGATGAAGGCGATGAGGATGATTGCGATAGTGATGTGATAGTGATTAACAGTAATGGTGATATGTGAAGTGATGAGCATGATTGCGATAGTGATGGGATAGTGATTGACAGTAATGGTGATATGTGAAGTGATGAGCATGATTGCGATAGTGATGGGATAGTGATTGACAGTAATGGTGATATGTGAAGTGATGAGCATGATTGCGATAGTGATGGGATAGTGATTGACAGTAATGGTGATATGTGAAGTGATGAGCATGATTGCGATAGTGATGGGATAGTGATTGACAATGATGGTGATTGCGATAGTGATATGATGATTACGATTGGATTATGAAGAAAAGCATGGTAATGACTGAATTTATGACATGATGATTATGATGGCTACAGTGATGATTCACGTTAACAAATCCTAATTACATTCTGCCTTAGAAAGTGTTGAGCCCCCCCCGTTGCATTGTGATGAGTTCGCTTAAAGGCGGCGTGAAAAATAAATCTCGGATAATCAACTTTAAAAAGAATCTTGATTTTGACATTACAGATGCAGAATTGATGAGCAGTGGCAGTAAAATTCGCAGCCATTCGAGAAGGCATTTTGCGACGAAGAAATGACGTGATTATGACAAAGAATTGAAGGCAGAAACTAGAAGTTGAAGCAAAATAACTTGATTTCACTTAAGTTTCATTCCGCAACCGAGGCAACGAAAAAACAACGTACAAAGGAGAGGAGAGACTTTCAAGGTTTTGCGAAGGTATCTTGCAATTTTTAGGAATTAATGAAAAACAAAATAGCATACAATGGCATTAAACATTTTAAGAAGGCCAATGAGATGTTGATATATCGTTTGTGTTGAAACGATCACAGGAACTTCAGAGGTAGTCATAAGAAACACTGTATCAAAATTGAGCTTTACTTCTGAAAACATTGGAGCATGGCGTTAGAAGCTGTCGCATTTATAATCATAGGACTGGTAGCGGTTGTTTTGAACAGTGTCGGGATCCATTTAACATCCAAGAAAATGCATGTGCTAAAACCGCACGACCAGCTCGTGTTGAGTTTGGCCTGCAGTGATTTGTTGAATGGCCTATACTCAATTACCTTTGGCATTTATAGCCTTACTGTGCAGGGTAACATAGACAAGAACGTGGTGTTGCTCGTAGCCGCATTCAACTTCACATCACTCAATCTACTGGCAATTGGATACGACAGATTCGTCGCGATCCGTTTCCCAATCAAACATCACATGAAACTCACCAAAAAACGCATGAAAATTGTTATTCTGGTGATGTGGTTTGGTTTACTGGTCTTCGTCATTTTAATCCCAGTGATTTTAGCAATGGCCGGAATAGCATCAACTGTTGCAAGTAGGTACCTTGCATGGCTTGTCACAGATTGGACAGTATGGTTTGGATCAACAATGACTGGATATTACACTGCAATAATCATCATTACTCTAAAAAGACGCGCTAAATTAAACAACCAATCATCGTTGGTCGAAGCACGTGCAACAAAACGCGAAATCACCCTTATATGGATATGCATCTTTAGCTTCGGGTACTACATTGCGTCAGCATTTCCATTCAGTATTCATTTGATGATTACATCAAAGCCTTCGTTGGACCTAGCATGCTTGCTGTTGACGAATACAATAGTGAACCCGATTGTTTATCTCGTCAAGGCACATAAAGATGATCGGCAGAGAAGCCAAGTTGAGGCCACAATGTCAAAAAACAAGGAATCTGCACGACCATAAAAATTGTATACACCTCTAGAGCATTCTCATCGGCATTGATGAGGGTCGATATCGCTCTAGAGGCAGCCGGGTATTTCAAGACACAAACAAAATGACTGGCAAATAAAATACGTATAACTTTGAAGTTAAAAGAAAATTGTACGTAGAAAGAAAGAGAGAAGTAACAATTGTTACCTGACATTGTACGACACGCAGTCAAGTATATATATATATGTATATGGAACAAAAGACATAGCAATAAACCAATCAAGTAATGAGTTGTGATTTAGACCAATCAAATTTGCAGACAGATACCTGGCATTTGTCACATGTAAGGACACGAATCGACGATATTCGACGGTTATCGCCCGTTTCAGCCATTTGACCATACATTCCAAAACAAACGTCACCTACTGCTCTTTGCATCTTAGCGTCACCTACCTTTGAAAGTATTGTAGCCAGAAATTGCCAAGGAACCAGAAATTGAGTTGCCAAAACGCAAACAGTCTTGGTCAAGCAAAACAGTAAAAATGAAACTTTGATATCGCAGAGTCAACATATCCACGAACGGTTACGTCACTTTGTGACTTTGAAAAAAATTATCGTTGTGGCTCCTGTTTCGTTCCTTCGAACCCGGCAACTCCGAAGGAAACCCCAGCTCACATTTCGCTTAACATAATCTTCTAGCTCTGCCTGTCAGGGACTTACATTAACAAAAACAATAATCACTTACCGTGAGCCTCGGGACGTCAGATTTTTCTGGCTTCTTCCCGCCAGTCACTTCATTCCCTTTCTTCTTCTTCTTCCTACTTTTCGTGTTCGCTTCTTCCATGTCTCGCAATGTCTCGTAAAATCTCGTCCACCAATCCAGGATTTCTTCGTCTTTATCAGCTTCCTCTTTCCTTCTCTTTTTTTTCGGCTCCTCCTAGAAAAACAATTTTCAACTTATAAATCTGAAACAAATCAAGACAGTTGAGACAAATGCAAAGAAACAAAAAATTCCTGCCACACTGTTCCTGTCAGACTAATTCTAAAATCTTTGTAAATTTCTGTCATGTACTGCTGCATTTGTAGCACTCAATCGCTATTGACATCAAGTTCTTTCTTAGTTCTAATCGTTTTCAAGACGTAAATGGAATAAAAACTAGTATTTATGTAATGCAGCCTTTAGTTTGATTTTTCAAAGGAATGCAAGGTGGTGGGGAGCGTATTGGCTGTGGCTTTGACAGCAAACTTCGATGTGAACCATTTGTGAGAGATTCGCCTGCCGCTGATTTTTATAAGTCCTTTACACAAGCTGTTAATCCAAAAAGGCCTAAAACCATCAAAAGGATAAAATTTAGAGGAATTGCGAACCTCTGGGGGCTTTTCTTCTCCATCTGGGATTTCGATTAATATTCCTGCCCCCGGAGCACGGTCATCATCCATGTCGTCACCTGTAACAGCAAAACGTTGAAATTCATTTGAAATTCGTTGAAATTCATACATTGTATTGAAAGACGGTCTTTTAATATCTTGAACGACTACACTAGACTAACAAACAGTCTCTAATTTTTGTTAATTCTACTTAAAATACCTGCTGAAATTGCTTGAGCACCCAACACCCAACAACTGCAGTTTTATTCAGATTTCCTGAAAATAACCACCTCCGCTAACTTACCCTGTTCCGCTAATTTAACTTTCTTTCCACTAATTAACCTCCTCCCTTTAACTGATTAACCCCCTCCCTTCAGCTAACTAGCCCCCTCCCTTCAGCCAACTAACCCCCTCCATTCAGCTAACTAACCCCCTCCATTCAGCTAAATAACCCTATCCCTTTAGCTAACTAACCCCATTCGCTACCTCAACGCCCCTTCCCACTAATTAATCTCCTCCCTTCAGCTAACTAGCCCCCTTTCTGCAGTTATCTAGACCCCCACTTCCGCTAACATACCCTTGAACACTATGCTGATCGCGTAATTTGACAACACGATTCCTGAGCTCATACGTCATGTGTCGTAGAAACCTACATCATTACAACAGAAGACGGCGATTGTTAAATAAAAATTCATAAACTGATTTTAGGATTCTTTTTGGCAGTAAATGCAGTTCAGAGTTCAGCTTGATAGATGTTTAAAACGAGTGCATCCAGTGATTTAACAGATTTTGGTTGATACTTCCCCAACATACCTTTAGCTTTAGGGTCCACGACTTCTTCTCCCTTTTTGACAAAGGTTTTATTATCTCTAAAGTACTTGTGTAGAGTATCAATAATATGTGTCCCGACCAACACCCGTCTACCAAACGCACGTATATCGTGGACACGTATCGTCACCGGGGGTATGTATTTCTTATTATCTGGAAGATCCTAAAAGAAGAATGACGCGTTTAAGTGACGAGTTATTTTGTCATATTGCTCAAGCATACGGCAGATTACGTTATTAAGCATGGTAGCAACATAACTGACAGATGGGATAATTGTCACTTTGAATTTAATAACTCATGTTTCATATTTTATTTAAATCGAATTACAAATGACAGACTCATGGAGACTGATTTTAAAGAGAAATGAGAAATAATTGAAACTCTCGATTCTTGTAACAGAGATATAAGCCTCTGTTACAAGAGAGATTTAACAGATGTAACAGAGAGATTTAATAGAAATAAATACATCTGCAAAAAGGGTGAAAGATCTTTACATATACATCAACAACAAAACTTTGCTATATTTCCATTCAGTTAAAACTTAGTTATCGTTTCAGTTATTTTCATTCTATAAATTAAATATTTCGCAAATATATGTCAAAATCCTGAAAAAATATGTTGAAAAATCCTTTAAAGATCACAAAAGAGGACGCTACCTAATACTATTGACAAGAATAACAAAGACTGGCCAGAAAATATAGTTAAGCCTAAAACAAAAAATAAAGTTTGACCTCAAATGAAGACAAATATAAAACGATCTTAAAAAGCATTTTGCCAGAGCAAAACAACTTGAAAATCTTACCACGTCAAATAGGACAACCGGATTATCAAAATTAGGATTCTTGCTAGCACTCTTGCAGATCGTGGATTCCATGAAAGTCTTCTCGTTGCCTTCTTTGTCTTTTGTCGGGTAACAGCAATCGATGTCAACACGTGGCCGGTTTATGCTCATCAGCTGGGCCCTCTTCATTTCTCTAACACCCCAAAATATAACCTACGAAAAACGTAAATCTAAAGAGCCTCTTGATAGTTTTGAAAATCCTAAAAGATTGAACAAAATTGTCCAACACAGCATCTTTTATAGGCTCGTGATCTAATTGCAAAAGGCATTCAAATCTATGGACACTGGAATGGAAACCTCCTTACTTCTGAGATATTCCTTGGAGTTCCAAAAGATCCATACTAGGTTCTCTGCTTCTTGTCGACTCATTTCCAGTGATTGTTAATGAAAAGACTTGAAACAAATATTATCTGTTTTCACTGCAGATAGCAGTTTATTGCAAAAAGGAATTCTGAAACTTTTTCAATGTAACGGATAAACTATTTCCATTGTAGTTCCACAAGTCTTGCTTTAAGTCCTCGACTGTTTACTGATCAAACGACCAAAATGTGTATATCTTTAGATCAGGGAAATGAAATGAAACTTCGAAAGACGAAAGTTGATAAATCGTTAGAATTAACTAATATGTATTTATTATATAAGCAGTGCAACTTTTTGCAAGAAAATTCACTGACCTCGACACGATGTTTTGTCATTACAGGCCGGATTTCATCTGGAACAGGCCTTTTCAGCAAATCGTCCTTGTTTTCCTCAGGAGGATCAACCGGAAGGTGTTCCGGCAGAGTATGTTCATTTACCTACGGGGAGATTTCAGTTATTTGTACTTAAAAATTAAAAAACTTCTTGAAACTGTGCAAATGAGAAATACAGTGTGATGCCACTAAACATTTTATTGTCAGGGCCACCGAGAAGGGGGGCCAGTGGGCAAATTGCACCAGGACCTTAGAGTTTATAATGTAATGAATTCCATTTTAAGAATGGTATTAATGAGACGAAACAAAAGTATGTCTAAAAAATAGTAGAACATTTCAAACGACTGCACAAAAATAACTACAAAAAATATTTTAAAATGCATTTTAGGCTAAGATAGGGGTCGTGGTCGCAACAATTTTAAAGGTCTAGGCCTAGTAGAGGTAGCCTCCAGACAAAGGCTGATTGGTACGTAATCAGAAATCACAAAAATCAATTGACATGATAGTGAAACGCACGTGAAACATTTCAAATGCAGCCAGGAGTTCCCCTGCCTTTGTGTCTCCGCGATAGATCGGAAACCATTGCAGCACTGGTGGGAAAAATGGCCTTTCGTAAGGCTCTTCTGCACCTTTGACGACAGGCTTCGCAAGTGCACGGCCTATGAATTCAATACTACCCTGAAAAATGAAGGAAAATTGTTTATAAAAGTGGACAGTTAGGAAGACGCGAAAGAAAATTTCGTGGTACAGTCCCATGTATTGGAGTAAAATAGCATACGAAATAACGAATACGTTCCATCTTTATGCCATTTGAATCCTTGCTCAAGTACCTCCTCAATTGGACACTTTCCTTCCTAAAATCCCAATGCTATTCGTATTCGCTATATGGAGGCTCTAACGTGTAAAGGAGGCTTGATGTGATTAAAACGAGGCGACCAAGACGAAACCCCGTTGTTATTAAGGGAAGCTTTAGTCACCTGATGTCAAACAATATTTTTACAAAAAGTAAAAAGGAGACAAATTGGATATGATAATCAAATATGTTATATGTTAGAATTTGAGGTCCTTTATATGCAAAACAAAAATAACTTACACTTCCAATAAGTTCTTTGTCCATGTCAAAAATTTCAATAACAATAACAGGGGGATTTACGGCAAACTCCTCTGGTTCACCCCAGAACTCGATGTCTTCAAATTTGAGCATAGTATCCCACGTTGGGCTCCTCGTATTTTCAATGACATGTGTTTCCAGGGCTTGGTTTGTCACGATAACCCTTGCGAAAGCATCTAGCAGATGAATCAAAATGAGGCAAATAAAACATGGTAGTTCATCTAAACATCGACAGAAATGCAAACAAGAAGACAATTTTGTCACTTTCAATTCAAATACTACACTTAGACAATGCCAAAGTTTTTCGGTTGACTGTGCGAAGAAAACCTAACAAAACTGACATTACATCATCAATCTACAAAAATTATCTAGCATCTTTGATATTTGCTTCTCGTCGCCTACAGCAAAAATCTTATGCTTTGGGATCCACAGATCTGAGACAATTGTCACAAAACATACACCGCAGTCAGTGATGGCAAAGTCTCTAGTGTGCGCTAGGCCTAGATTTCATATTTCCAGTGTTGTTTATGAACAGCATGGTTCTTAACTCATAAGCAACGAACTCTAATGCAAGCAGGTTGATTAAAAAAAATAATTTACCAGATAATCCTGACTCATCACTTCCAATTAAACTTCTTGCTTGGTAAATATGGGCACGAACAATAAACTTTTGTTTGGCTAAAAGATGAAAAAACCCAACTGAGAATTACTTTGTGTACTTCAAATGCTGCATTAAGTTTTTCTATCTTCTATCGTTTGCAGAAGCTAATTACGTGGATTACATGATTTCATAGAATGGGTGAATTATCATAGACAAGAAGAAAAACCCGCCCAGCTCCGGACTGAGGAAATTCATGTCCAGGTGCGTACTGAAAATCACGTGACAGGAGAAATGGCATTGACCAATCAGCACCTACTAGTTACATCAAATTGTATAGATGTTGCTTTAAACTGAAAAGATATTAAATTATACAGATCTTTCATCATTTTTGCATAGAGATCAATTATCTTTTGTCATCCTAATTTTTACGTTTTATCATCAAAATGATACCACTGTCATTGTAAAGAAGTTGCAAAGTTCAAGCATCATTGTTACAAAATGTTGCACAGCTATTGCATAGCATTTGCATGCTAGCATAGCATTTGTATGGTTTTCTCAAATGTCTGTAACGGAACTTAAAGATCTCGAGCATTGAATATCTGCCAATATGATATATAGCGTTGTAAATTTGATTGGGAGGCTACCGGGCGGTAGTTTCTTTAATGGCTGCTAGGGATATACTTATAGGAAAAATTCCTATATAAGTTATCTTTCAAAAATACAAACCATTGTAAATGAGTTCCTTTGGAGGAACAAAGAAAGCGATATTATCATCCTCCTGAAGGGAAAAAACAGTATTTCTATGATGTGAGGAATAAAGATTGAACAAAAGAGGAATTTCGGGAATTATCTGGCTTAGGCATAACCAGACGCAATATAAAGATTTCTTGTACTGCATTTTTACAAGTTAAAAAAAGATTTTTGCTTAACAATAATTGGTTTAAATGTACAACAATAGTAGTATGAAAACATTTAATACAAATTCATGTTTACTCTTATCATCTTTAATTGCAAGTCTGATTGTAAAATATTTTTTTAATTATAAAAAGTTTGAAATATAATTCTTCTAAATATAACTCAAAAATGAAACTTAGTTCTGATTAAAAATCATATCAGGCCTTCTGTTCCAAAACAAATTGAAAACAGTTTTTAAGAGCATAAAAACTAAACCAAAACTAAACAAAATCAAGGAATTGTTTCCGTACATCTTGATATCCAGTTGGCACGTCCTTCATAAACATCCCTGGGTATTTATTTGGCAGCCCAAGCCATAATCGAACTTCGATTTTCGCCTGAATCGCCCAGCCCTTTTCGCCGTGGCCTCGCTTACCAGGCAGCTGGAATAGCAAAAAATGAGGCTAGTCTGAACATAGTTAAACGAAGGATTGATAAAATAAACAAATAAGGAGACCAGAACAAATCTATCACGTAAAAAAGGAAATTATCAAAACAACTTTAAGAATTAGCCTCCATAATGGATGGCATTGAATACCTTTACGACAGCTAGAAAACTTAGTCAACTTTTGGGGTCCTATTCTTTGAGTCCTATTCTATGGAAAAAATGATTGCAATCCACAAAGTCCATAATACAAATATTTGCATGGCTGACCTAGTAATACAAAAATTGGCACAGATAAAAAATATGATACCATACCCGCTAATAAAAATTAAGATCACTCTTATATAATAGTCTCAAAGATAGAAGCGAATTTAATCAACAATAAAAAGTGTTAAACTTTTCAAGCTATCCACTTACTCGCAAGAATATAGTCTGCACTCTTCCCGAGTTAGTCCCGCGCTCAAAATCCAATTTCGAGAACATAACATCACTTGCTGGTATTCGCGTGTATGCAACGCGCTTGCCTCCGCTTAACATCCATATAAAAATGTCTGGAAGAGTTTGCTGTGGCTGAAATAAAATTTCAAAGGCAATGAAATCACTGTCTTTTAAAGCAGAACTCATAAGCGTGCAAGAATATTTTACAAATTACACTGATATTCTAACTGACTTATCCGAGAAAGACTGATCTTTTGCAGACAAAGTTAAAAATGAAAACTAATTTCCAATTTCCCATCACGCTTTCTTTTTATCATACATCGTGTATAAAATACATTCTGCTCGGCACAGAGTGTAAACGATGGATAACGATCAAAAGCAATGTATATCCAGATGCAGGGTGAAAGTAACGTGAGCAAAAGAATGGCTCGTTTGATCGGTTCCTTAAAACGTCCATCTATTACAAGTTTACATTCTACTTTCTTCTCATAAAGTATCCATACAGAGATTAGGCCAAGAGAGATTATTCGAGAGGTTTCTCGAAGCACGTGATAAATACCAACCTCGTGCACCACTTGCTTGAGTTTTCTCAACACTCCCTGGATTTTCTGGACGAATTCTTGAACAAGAGCCGGGTTCTCATTCAATGGATTCATCCTCATACATCCTTCTGCAACTTTTGCAGCCGTCATTGAAAGACTTTTCTGGAAAAAAGTACAAGGTGACTCTCAGTGATGCTGACGCAAACGATTATCAAATAAAAGTTTATCAAACGACTCCAGTCCTGCATCTGTTGATCTAGGCTACACAACTAAGCGGAATGGGTGTCGGGCAAAGAAATATCTTGATATGCCTTCAAAATTGCATTTTCCTTCTCCCTAAACTTTGTTTCCTAAAAAATCTGTGCCCTCTCTCTGTCTTCCTTCTTTTTGAATATCTAAATATTAAATATGTACATTAAAAAGACGCATTGGGGCTCACGAGTTTACTGCTGTAACAGCTCAACCATGATGGAAAAGACTTGGCATATTTAAAAGCGCAGGTAATGTCTTATTTAAAGCAAAATGATCTTTCAAGAAATCCCATGGAAGCAGATTAAATTCGGAACAGGCACACAAACATAAAGCTTCAATATTGGAGATAAGCTAGCTAAAAAAATCTACGAAAATACAAAAAGCAGTAATGATGTAAAATAAACCTCACCGATGTTGAATCAGGTAAATAACAATTAATTACAAGGCAGAAATATAGAAAAAGAAGCTATTGAAGAGAAAAAGAAAATTTCAGGTCCTTATTAAAAAACGAATTTAAATTGATGCTCCTTATATAAAGATGAATTATTAACTTAAATAATTGAATTTAAATTAAATAACATATCTACGAAAAGCGATTTCGATTTAGGCTTAAAAGTTAGAAGTAGCCAACAAAACACTAGAAGTTGCATGCTATAAAAATTACGGCAAACAAGAGGTCATACCACTTCAATAACGCAGATTCGCATTCGCTCTTTATCCAAGGGGTTTTTGCCAAGATAAATGCCAGTCTTTTTGCCATCATACAGCTCAATAAATAGACTACAAAAACCAACATCAAAATTTATAACCAATTAAGCTGATTCCACCTTAGGCTAGATAGCGGCACCTTAAGCCATACCTTTTATTTTAGGATTTCAAGATACCTTTAAAGATCTTGAGTTCTATGCATAACCGTTGCCTTGCATATTAACAATATGATGCATAGACAAAATTTCAAAATACCTTAAAAGAAAAGAAATAGTAAATTTTAAAGCAAGAATACAACAAGTTTCTATTTTGGCTGAGGTTTGTTTAACTGAAACGAATAAATAGGAATTTGGTTCTTTGACGAAACGAGGTAATTGAAATAAAATAGCCGTTCGTTTTGCAAATTTTCTAAAAGGGATTCCAGATACCCTGAGGATGTGGCTTTTCCTAACCCAACAAAATAAGTAACGCAATTGTGTTAGCTTTTGGAGTATTCGCTGCTGTCATATGAGCAAAGCATCTCATCATTGTTGTTACCATGCTTTTTTACTTAAAAAGATCTTTAATCGCCATTACGTTTACCTGCACATATGGACAATGTCCCCCATGAACCTTTTTAATAATCTATACGTTCCTTTCAACTCCAAACGGATACGTTCAACCAATTCCTCGAGATTCTCCTCCTAAAACGAAAATCAATGAAAGCATAAGCATTATGGAGCCCGGACGAATTGATTGACAGCAGTTTCAACGACATGTGACAATCATAATCAAAGTTTTAGAAGCTCACTACGCATAAATGTTAAACCTGTTTCTTCACTGACTTCCTCGCTAAGAAAGAATTATAAAACGCTAAGAAGGTTTCAACAGCACTGCAAAATAATGCGACAGATCGTCATGAAGGATTTTAAAGGATTTCAACCAAACATAACTTATAAGCAAGTCTCGTTCTATTGCAAAATGCAATACAAAATCCAAAAACATCAAAGGCTGCAGAGTTAGCAGCAGTGACGCAGGATGTTGAAAACAAAACAATCTCCACATTCAGGTCAAGCCATTTTTCGAAAGAATTAATCCTTTAGTCAACATTTGGAATACAGCTAAACTTCAAAATCCCCCAAATCTTAGAACCTGGATAGAAACACCAAAGAAAGTTATGAATATGAAAGTCTGCTTGCAAAATGAGCAACGTGCATACCAAAGTATTGTATATTTTTTGCAGCATAATTTTGTTGAAAGTTCTCCTTCGCTGGTCCTCAAAATCAAATTTGACGTAAGTACACGGTTTATTGGAACCAAACGGAATTGAGAAGTATTTCTCGTTATTTTGGCACACTGGGCGGATCGGAGCAGTCATCGTATTGGCCACGACGCCTTTGTTTAATAGAGCATCTTCTTCGTCCTCAATATCCTTTGCGTTGAGTTGCGGTGTGCCAGGTTTTCCGTTTTTCTGCGGAGGAGGTTCCTCTTCTAGGTATACCCCGAATTCACCTTTAAAGGATAAATCACAATAAAATGACAGGAAAATCGCAAATTGCTTTTTTGAACTTCATAGATAACCGAAATGGTGAACTAAATCTTATGTAACACAGAGAAAGTCAAATACGTTCAGATCAGCCACAGTTCTTCAAATTGGGGGCATTCGATGTATGACATTCGATAAATGACATGTAAAGAGAATCAAACTAAGGAATATGCCAACAACTGCAACAACTGCATCTACGTATCATATCGATATAAGTCATATTTCAATTAAAGCCACTTAATCGGCATGCATAAATTATCAGAAGAAATAGACACAGTATCTTTTATTACAAATAATCATACAATTTTGCAATGGAACTGAAGGCAACTGCGGTGCAATGAATTGCTAATATGCAAATGCATCAGCTACAAAATAAAACATCTCAGACTTCGCGTAGCCATGATTCAAGTGGGACAAAAGCCGCAATAAATGCAATAGCGGCCTATATAACCAAAATTCTTCTGTAGCCTGAACAAAATTACTCCATTGTTAATCGACGAAACTCAGATTTTCATCTTAAAAGTATTTTACTCCTTTCCAAAGAATCTTTACTACCGAAATAATGGACGAACAGCCTTTATCCTCCATGAAAGATATCAAACAACAGAATTCTATCATGGCTTCGTGAACTCTGAAATGATCTGTCAGCATCATGTCAATCAATATCAGCTTCATATGCCAATCAATATCAGCTTCATATGTCAATCAAAATCAGCTTCATATGCCAATCAATATCAGCTTCATATGTCAATCGAAATCAGTTTCATATGCCAATCTATATTAGCTTCATATGTCAATCAAAATCAGTTTCATATGCCAATCAAAATCAGTTTCATATGCCAATCAAAATCAGTTTCATATGTCAATCAAAATTAGCTTCATATGCAATCAAAAACAGCTTCATGTCTATCAACCTCAGCTTCATATGCCAATCTACATTAGCTTCATATGCCAATCAAAATCAGTTTCATATGTCAATCAAAATTAGCTTCATATGTCAATCAAAAACAGCTTCATGCCTATCAACCTCAGCCTCATATGCCCATCTACATAGCTTCATATGCCAATCAAAATTAACTTTATATGTCAATCAAAAACAGCTTCATGTCTATCAACCTCAGCTTCATATGCCAATCTATATTAGCTTCATATGCCAATCAAAATCAATTTCATATGTCAATCAAAATCAGCTTCATATGTCAATCAAACCAGCATCATGTCTATCAACCTCAGCCTCATATGCCAATCTACATAGCTTCATATGCCAATCAAAATCAATTTCATATGTCAGTCAAAATCAGCTTCATATGTCAATCAAAATCAGTTTCATATGTCAATGCGTCAAAAAACTCACCAATAGTAACTTCAAATTCAACTGGTTTGTCGCCAAGCTTCTTGGGTATCATACTTGCTTCATAAAACGTAGCAAATAGAAGATTTCCCTCTGTTCTTCCGATAGTTTTCTACAAAAGTAAACGTTTCCTTAGGTTAGTAGTTTTTACTAAACTTGTAGCTTATCAAAAATAGCTTGGATGAAAGGAAGCCAGTCTAAATGATATAAAAAAGATTCAATATACTTTTATTTCAGACATTATCACCGATTATCACGATAATATCACCACTGCCAAACTTAGTTCTGGCTACAATAAAATGACCCTCCCGTTTATCCCATTTAGTCGCTGACACCGTGCTTCTTCTTTTTCTCAATTTCTATCATATCTCCTTCACTACTTTTCGTTTCTTCCGTTATTTTCAATTATTTGCCTTTATTATTACCTCTAACTATTTTCCCTCTTCCTTCTTATTCCAAATCTTTATATATTTTTTCTTCCCTTACTCCCCTTTTTTTCCCCGACCCGTTCCACCATTCTTCTTCTTGTGTTTCTGTCCCTAGTTTTTCCATTCCAATGCTGCACCCAATTTGGTGACTTCTTTCATTTCTTTTCTGTTTTAAAATACCCACCCATAAATTTCCCTAATGAATTCAATGTGTCTCTCACACGTTCCCGTTTCCGTTTCAGATCCCCTCCATTTCATTTAACATCCTTTCTTGTTCTTCTATCTCAACTTCAATCCTTGCTCCAAAATATTTCCCAATCGAGCCCCTTCTCTAGCTCAAGCAAGTTGCAGATACCTTAGGAGGGCGAGGGGGGGGCGGCAGCCCACTAATATACTAGAAGACAGTGGTATTTTGTTCATAAACAATGAAAAAATGTAATGTCATATCAACAAATAAATTGGCTTTTACCCCTTCAACGGGCATCTTTGTGACGTCTTCCACGTCAACGTTCCCTGTCTCATCGGGCTCGCATTCAAAGCAATCCATCTCCATTAAAATTCGACCTCTGTAAGAAATACCCTCACCCTGCAAAGAGAAACCAATTCAAATAAACAAAAAATTGATTCAACGTTGTAACTAGTACAGTGAAAACCAGCATTTTTAGCGACCCTCGTATGTAATCTTTTCATTTCATTTATTGAAACCCTGTGACGCCGATGCAATGTCCCGTGGTCAAGGCAACAGTAATTGACCGGTTTTTGTTGTTGTTGATGTTGTTGTTGTTGTTGTTGTTGTTGTTTTGTGATTGACGCCTGTTATATCCGTGGTATATGGACAAAAAAATAAGAAAACAACTAATGGAGAAATATAGGGCTCAAGATCAATTCTCAAATCAAAAAATATTCAACTTGGGTGGAAAAGGTTACTTTGTTAACATCATAATCAAGAATAAAAGATAGCTTTCAAATAAACATACGATTCCGTTGTTCAGATCAATGTGCTCATCAAACATCGTGTAATCTCTTGTTGAACCATACAAGTGAATCCACGATGGGCCAAACATGGGCATGAAACCTAACGAAACAACCGAAACGAAAAATTAAAATGGGTCAAAAGAATTATTTGCAATACATGTACGAAAAATTCAAAATATGTCAAAAGAATTATTTGCAATACATGTACAGTCTATCACAGTTAAAATATCTATCACAGTAATCCTTTTAACAACATAAATTCATTTAGCAATTAAGGTTTAATTTTTGATTTCCAAAGGAAGTTCTTTTTTATTGGTTACGTTAAAGAAAGGTCCGGGGCCTGAAGCAAAACCCTACCAATAGAAGGCAGGGGCAAGAAAAGAAAAGAGAAGGAATTTGATGAATTTTGCAAAAAGGATGGGTCGCAATAAAGCCCAAGAATAAAATTTCTGATGTTCTAGGCCCCTGTTTAACCAAATTAAATTGTTGTCCATTTTTGTACCTTTTTTATGTATCCAGGTATAACTACCAGCTTTTTTAAATAGATTGCTATAAGAAAAATTTGCCAGGGACGGAATACTAGTTCGATAATTCTGCACTCTTGAATTAAAATATTTTTTTGCTTCTCGAGGGGAGATTTTAAGAATGACTGCATTTCTTTGTGACATATTGGGACTCTCATTATAAAAATATTTCAAGAATGTAGTGAGAGAATTCCTCATCTATATATGAATTTTGAAGATTCTTTGTTGCAACTTACCAAGATGCTTATCGCCCTTGTTCGAAATTTGTTCAATATCGATAAAATAGGTACCAATAGGTTCGTCTGACACTGCATCGCTGCAATATGTATTTATAATATAATAAAAGAGAATGAATGCATTAATATAAGTTTAATCTAAATATCACATATAATAACTACAACAAATGAAGAATTTATCATAGAAGAACAAATATTCAACCCTCAAATGTAAAATTTGCATATAAACCCACAAACATACAACCAGTAGGTTAAAAAGACAGAGAAAGGAATAATGGTTTATAAATATTATGATTTTTTATCGCAGTTCATAATGAAACAAATGAAGGTTCGTTTTCTTCTGTTTTGTTCATTTTTTTACTATCTTTTTTCTGCTGGAAATCGTTTGAAACACTCAACTTTGATCACTGACACATCATTCGGGACTCAAGATATCCTTGGCGAAAGTCTATTAATTTTCTATTATTTGTGTCATTCTTAAGTATCATTCCGGCTTTGAGCTTTCCTTTAAAAAGTGATTATTGAATCATATCTATCATGATTTTGAGAGGAAATAAGGAAAGCTATGAACAAACCTGTCTTTCAGTTGAATTTTGACAGTCTTACACAAGGGCGGGAACTGAAAATGACAAAAAAGCATTCCAGGTTTATTAATCAAGAACCGTAATACGAAACTTCGGCATTAGGTTTCCCAATTATTAAAGAAAAAATAAATCTTGAAAAAATATGATAAAACGGCACCATTCAAACGATTACTTGAACATATTAACTGGGCGAGAAGCTGACTCGGCCCATCATATTTGATCTACACCAGTATTAAAGTTGTTTTTGTGTTACAGAAAGAACAATTACTTATCTTCTAAAAAAATATAAAATTTATCGGGTAAAGGATGAAATAAATCTCTGAAAGTCTTGTAAAATTAGCTGCATCCACTGTTTGAGTTATTAGATATTTAATGAGAATTTAAACTAGATTTAAGTAGGAATGAAAAGTAGGAACAAGAGCATGTTCAAAATAGAGCCGATTTTGAATCAATGTTGCAGCACTTACGAATTCAGTAAAAACAATTTGCTGTAGAAACTCTGGCTTGTACGTATTCTTCTTGGTAGAGGTTTTCCCCTAAAGTTGGAAAAGGTTCAACAAAAGTTCTGTTTACAAAAAGAATGCGAAATCCTGTACAATAAGAAATTACGTTTCTGACATCTATTCTCAACAAAGCGATAAAATAAACTCTGCAAACGGCATTAGAAGCAGAAAAAGGGAGCGTAGGGTAGAACACAGGGATACAGGATAAAACAAAAAATATAGAAATTCAGTAACCTCCTACGTTTAATTGTTCCAGGCTAGACTACATTGCTAGGGTCTTCAAAACTCATAAAATGCTCTAAAAATATCCAGAGCTCTTTTTCTTTTATACAAATAAATCTGACTACGACAAATAAGAAGAATAAAATATGAAGCAAAAATGTATTTCAATTTCAAATTCAGAAGAAGTCCGAATCTCATCAAAAAAAAGATTTCAAACATAAGGATAAGGAGGATCGACAAATTTGCATATAGCAACACAAACCTTGATTCCAGCAAAAGTTATTTCTACAAACGGATCCGCCATATCTTGCGTCTAAAAACAAAAGACCTGGAACTTAAAAGATCAAATTTGCACTGCAACAGAAAGTCAACTCCCTTTAATAAATAATTCCATTCTCCTTTGGTCATAAATATTTTCTATTTTCAAGTACTTGCATCGCTACTTTCTCACTAGCAAGAAGAAATGACTTGAATTGAGAAGTGAGAGGGAGGTAGGAAAGATTAACCTAACATCACCTGTTTTTAAGTTAATTAAATATTTTGCTGCGTTAATGAACAATATTGGACTTTTTCATAATAATCGATGCTATACAGACAGAACTGTACACGCTCGGGCACATACAATAGGGCGTTAAGAAATACAGCTTCGATGTTAACTGAATAGTTGTCTGATGATAAAATTAAGCATGGAACTTGAAATTACGACTTAGAGCCGTCCTGATACATATATACAAAAGCTTTTGGAGATAAACCACAAAATTAGCCTCTACATTCCTTCTAGTTTTATCGTTTGCAGATAATTCATAATTCATAATTTATTGGATCTGACATCTTTACCAAATTATAGTCTTGGGTTATATAAAAAGCAAAGATTGATGTTGGGAATGCACAAATAAAAGATGTAGCACGAGAATGAAAGTGAGTGTAAGAAGGTATGTACCAATTCAAAACTGGATGAAGAAAAACGACGTTTGGGATAACTATCCACAAGAGTCAGGGAAACATACCTTTCGTGTAAGGGCCTTTTTCACATTCGCCATTAATTTTGCATTCACTAGGCAAGTAAACAAGATTCAAGTAAAATAAGAATTGAAAGATAAAAGTGCTGGATGCAGGTTTTGTTGGGCCTACTATGCTTGGATAAGTAAGAAAATGGAATCAACTGGCGGGGGCCAATAAACGGCTTGTCGAAAACAAGGTTACTGAGTCCTTCGTTCATTCATACTTTCTTGATGTTTTCAGAAGAAAAGAACAAAAAAAACCAAACGATTTTAATGCAAAGCTGTGTGATATACTGTTTCATTTGTAAGAACATTTCTAATGATTAAGCATGTTAAAATTCAAGAAAATCTTGGGCAACAGAAGATTCCAATAAGTCATCTTTAAATTCTTGCCAACTTGAATTAACCACATTTTTAAAAAACCACACGAGAAGGAAGCTTTTTATTAAAAATCAAACAAATTGAAAATTGAGAAATTTCAGCACATGTCCAAATAGGCACTTAATTAATTCAAGAATAACGGACAATTGATCAATAGTTTTCTTATTAAGAAACTGTCAGTTCTGCGATTAGCATATCGAAGTAGAACACTCAGGCAAAGTATTCTGCAATTTTGCATACAGGCAACCATTTGGCAGCGTTCATTCGTAACCAAAAGCTGATACCACATTCAGTTGTGGCATATGTTGGGTATAACAAGGACACAGAGAACTAAGGTTTTTTTTGTTGATTTTCTTTCGACTATTGGCATGCTTGTTGATATGTACTTCTGTAGGAATTATTAATTTAGTGGAGCAATTAGTTATTTTGGTTCTGATAACTACGTTTTGGCGACAAGATTATACCGCCTTTTCGCAAGTTTCTTGCTAAATTAGGTAGATTAAGCGGATCACAGAAATCTGATTACACAAAGAATAAAAGTTAGGAATGTTAACCCGAAATGATTGTCTTTCCGATTTGCTTGCCTTATATTTAAATACAGCAAATTAAAAAAAGATACTAAAGATTGTGGCAAAAAAATGCATAACTTACTCTGCGGTAAGCCTTCTGCGCGGAATACTTTGAAGACATATTTGAAAACAGGCCTACACAATAGGGTGTTTTCTGGGTAGATTAGATTCCTGGAATGCAAAGCTTTGTTTAAAGAGGATGAATATCAAAATAAAACAACATAGAGGAGAACACAAGACAGCGTCTATATTCCACGAATTTTCGATCGCAAAATAAGAGAGAACAAAGGGGTACAATCCTGGTCAATTTAAAATAAACTAAGGAATGGAAACGAGCTGTGTCCAAGGAAATGATTTGATGGAATATCTATTAACAAAAAGAAGTTTTGATACAATTGGCTGACATTTCATAAATCTGTCTATTACCATTTAAATATCCGTCACTTATCGGTTCAGTAAGAATGATGTAAGGGAGGAGGAGTGATGTTTCATATTTGTTACGTGATGTCTATGAACATGGGTGCTTAAGACTAGATACAATGAAATGGTTAAACGACCCATTTACAACAAAAACCACTGATTAGATTTTTAAGGACATTCTCGAAAATTAATTTGTTCGTTGTTTCCGAATGGCTTTCACACAGGGAATTCACCAGAAGTGGGGTTCACAGGGTTTTATTGGAAGGACAAAAGAGCTCCTTTGGAAACCCGAATTGGTGGACTTGCATGTTGATAATGCGACAACAGAGAAAGCTTACAACTCAATATCTTCATCTTTATCTTTTCTCGGTGGAGGGTCCTGCAAAATAGCGTTAAAATGGTCGTTCGTAGAAAACGTCAGGTTTCGAAAACTATACGAAAATAGAGAAGGAGAGACTATTTCATCATGCATTGGGAAAGAAGTAGGATCTTTGTAATAAAAATTTGGTTAGCCAAGTTATTAGTTATGTCATTAATATAAAACTTACTGAATAAATATTCTAATGTTTATTAGCTACAAAAACAGTATGGAAATAAAATGCAAATAAATTGACAATCTATAGCTTAAAAGATTTAGTTTTTCTATAAGATACAAAGAGGATGCAAATGAGAAAAGATAAAACAAAAAATCTGTTAAAATGGAAATAGGGTAAGACTTTCCAGTACACCAATGTATTAAAAGCGTATGGGGATATCTTGAAAGATCTGGAGTCTCAGAATACAAAAAAAAATTCTTAGCAAAATTAATAAATATTTTAGATTTTCTCTGGTGTGGCATAATATAATGAAAGTAGAATACATACTCTTTGAATATCTCCTTTGCCAAATACACAGAGATCCAATCGAAGGTACCCCTGTGAAAGAAATGACAAGGTTAATACTTTGCAAATAAAAATACGAAATGGGATATTTTGTCAAAAACTACGAAAAACTACGTAACTTTCCAGAGTCGCTGCTTGCAGGTCTGTCTATTTTATGTGCCTTACAGTCTTGCATACAAACTTAGGTACCTAGAGTTTCAAAAATGCGATAATGTGGTAATTTTTAACTATGAAAAACACATAAATATAATTTAATTCTAATTGCAAAAGTAGCTTAAAGGTTTACTTCAATAACGGTCTAACTGCAAAGAGAATGCTGCTGTTCTTTAAGCTATGGTTGATTAGGATAGATATTGCTAGCTGTGGTTAAAGAGCATGACGATTTCAAGTTGTAAATCTGAGTTTGAAGTTGTAACTAAGAGTTACACTACGGTTTGGGACTTCAATTTAAAGTGGGGCCTGAAATCATTTTAGAATCTGGAATTTAGATCAAAAAATTTTAAATGATGACAATTATTTTATTTATGCGAACTAAATGCTTTGGGAGAGCTGGCGTCGGCATTTCAAAGAAAGCAAGGGCTTTTGGATTCACAAAAAACTTGAGTAAGGGAGTGTGTTAGTTTATTTGAGAGAACAACAGATCGACTAATGAGTTACACGAAAATGCATGTTGCCTTTAAAGATGGAATTCTAGATAGGCTATATTACTTGCGAGCTTGTATCGAATCTCTGTCAAAATAGATAGGACGAAAGAATCAATGAGGAAGAGGAGAGGGCAAATATCTTTCCAAACGTGAAACAATTTTTTACGAAATTTTCTTATACGTTGAACTGAACTAGATAAATGGGTTTGATAGTTTTTCCTAAAAATCAAGCTTTCTGCCAAATATGATAACTAGTTCTACCGTCCCTTTAAATTCAAGGCAATTGTACTTAAAGATTAAAAGGATCCACAAACATTGCAGAAAATTCTTTTACCCTGCATTCTGTGTTGGCCCCGTCGACAAGTGGAGCCCATTTGCTAAACATGCAGTGATCTAAAATAGATGTAAACTAATCAAAGCTTACTGATAAAAAGACAAAAAAATCAACATTATCATATTATTATGCATTTAATGCTTCTGAAGAACAAAAAAGAAGTTAGCGAAAGGAAACAGCATTGGCAGTTTCAAGGTCAAGAATTGTATAAAAAAAATTTCCACGTAAATTTTGGGAAAATTCTTAGAGAATCAAAACATAAGAAATCTTTATACAGAAAAATACAAAAGCAAAGTTCTGATATTAAGTGAAAAGACAGTCTAAGATTGACTAAGTTAATCAAAGGCTTTTCAACAAGCACTGGGAAATATCGGGAAACATTGGAAAATGGTAATACTTTGTATAGAAAGGCTCTGTAATTACTGAAGAGTAAAGGATCGCGATATAATGCAAGATAATTCAAGAAAACTATTAACAGCAACATTGAGCTTCTAAATTGTTTAAAACATCTATCATACTAAAGCAATAAAATTTGGGATATATTTGAGAAAAATACTTCAAGTAGAATAATAAACTCACCTGGTTGTCTGTAAATGTACCACAAGTCCAGCTAAGAAAGACGATCTGGTATTTAAAATGTATCGAAAAACTAGTCAATTGAAACACTTAGCATTGAATACAAAGGCAAGACACTAAATTTTACACAAATGCACGTCTATATCGTGAGTAAAATCTTGAGAAAAGGATGACACTAAACAACATGGCTCTTTGAGGAAAAGCTACATAATCTCACGATAGAAACTTTTCAATATCTTTCTCATTAAACCTTTTGCATGTTGCAGTGTTTGCTGCCTTTGAATTCTACTATAAAGCTAATCACAGATCCACTCACACAACTGTGTTTGAAAAAGGTTTAAGAGTTTGAAATGGTAAATCCGTAGAGCTAGTAACTAAATTTGCAAACTTAGCAATCTGTTGACAAGCAGGCTATGGAATTGATGGTTAAAGCTGCAACGAATGATTGCTTAGAACACTTATTGAATAGTACCAACATTTTTTGCAATGCTTAGGATGATGAGTATCAAAAGTATAACTAGCCTCCTATTCAAGTCCTAATTTTAACACTTTTTAAAATCGGAGGATGCATAGCCAGGCCTTCAACCGAAGGTTACAGTTAATAAAGACTCCATCAAAGCTCCATGACCCATGACTATACAAACACATGCTAGTCAGTTGTGATATACTTGATGATGCAATACATTTGACTTGCTATTTTTGCGTTACATAACCTAACGTCTGACTGTGACCATAACCTAATGTCAAACCGCTACGATCCCGTAAAATGCCGACAAGGAAAGAGCATCTTAGTCTTTGAAAAATAAAGAAAAAATTCACCTTGAATGAGCCGACGATGCTTCCTTGGGAAATGATATTCCGACCAGTATATACCTGTAAAAAAGTGCAAAGCTTAAAAATTATGCTGGATGAAGCCTGCCTGCGGAGCAAATCAATACAGCGATAGGAGACAGGTCTTAAAACGCCACAAAGAGAGTTGCGTGACCAAAGTGTTTCTGTTTAAAACTGTGGAATTTCTCAACCTTGGGAGGCCAAAGAGGATGACAAGGATTTTAAGAGTACAGATGACACGCAATACAAGCATTCACAATTTCTACCTTCAATTGACGGCAAATACATCTAACTGGACCTAAAAACACGTAGCATGCATCTGTTCCAAAGAGCAAACAGGGACACTGGCACAAGAAAATGACAGTGGGGCAACTCGTGGAAAAAGCACCAAAACGTTTATCAAAAATGCCTGTTTTATTAAACTCTACAAGAGCACTTTTTACCCTTTTTACCCTCTCGTACTGTAGGTGTCATTCTCTCATACTACTATTTCTTATCCCTTCCTTCTATTCAAAGTCGGATAATATGCATTTTAGTAGCAAAAATAGCAACATAGCACTGGTGGGAGGGGGTGCATAATTGAGACACTGTCAAATAAATCCTCCAATCTTACTTTAACCTTACTTCAAGAAAGTTATCGAGTTCTTGTATAATAGATAAAGAATGTTAATGGATAAACTATTTCACCCTTAATACACGGTCATGCACTTGAATGCACTCCTGTATAAACTGGGGTGTCTTCGGGTAAAGAGCGTTTATACACAGCCAACAGACTTTGAATATGAAAAATCCTAAGCATCAAAATTCCTGGCTTCACAGCTTCTCACAGCAGCAAAAACGAAACTAGATAAAAAAACCTTTGTTACAAAATTAGAATATTACACTTTCATAGTGGCTACTAAGCACCGTTTGCCAAAAAAACTAGAAACTTGCACAAGATTGTCGGAGAGCCTTAGTCTCCAGATTATGGTATTTTATCACCTTTATAAAGATTGCGGTTTATTTCAAGCACGGAAATGCAAACAAACAAATTTGATGATAAACTAAAAACTTTAAAGATGACATCGAAGATGCATAATATTTAAACAGACTTCTATTGATTGGTCTAATACAAAGTTTTGTCTGGAGAATAGTACAATTCTACTTTGTCCGTTGCCTGTTGCAAAGAAGTGTGAAGCTCGGTGGATTAGCTTAGTACCGCCCGGCTCTTTGTAAAAAAGCCATGCAATTATCCAGTATATATAAGCTACTCTTCTGATAGGGAACCGGTTTTTAGATGCAACCAATAATGCGAAGCGATCTTATCAATTATTTCAAGGTGCATTATAGCCCACAGCTTGTGTTAAGTAAAATATGTTTAAATGAATGTATGCTCAACGAATGTAGGCCGGAAAAGGGAGGCCTGAGGAGGCAGGCCTAAGGGGGCAGGCATGAGGGGGCAGGCCTGAGGGGGCAGGCCTGAGGGGGCAGGCCTAAGGGGGCAGGCTGGAGGGAGAATAAGCCCTGGCCTACAAATTTTCTTTGATCCTTTCAGTGAAAGTGATTTGATTGAACGACAGACGGTTCTCAGTGCATGGGTGATATTTTCTTTTGTTTACTTACATCGAACTTGAGCATTTGATCCAGTGCTTGGGTCTCCGTCATGATGAGCTCCATGCAGAAATACTTCATGTAAGGAAGATAAAAAGTAAAAACTAAAACTGAAGACGCAAAGTGAAAATGCACTAATTCTTAAAATAGTGATACTTTGCTATGAATGCTTCAGAACGGGTCAATCAAAAGTCCTGGCGACCTTTTCACATAAAATAACGTTATGTAGAAGAACATTAAATTGTAGAAGATATTCAACTCGGGATGGACTTAATAAAAGGCTATGAATTAACTACATTGCTCTAAACATTAAACCCAAGTGGAAACTGTAAAAAATATCCAAAGTAGAACATCACAAAAGATATAATAATATTAAAGCATGTGATGAAACAGCGTGTCAAAACAATAACCTTTAAAAAGGAGACAAACTAACATCTTTTCTAGTAACGAAGAGCTTTAATAAAGTTGAATTCAAAAGACTATGAATAAGGAATCCTTTAAATTTCCACAAAAATGCTAAATTTTGGTCTTGTTCTTTTAAACAATGGGACACATAAATATTCTGCAAACAACTAAATAACTAGAGACTACTTTAAACCGCCCATCAGCTGACAACTAGCCACTAATCTTAAAAATAGTTACTTATCTTACATCACCTAAGTATGGATTACCAAATCGTAACTCAGATTATTAATCTTACCTCATCCCAAATTGGATTATTCGTCTGAGGTTTCACTGTCGTATTCTTCTTCATTTCCCCGAGGGTAATCGTGACAACAGGATCCAGGGTCATACCAGCCAAGTCTCGTGCCTCTATGACGCGAACTTGGATCTAGAATACATCAAACTGTTATCGAAAAAAATTCTAAACAAATGTCTGTAAGAAAGAAATAGTTTGAGCAAATTATTTGATAACAATCTTTTCAATTCCAATACTAAGATACAATGCAACATAGAAAATCAAAAACTTTACCTATATCTAACAAAATTTGGAACATCAAACAAGCTGTAAACAAACAAGCTCCCCTTGCATACCGCCTTACAAAACTATGAGTAAAACGGGGCAAAATATCTAATTATATCTAAATTATTAAATTGTATAACTGTATACATTGCGGTTGAATTACTTTAAACTTTTTGTTATTTTCCTGGCACCTGTGTAACTATATCGAATCCTTCAATGGCAGAATTTAAACAGTCAAACGAGCAACTTTATTCAGGGTAATTTCTACACATTTTTTTAGAATTTTCAAGCTCGTTTCTATTCAAAATTTCAGCTGGTTGTAGAAAATTTCCCTCATCGTTGGGCTGCACGCTTTGTATTAGCTAACAACTGCCTATAACCTAAGTTACAAAAATTGAAGAAGAATGCAACATATCACAGCAGGCAGCAATGCATGTTTTACCTGGAATTCGGTTGACGTTGCATTGACCATAGAGGGGGGCATAATTCTTGGGTGAAACAATCTGAATCAAGAAAAAAAACTTATCACTTTAATTTACAATGCAAATGAGATATATTCCACAGTTTTAGTTCTAAGAAACAGTGAATGCAATGACCAAAATAGAAGTATGGTATTGAAACATATTGGCTAAAAGCTTTTTCGTCTGACACTCCTCAGAGCATAAAACGTCAGAATAGGGTTCCGAAAGAACACGATGGAAAATATATATCCAGTTGTGGATCGAAATAGGCCAATCAGAAAAACGCAAGCACAAGACCGATATAGTTGACCAATCAGTGCCGCGAGCCTAAAGAAAAATTACCACTGGAGTCCAAGAGAGAAAACGAACTCCTTCTGCGTTTTATGTTATGAGGAGTGTCAGACGAAAACGCTTTTAGCCAAGATTTTATAAAATGTTTCCTTTTTTCAAGTTCTGTACCACCAAAAATAAAAATACTTTTTGCAGATCTTGTTTTACGTAGTTTGCTAATTAATGGCTTTGGTATAATTTGATTTAATTCAAGGAATAGTCAAGCAAGACTGTAAAGAAAACCCTTAAACTTTGTCAGACGCAAATATCTCGTCGACAACTGACTTTAGGAATATGATATACTTGTGATCAACAGAAAGTCCAGATATTTGTGAACTTACGTTTCTTTGAAGCACAAGAAACATAGACGTGAACAGCGTCTTTGCAAAGGAAAGTGGTCCGGAAATGTGCAGTCATTTAATGAGCAGTCAGTCCTGATTTCATCAACTTATATCTTATTTACATATATAGAGTTAGCAACCTTCAAGAACAGTTAATTTCAAACAACTTATAGCTCATAATTTACAATTATTGCTTGTCTAGTATCCATTGTCATATATTTTAATTTTCATGGAGCAACTAGGCCAGCTTCACATTTAAGTTTTTATGTTGGACTTGCAAAGAATGAAAAGTTTCTACGTTGGACTTGTCATATTTATTATTGATGACAAACTAACTGAGTGGCGTGACGATAAATTAAGAAAGCGCCCATCCCCGAAAAGGCGCCCCCTCGAAGTTAACGATAAGTTAAAAAGTGCTTTTAGAGAAAATACGATAGCTCTCTGTTTAGACGAATGTTGCAACTTACTCTTTGTCATCATGCAGGTCTGTGGTGTCCTTGGCACCATCCATGCCTGTAATACTGCGATTAGAGAACGTCGTATATGTCGATTTGTATGATTTCCGACTCTTTGTGTCATCATTTCCAACAATGTTATCCGCAAAAAGATCAATCGCCGTAGGTTGCAAGTATCTCACTGAAAATTTTACCTCAGTCTGCAAAAAGAACAAAGTGATGCTAAAAACATTATTTAGAAAAAAGCTAATTGGCATTTATCACTATTTCAATCATTTATGTTTTGCTGGGGTTGGAGGAGCAAAAGGGCCATCTTCGTAATTTGTAAACAATAGCGGTGTTGTGGGAAAACCCCAAAAGCCCCTATTTTAGCTATCCCTTTTACTGTATCAGTATCATACTTTAAAGGGGGCCCTTAGCCTCCCCAAAAATTTCCAAAATAAAATCATTAAAAACTGCCTTGCTCTTGGAATTTAGCATGTTTTTAGCCCCACCCCCACCAAAGAAAAAGTTTTGTCTCCTCAGTCTGCAATATGCTCCGCGCTCCTTGATCAGAAACATTACATTATGATAAATGCCCGAGACTTGACCAAACCAGAACTAAGCACGACAGCCATGAGACATAATCATAATAATAACGTAGCGAAGACCACTGATGAAAACTCACAGGGAGGAGTTTGTGATTTGGTGACAGCAAGGGCTCGGCATTCTCAAAGTGGCCTTGAGCAACTACAACTTTGAGGCGTTGTCTGTACGCACCAATTAGCCTGGAATAGAAAATGTTACATATTTCATAAGAAACTGGCTTGTTAAGAACTGGTACTCGTTTGATCGGAATGTTTATCTGATTATATTCGGTTGAGCCATTAAAGAGGCGAAAATCAAAGTTGTAGGTTTGATTCTGGCACCGTGCAAAAAATCTACAGGGCACAAACTCTAGGAGATTGGCAAGCAATGACTTTTATCATCTTTAACATTAGACACAAGAAAAACGCACTGTGTAAAAAAACAACAACATCCAAGCAACATAATAGGAATTGAATCTACCAGATCTAAACCTAATGCAGCTAGATTTTAGCAGCCTTCCGATCGCATTAAGCGTGGAACAGCGAGCTGCAGTTTAGAACTATCCTGTTCTATAGACCAAAGCGGGTAGATTTCAGAATGGTTTAGCGTACCTTATTTTGGGCCCTTGAAGACGGTTAATCAAGCAATAGAAATGCAAAAGCCAAGTCCACTAAAAGTTAAATAGTTGATCAAGGTATTCCAAAGTTTTGCATTTTGCCTCTTCGTTTTGGCAAAGGAAATAGAAAAAAGTTCCATGGGTCTTAAAAATTTGAGCTTTTTAAGGAGTTCGTTTAAACGTTATCCTCCTTTCTGTTGTGCCTACATCATATCAGCACTCGACAGCTTGAATCGTAAATCCCTCTTTCGCTCTTGACCAAAAAAAATTATCAAAACTGGGGTGAATCAGACATCCAGAAAAACACGAGCTGTTTTATCTCAAAATAGAATTTCATTGAAAATGTTTAAGGGTAAATGACTGGAAGTCCCCTGCAAATCAAACATATTCTCAGGGGTAGCACTGGCAGAGGATACCCTATTTTAGCATACCAGCCTTCCTGCCAAATTACGTTTATAAGTCTGAAAAAATGAAGACAATTCAACCCTTCAAGTTGGATGAGAAAGTTTTTAGCACCTCTGCATTTTCAATTCAAGTTGAAAGCAAACAGACCTATCTTGAAATACTTTATTTCTGTTGAAAACTCGAATTTCAAGCGATTCGTCCGCATCAAGTGGTGATGACAAAGGCCAGTTGAAGGTCTAAAAAAATAGAATAATAACCACTTTCATTAAACGAAAAATATCAAAGCAAGTCTCAATAGGAGAAAGTAAATAAGAAAATATTCATTTATTTTTGAAAGCGCACAAATAGATATTTTGAGAAACGTGAAAAATGCAAAGAAAAACTATATGAAGAAAAGAGATCCGTACACTTCTGAACTGAGCTTCATTGCCACAATTTTCTCTGACTTCAGAGTCTTGGGAGACACCTAAAGAAAGGATTATATTGTCAGTATTCTATGTGTATAAAAATCTATGTCCTCTTAAGAACAAAGTTTAGTTTAGTTGATATCTTTTTAAACAAAAGACTTTGTAGAATATTCAATCAGACAATATAGAAGACATAACATAAAACAATGAGACATTTGAGACACTCGAAAGAAAGCATTTACATTGTTCCAATAAACATTCCACTGCCATAGAAACATACTCAAATTGCTGAAATTTCAAGCAATTGTTAATTGTCAATTGTTGAAACAAGTAATTTAAACCTTCAAGATATGGTTTCTTTACAGAATGAAGGGTGGATGAAGTGGTGTATTTGTGACTTGTTTTGTGTGAAAACAAGGGGATAATGCTCTGTTATATATGCCTTGGAATTCGAACTTTAGGAAAATATACACAAATATATTTTTCATAGATCTACAATGCTTTATAACTAAACTTTTATCATTCTGAAGACCAACTAAAATGTTGTCAATTAGCCCCATCCTCTAAGAAAAGGAGCCTAAATAAGCATAAAGTTAACAGACTTAACCAGACAATGAAACCAAAATTCCAAAATAGCACTTCTAAGAATTAAAGGTCTCCCTGAACCACAATAATGATAACTTTGAGAATTTTAAAAAAGTTGAAAACCTGAAACAAGTGGGCTTTCATGGAGATGAAAATGATGTGGTTATTTCCTTAACACAGTATCTGTATTTTAGAAACTTGCCTTCAAAAGTGGCTGGCAGCTTGCAAGCATTTGTTTTATGGGCTTATAATCAAAATATGATCATTTCTTATACATTCCATAAAAAATGATAAATTTATGCTATAAACTACACTACTGACAAAAACCATTAGACAACAATACCAAGAAGGAAACCGTGGGGAGCAAAAGGCTGTGACTACTGTGGAGCTATGACACAAAGTTAAAACTATAATATGGCGATTTCTCCTCAACATAGGTTGATATTGTAGATTATTATATTATACAAATTTTTACATTCATTAATTCCAGTATATTATTGCGAGTTTCAGCAGCGATGGACAATTTCCTAAAATGATGGCAGTGCAGAATTCCAGAATTTATGCCTAAATAATCTTGGCCATAACCAAAACAAAACCAGCAAAATGTTTTTGATAAACAAAAGCTCATTATCTGTGAAGGGGTAAACAAAATGTATGCATGTAAACATTGGAAAAGGTGTGTTTGTCCAGATGCAGTTTTATTCTTCTTAAGAACTGATGGTAAAAAGGTAAAAATAATTGGCAAAAAACAAAAAGATGATTCTTTGAAAAAAGCCAAATGAAAACTGGGGCTTAAAATAAATGGATTACAGCAGAAATGTGATCAAGAAAAGGCATTGCCAAGTTATAATTCAATAACTCCTTTATGATTCTGAGCTTGATCCTGAAATTTTCTATGTGGATTAGGACTTTCAAAAATATTAGAGTGACTCAAGACCAAAGGCATGAGGTATTTCATAAATGGGGGCTGCAAACTGAGGAGGTGTTTCTTAGAATTGGGTTGTTGCAAGTACAAAAAAGGGTCATGTCAGCAAGGCAAAATAGGCATGCCTGTTGGTATTTTCTGTTTTTAGACTATTAAGTCTAGTTCCACCCTAAATTTGATGCAGGTATGTTCTAGCTCTGTAGACCAGCACAGAGGGCACCTAATATGTTTTTTTGGGGAAGCAGGAATTGTCATTTTTTGAAGATGAGAATCAGGAATTGGCAAAATTTGTGAGCCAGATTTGGGAATTGATAACAGAAGGATTCAGGAATTGATGGTCAGGAATCAAGCTATCATTGTAGCAGGATATTTTGAATCAGAGGACCTACTGAGTACCCTTGTATATAACCACAAAACCTCAACATAAATGGATGTCTACAAGCACTTTTGGTAGCAAAATGCAAGTCAAGTGGTTGCAGGCTAGGAAAACTCCTTGTGGCACAAAGTAAACATTGGAACACAAAAACAGGCTGGGTAAACATTGCAGTGACATGCAATAAATATATTTATTCAAAACAATACAGCTGTGCTTGCTGTATATTTGCATTGCCTCTTTTCATCATCAACAATGGTGAATTATTTTTAATGGTTTTGAAATCAATGAAAAACTTAAGATCACTTGAACAACCTACTTGTTTCAATTGCCCAAACATAAACCTCTCCATTTCAAAATCTCACACACAGTAAATACACTGTTTTCAGACATTTCTTCAGTTGAAAAAAGATACAAACTTATATCAGAAACCAGAAAATAGATACAAATTAGAAACCATATTTTCTCTTTAATGGAATTAGTCAATACCATTGGTGTTAGAAAAAAATTTCCATGGAGGCTTGAAGGAGGGTGTAGCTGAGAGAAGAATAAGGGCTGAGAAGAAGAAGAATCTGTCATTTTCCATTTCACAGTTTCATTATAAAATGAAATCATACATAGTCTGAAAAATATTTGTTCTAACTTTCAGGAATCAGGAGGTATGACATCAAAAGGAAGGACCACTGCTCAATAAGCATAGCTTTTAAGTGCCATAAAACTACCTTCAGAAGCTATGTAGCAAACAATTAAATATACAAACAACACATTACAATTTAGAAAGTAATGAAACAAATAATTGAAGAAAAAACTTGGTTGTGTAAGGAAAAACATGCATCCAGACTCAACTTTTCCCACAGTTGAGTCTGCACACAGCCTAGTAGGTAAGAAAGTTTCTTTTTATGGAATGAAGTATTTTTCCAATGTCATCCAATTAAAACAAACAACAATTTTCACTCAGGACTTGTTGATGATGCTGATTCTCAGCAGGCTGACTGAGCGGTCCAGACTGAAAATAACTTCATTTGAGAAGATTCGTTAATTGAAATAAATGAAAAGTTACTTTATGTATCAAAATTCCTAGACAAGAAAAGATACCACGCCCGCAAATTAATCCAAGCAAAAGCTTTATAAATTCGGAAATTTTTTGACAATCACTTCAGAACGCGCTTTGACCTTCTGTGCATGAAGATACAAAAAAATTATACCACAAACTTTAACCGTGATCAAATAAAAACCATTTAATCTTATTCTACAACAAGCCACAAACTCAAAAGTGCACAAGCGCAGTTGCGATTTTACATAAAAGATTACGATCGACGTTTTATTCGATAGGGACAATCTGAAACACATGAAATAATAATATAAACTGAATCTTAAACGCTGTTTACATCGTAACAATATAAAAATATGCCAGGGGTGAAATTTCAAACCGCTTCCAAACTTGACATTGGATAAATTCCCGCTTAGCAAAATTAGTTCATTATTTCAGAAAATGTTTATCAGTTTAACCGTCAACATTTCTGTCGAAGAATTATTTTTTCCAATTTTTCTAAAAATGCAAATAATTGAACTCAGAGCATGGTAATGTAGATAGTACTAGAACTTATAAACCCAACGTGTGTCGAGTTATAGACCCAATGTGTGTTCATACGATGCCCCGCCTGGTTACAAAAAAAATTTCACACTGTATAATCTCTCTAAAACGGTGAGTCACAAGCAGTTTTCAATATAAGCGTAACTTGAGCTTTACGACTGACATGAAAAATTCCAATGCACTACACACAATTCCCGACGACTGTTCATGATACTGGCCTAGCTCATCACGAAAAAAGATCTCACCATACATACCTCGAAACGTCACTCTCAGAAATCTGTCGTACTTTCCTTTCAATTTTGTAACACTTGTAACGAATAATTCAAGAGACATTTTTCTTTGTTGAGAATAATGCGAAAACAAATATTATTTAGGCATTGCTCCTTGTCACAACTTCCCATCCCACTCATGCCTTCGCTATTCTGGTTAGTACCTCGTGTAAAACGATTGTTTATATCTTGGCGATTCGCAGTCCAGGGGGTGAAGGCCAAGGTTGTGTGACGTCATGTTCTCTTCTGTTGAAGTCTGTTTAACTAAATAAATATGGTAAGCAGGGACAACGCGGAAAACTGAATCATTAAAGAAAGCTGTAAAGCTAATTCCCAAAGCTTAAAGGTGAATTTTTAGAAACCTAATTTTCACAGCCATATTTTTCGTAAGCTGTCACAAAGTTAGTTTTGGTGACTGTCTTCAACTTCCATACAAGATACATAGCCTCAAATCTAGATAGTTTCCATGGATATTTAACTAAGAACCCGTGGACATAGTTTGCTCATTCTTTTTACAATGATTCAGCGATCTAGGAGAAAATAAAGCTTGATTTCTCGTTGCCATTGTCGGTTTGTTAATCCGATCACGTCACCATTTATCGTGAATTGCTAGATAATACTGTCCCCCATTCTAAAGCTGACGCGACATGAAACATGAAAATCTTTGGAAAGGGAATAGAAATTGAAAGAAGGAAATAATTCTCTGGTTATCTTGCTAAAAATAGGATTAAAGAGCTTAAAATCATTTAGAAAGCTTTTCCAGTTTTTCAACAAGTGTGTCTTGCTCAATCACTATGATAAATATTCTGGAGGTCAGGCAAATCACGAACTCAGAAGAAAGTTGTGAAAGCAAGAAGTAAAGAAACAAATATTGAAGAAGAGGTATATAAAAACAATGTGTTTTAAACAAACGTATCTAAAGAGATTTGATTCTGATGGAAATGATAAAACGATTGAAAACAAATTCACATAGGTTAACGACAACATGTTAAATACATTCTAAATGCAGTGTAGGTAGCTTAAATGAAAATGCACGAAAAGATCAGTTTATGCAATTATAAGTTTAAAGTCACATGTTCTCTCAAGAAACAATTCAAGACTTCATTCACGAATCACGTGAGCTTTATTTAAACATTTGTAGCAAGGCCGAGTTTGTCTCGAAAAATTTGTTTAGGGGGGGGGGGGGTGGATTTTCTCTCTAATATAGAACATAGAGGTTCTCAAAATTACCTTTCAAAAATTAGTGTATCTTTAAAATTTGCGGGGGCCCTTTAGCCCCTAGCTATCTCAGCCCTAGACTTGTACTTCCATTTTGTACGGTCGTAGAATTTCGTGCATGTACCTAGCCGTCCCTCGGGTCAGTGCTTTTTCTATCTATAGATTTTTCAAATTGGGTCATCTTGATAAATTCGTAACAAATGCCTTTGTAAAAAACTTGTTAAACATCCACTTTTCGAGCAAAAAATAATAAAATTGACCGTTAAGATCATAAATGTCGGACTCTTAAAACATATATGACGTAATGATATAAAGCTATAAGAAAAAAACCCCATGTTTTGATATTACTGATATGATACTGATTTAAAAATAAGTTACAAATTTCTGCTTGAATCCTAAGTAGTTACTGTAATTAATAACTTAAATAGTTTACAGGCTAAAGCTGATAAGAAAAACATCGAGACAAAACTACAAAATGATCGATACAAAATTGTGCTCCTGCAACATTTGAATAAATGGTCACACCAAAATCACACCCTGCTGTTTTCGTTACTTGCCAAAAATGCAAGAGAAGTTTATCTTGAACAAAATTCAGGACTTCTGAGAAATGGAAAACTGATATAAAAAAGGTTTATGGCAAAACCTATGATACTGCGAGTGTTAGATTCATAGTAGACACAAGTTAAAGATACACGTTATCAAAAACAGTTACAATATCCAGTGGGGAACATGATATTCCAAGAAGAAACTATATGAAGAGTAAGGCCACAAAACAACGTGTGCGTTGCGAAGCTTAAGAATATACTGGATCCTTGTAATAAGTTTGACTGGTAAACTACCGAAAGAGATAAAGGCTTTTCGGTAGAATCTCGAAAAGCGTAAGGTCACTTAGCAGCCAATATGTAGAGCCTCTGAAAGCCCTTCAAAAAACAACGGCAAGGTTGCGATAATCGAAATGCATTAGGTTTAAATGAAATTCACGGGTCTCGACAGTAGCGTAGCCAGGGCTATAAGATTGAAGGGGGCACAGGAGGCGAGTTGAGCGAGGGAAAAATTTGGGTCTATAGGCTTTGGAACGCCAGGAAACGCCCTTTGCAAAGAAATGTTTTGCCATTGGGGATGGGGGGTCAGCCCCCCTCTTGCCTCCCCCTCACTACGCTACTAGGTCTCAGATGCAAGTTATCTGCAACATTATGGGAACGAGGCTGCGAAGGTCTACGGAAATGAGGATGTCACAGCTTGCTTAAGCGACTTTGTGACTAAATACCCTAATAAGAACACTCTACGTGCACCAAAATATATGAATATTCATCGATATTTGACTAGCTTACGTCGGCTAAATTCAAGACGCAGTTTGCTGTTGGTATGAAGTATGGGTCGTCGTCAGAGAATTTCAGATCAGTTGACGAGGCTGGTGGGTCAAAAGCATGGATTTTCTTTTTGGTGGGCGACGGGTGCCTCGTAACACAACCACTCATTTCTAAAAAGAATAGAATATCTTTGACAGCAACTCGAGTCATTACCGTCCGAAACTGTCCGTGGATTGAAGATTCAGTAATTCCCGGACACATCATTACGAGTGACAGAATGGAGCGTTGAAATTTACGCAATATCAACGTGTTGTACTCGCTATTCAGTTTGAACCAAGGACGGCAAACGACTTGGTTAAATATGAGTTTGCTTTTCTCAGCTTTTCCATTATCATTTCCACTCTCTTCTTCTTTCTTTGATTCCGAATTGTTTATTTGACGACCGGTATGGCTAACTTCAACTTTCTCTCTTACCTTAACAAAATCTGCTTCTTTTACACCTCTTGAGCGTTTCACAACACTAGATTTATCACACAACTTAATAGCTCGTTTCTTCAAATTTGAGCCCGACTCGTTCGCCCCATCATTTTCATTGGCTTCTTCACCAATAGTATTATCTTCTTTAGATATGCTTTCATTTGCAGTTTTATCTTGAATTTTCTGTGACGTGATTTCCATTTCTTTCTCTGGTTCCTTTAATATGTTATCCTTATTAATTTTCGAAGTTTCTTGCGTGATACACACATTGTTGGTGTTCGATTGGGCTTCCTCCGAAACCGGCTTTTTACCTTCAGTTAACAAGTCAGTTTTAACACACTCATCTTTGTTTGAAAGACTAGAATCGGTTTTAACCTCAATTTGCCCCTCCACAGCCATACCTTCATTGGCTCCAGCTGGCACTGTCTTCCCTTTTAGGGCAGTTGCATGATCGAATCCTTTTGATACACGATGTGGCGTTGTTATGCACCATTCAGCTGCATGATTGGCAGTTACAAACCTTGTAACATTCATACCAACCTTCATCAAAATCCGGAAATTCAAAAGCATGTTTAAGATTTCTTCTATGGCTCGCAACCCTTGGTATTTTACGTATACATTCAATATGTCATTTTCAGTGAAGCCAATTTCCTGCGTTTCGAGAATGCTATGTACAACCTCTTTTGCAAATGCAACCTCGTTTTTATTCCAACTGAAATGTTTCTTCATCATTGCAAAAAAATCTTCCATGCCCTCTTCATCAAAACATTTCTCGTTGTCGCGTTTGCAATAGACTGTTGATTTTCTTTCGATAAATCTTTGAATCGCAGCATGTCCTTGAGGGCTTTCGTTGTCTGAAGAAACGAGGCTAGACATCAAATGACCTCTTTCGAAGGTAGAGAAATCATCCGAGTGAGGCTGCAGGAGTGAATGGCAAGTGACTTTCATCGGGTTCACTATGAAACTGTCCGGTGATATAACCATCCGACTTTGAGTCGATTCATGCTCCAGGGATCTGTGTAGCATGAGCGTAGTCCGTGATGTGTGCATCTTCGTTTTCCGGATCTCCAAGCTTCGCGAAGGCACGATAGCCAAAGAGCTCTTGGCTGTAGCATCTACCTGTTCGTCGTTAAGATTTGAAAGTTCTGTTATTTTGCATAGCTTTGAGTTTTTGCCATCATCAAATTTGCTTACATAACTTCGGTCGGAAAGAAATGACATCGTACCGCTTGCAGTGCTCATCTCAAAATTAACCGCACATGGCAAGTCTCTTCTTTGATTTTTTGGAGACGCCTTGGTTTTGTTTCCTACCGCACGTACGTCCGGCGTTGTTGAACTTTCTCCGCGCGGTTCCAGAGGAATGGTCACAGATTTGTAAGAGGCATCTTCAAAAGTCACTCTGCGTCGTTTTTTAGGTATCGCACTTTCATCGCCATCTGTTTTATTTTTGCGGTTTGTTTTTAAACAGCTGCGTTCAAGTCTTTCATTTGTGCTAGCTGAATTATCTTTGCCACCAAAAGGGGTGCTGCCATCTTTCTCAAATCCACTCTCAAGCTGTCCTAACTTGCTGTTTGGTCGTATTACGTCATCCTCAATTGCAGGCTGACTTTCTGTATCAGAAGTATCTGCAATAAGAGTATAAATAGCTATTTATCTCACGTAGGCTTACAAGCGGTAAAAAAGATATAAGCTAAAAAATACAAGGACACAACGAAAAACTTAATCAAATGTGAAATACAACGATATATACAAGAAACAAACGTGAAATATCTAAGCGGTAAAAAATTTGAAATTGTCTTTGAAAAAAGTAAACATTTAAAAACAAACTTGTCCTATCGAACGTCAGAGTAATGATGGAAAATTCTAAGCCAAAAAGATATGGACTGATAAGGACTGATATGGACCAATCAGAAACGTGCTGTAAATGTTGTCCAATCAATGCTGTTTGCCTATTGAAAATATAACAAATGGAGCCCTAAGATGCACACGAACTCCTTCTGTCCACATCTATATAAAATAGCCGCTATTCATTTTAATGTAGATTGATCTGAAACTGCTAGACGAAACGACGACCGGGCTTTTACAGTTACCCAAAACATGTCGCCTTTAAGCTTCTTTAACAATCTGGCTTTCTATGAAATGTTGCCCAGTTGCAGAATCAATAGCAAGACTGAAGAAGTTGTTCCCTCAGAGGGAGAGTGTTGCTTCTTATTTTGGAAGGGACAGGCTATTTTATTCTCCAGTGCCGTCGGAACGAAATTCATATTGGGGGGCTGCCCATTGTTTTCCTTCTCATTCAGTACACTGTTATAAAGGAAACATACTACAGTTTGACAATTATTGGGGAGGGGGGGCAGCCTCCCCCCGGTTCCGACGGGCCTGTTCTCCCATCTACACCTCTCTCCTTCCAAACCATCGGGACTCATAAATATAAAACTCTTCGGGCGATTGGAACGAGATTCCTTTGAATATATGGAATGGATTCCTTTTCAATATATTCTTAAGGACCACGGCTTTCATTACCTGCGCCAGGGGTTTTTTCTGCAACATCTTCTGTATGAGCGTCATCCTCATCTAGGTCATCATTATCATCATCACCAACCACATCGTCAAAATCTTCATCCACTTCCATATCATTAAGATTCTTTCCTATCTCCAGTGCCTCTTCGATGTTTTCTGAATACAGCTTTCTTTTTAGCAGCGTAACTGACGTAATCTTATTCTCATCGTCGGTCTTGCCAAGACCCTGACTAGCTGATTGATTGTATTCGACGATGTCATCCGGAATTTCCAGCTCCATAACGCCTTTGTTGCAAATAACCAGACTGAAAATACCTGCCACGTGTCCACCGAGACTCTCGTCTCTTGAGTAGACTAATGAGCCTGGGTTTGAGGCTGGTAAAATCTGTGCAGATGTGGACGAGGCAGCTTCATCATTTCCGGTTTTGGAGCTTTCTGTGCCCTGAAATTCGACAAAACGCTAAAAAACTTTTGTTTTAAAGGGGCAGACATAGCAAAAATAATAATAACATTCCGTAACATAATAATAACATTGAAATGTCGTTTTGTCAAATGCTTAAGAACCCCTATGGCAATCTTACACGTGATCAAAAATTATTTTTCTAAGGCGTGCTCTGATTTGACATAACATACAAAATTCACAATGATGGGACTGTTATAAGTTCCTGCCAAGGTCAGAGAGCTAGTTTGTTCAACAGTGTACTTAAAGTTAAAAAAATTTGAAGATAGCATGGAAAAGTAAGAACATAGCATTCTGTGTATATACGTTAGGTAATGGCAAAAGACAAACATATATTTACAACCAGAAGCGGACAGAAAAAAATGTGAGAAGAAGAATGGCGCATTAATGATCTGCCTCAGTTATAAATGCTTGTCTATTTTCGCTTTGAAATATTTCATGATAAATGAAGACAAGAAATCGAAGAATTTCGCATCTTTTTGACAAAGCAGCCAAGAAAATTATGGGAGATACTTAGATAGATCTATTTTCTTCTTTTAATATAAGAATTTTTTGATGAACCTACAAACACTATTTATTAGGAAGAAGAATTTCTGAATACTACTATACATTTTCAAGAATACTACCAAATACTACTGAATACTACCAAATACTACTGAATACTACCAAATACTACTGAATACTATCAAATACTACTGAATACTTCCAAATGGTACGCACTAACCTGTACTCTGTCATTTGTTCCCTGTGAATCTTTGCCATCCTCCTCCACAATTTCTTGACCCTCAGCATTTTTGCTACTTACATCAGGAGTATTTAACTTGCCATCTTCCTTTTTCTTCGCCCCATCCTTCGATTTGTCATTTACAATAGCATTCCCATTATGTTTTCCGAGAATGGACCTCCCAACATGCTTTGCACCATCTTTGAGCATCTTCAAGAAATTTCTTGCAGCGGGAAACACGTTATTTGCAATAGGCATCTCGAATATCCTTTCATAACTAACAGACAAGCTGTATGTCATTGTTGCTATAGGCAGCGCTCGCCTTCGCGGCACTCGGAGCCGCAGCCTCGAAATCAGTGACTTGGCTTTCATCGAAATCAAGGTTTCTTCTAGCCAATTCGGTGGGTAGCGGTCGAAAACATGGAACACCAGTGATGGAATGTTTTCCTTCAAATTCTGACTGGCAAGAGAATTGTGCACGATTTGCTCTAGGACGCAGAGGCATATATCTTTGCTGGTTGGTACTTTAGTCTTGGTATTAGTGTTGGAAGTCTGGTCAAAAGCTTTGCTGATGACGAAGGCTTCTTCAAGCTCCTTCAAAGTGTCCGGTAACTCATGTTGAAACTCCACAGGTGTTAGTTTTTGCTGGAATCGCTTTTTCACTTTTTCGTACACATCTCTGAAAGCGGCTTTCCAAGCATCTCCTAAAAACGAACGCAAAGGAAATGAAGAGAAAGCTTACAGTAAACATGAACAGGATATGAAAGTGCTTCCAAAAATTTCTAGGTATGTAAGTAACAGTATAAGAGAAACAAACAATAAGTAAAATGCATAGTCGAAACTAGTTTGATTAAAAATGAACAAAAAGAACAATTTGATATCTGTACTTCAAATATTTCATTCTGTGAAGGAGAGTTGTCCTTTAGCAGAAGCCATTTTACGACAAAGCCTCCGATAATTACGGAATAAAATCAAAGCACTACTAGTATGTAAAAGAACCATTATACAAAACCTATTTACAATTGTTCATTATTGAAAATAAGATGAATAGAAAAGGTTTATCATTCGATAGATTTTTCAGTTGATAGAATTGATCAACAAAACTGGATAAAAGCCGTGTCTGTGTAGTGCGTAAGTTACAGTTGAACATTGCAGATTCTTGTAAGGAAGTTCAAGGAACAGAAAACAATCATTTTGACTCACCTTGCCGACTTGGCTTTTTCAACTCAAAATCAGGATCAGAAGTGCATTCTAAAATGCAGCTCTTCAGATTATGATCCGTAGCCGAATTCTTAAGCATGTAGCGAGCACGACGTCCCAGTGATTCCGTTGTTTTGTCGTTTGATTCCGGAATCTCCTTGTGAAATATGTTCCTTGCCACTACCCAGTAATTCAGCTTTGAAAAACAATTTTAACATAATTTTCAGTTATCAGTTCATTGGTAATGTGAAAAAATAATGGCCTATAATGGGGCGATAAAAGCTGGTCAATAAAAGCCATTGCCCCAAAAGCTTAAACGTGTCAAATAAAGTCAATAAATGAAAACTGAATCCTTCTAAATTTTGCAAAGGCAATTTTCAAGTTTTTCTTAGTGTAAAAAACTGCTTATTATGTATTGGACAAAGTTATAATTTAGACTATTATTATTATATGTTATATATAAGCGATAAGAATTCTATTACTTGGTTATAAATGACAGCAAAGACGTAGGGAAGCATTTCAAAGGTGGGGGAAGGCGCACATGTAGGGAAAAAGGCTGTATTTTAGATCTTAGTGTAGTTTCTTGCCGCGTTGCTTTTAGCCTGTCAAAGAAGCGATTTCACTGATTTAGAGAAAATCTACCACAAACTGGACTAAGCGAATGCTCTCAGCGAAAAGCAAGTATCTTCGCGGCATAAATGAGGTTTATCTTGCCGGAAATCTCGCCAAGTACAATAGATACAAATTTCTATAATCTACATACCTTCTTTATATCAAGCTCTAAAAGGCCAGCAGTAACGCGGGCCATTAAGATTGCTGCGTCTTCCCGCGGGCTGAAACTAACTCTCACAGACATTTTGCGTTTCAACGCAGCCAGATCAACATCATCCTTCACGCATTTATGCCCTTTTGCTTTCACCTTAGCTATCTTCGTTGCCTTCTGCTTTAATCGGGCCACTGTCAATTTCTTTAGCTTTGCATCTGTCGCTTCTTGGGTTTCCTCGGTTTTCCCTTTCTTGTGGGGCACTCCCTCATTGACAATTTTGTTGTCAAATACTCGCTTCCGTCTTTTGCCTCGTCCACCATCGTTCGCCTTTGCAGCAACAGAGCTGACTGTCCTTCTCGGGAATTCTACAAAAATTACATGAATAACAAAACACAAACAAAAGATTGAGAGATTCTAATTCAACTTTCACTGAAAAAGGAATATTGCTTCGAACAGAGCAAGTTATTTTCTTCATTGAGGAAAATTCTGAACTTCAAATATGATTATGGCTTATAAAAGCGGACACGAACAAATGTGGACCACTGATTGGTTGAATTGTCGAAATGAAGGTTATTCAAAACTCATGCAAGGCTAGAGTAAGATTTAGCCGCGAAAAAGGCGACCCGCAAAATTTGTATCAAAACATAAAACATACCAGTAATGGGTATAATATTTCTTGACTCGTTTTTTGCGACGAGCATCTTCTCATTGAGTAGGGCAATTTGCTTCTTCCTAGTTTCCGTGTAGGCCCAGTTCTTTGGCAAGTGACCAAAAAATGTCGAATCAAACCCAGCTGCACCTAGGCCATCGCCGAACAGCTTAGGGACCGCGTTTGCGGGGTCATCAGTTGGGAAATGCTCCTATGAGAATAATGAAAAATAGTGTTGGGAAAAATTTGAGTCATATTGTACTGCTTCTAAGTCAGTTTTAGGCCTGCTTGCATGGTTTAGGCCACACCAAATTTCGTAAAATTTCATACCAGATTGCTTCACAAAAAGCTATGCATTATGTTTTTATAAATAAAGCTGTAAACTCATGTACTTCACTGTGCGGTAACGTTGTTGTATTGCAAAGTATGGCAGTTTAAGGCTTTGGTATATCGACGTATCGTTCTATAAGGTAATGTCTTTCTATGTTATATTGTATTGAATTCTTTCTCTTTGATGGCATTGATTGCTATTTTATTTTACTGTTTTACATCTTGTCATAATAACGTATTAGACTAGTGGCGTTAACGTACCTGAAAATCCCTCAAAGTCATGGAAGTCCTGTACACCCTAGGCCTTTTCTCGACATAGCCCTCTGGATCTTGAGCGGGCTTTCGTAGCGCTCTCATCAGCCCAAGCCTTGTATTCAAACAAATGTACTGAACGTCCTTCCAATACTTGCAAAGGCTGGTTAAACCGTCAAATCTGTACAGCTGCTTTTGAAACTCTTCCATGTCTGAAGGGAGTCGCGTCTAGAAGGAAAGGGCAACAAACCATAAACCGCTATTTTTTCCATTTAATATACAAATCTAAATGTCTTTTTCAAAGTGGTAAAAATGAGTAACATTGAATCACAGCTTCTAGAAATAGTTTTCCAAACAGCGATTTCTGTTCTGAGAAAAAAACCCGACTTGTGAAACAGAATCAGCTAGAACCACATCTTCAGAAAATCTGCACTCCATTGGCTTACATTAACAGCGAAGAAACCTTTCTCAGAGTTCTCTTAGAAAAAATTCAGAAAAGGCATTTTAGTCTCTTCTTTCTTTCTAAAGATAAAAAAAGGTAACTTCTTTGGTCCTTTTAGTAACGACACCAGAAATGAAGAACAAAATTTCTAATGTCTCTAGAAACGAAAAAAAGAATCAGACATTTCGCTCATATTAAGGGATAATATTTTTGTCGGTGTTGCAATGACAATGCTATTGAAGAAAAGGAAAGCCAGTAGCAAAATATTTCTATCAATAACAGCATACAAAATATCGACGTTGTATTCAAGGCTTACCTTGGCATATCCTTTCTCTGATAGTGTTGTGTCCAGCAGCATCGCCTCTCTGCTTACAAAAAGAACGATTTGAGTTCTGTTAGCAGGCAGTTTCTCCGGGGTTGTGTAAAACAGGCCCATATGTGTAAGAAGAAGAAGCGACTCGATGAAGTGCCCAACGTAGCTACCAACACCCTTTTTCAATCGGAGCAATTTTCCTTTGAGGCGGGGAGGCAAGTCCCTGAGGGGTGTATACCTCTTGGTCGGGTGCTTCAGCATATTCTCCAGGGTTTTGCTTTTGGCACAAATGCCGACACATTTTGTGAACACCAGTAAAGGCATAATTGCCAAAACGTCCCCGGTCTGGAAATAGCCTACAAAAGACAGAGGTAGAAATCAATAAGTAAAGAGGAGGGCCTGCAGAAGGAAGGCCTGGGCGGCAGATGGTAATATCTACGGAGGAGTTTTAATTGCAACATCCAAAAGCAGTAAAATTTGAATCAATTTCCTGAACAGTTTTGCTGTAAGTATGATAAAGTATGTTTGCAAACGCTGCCAAGACAATAATTTTTTGACTATCCTAAATCATTTCTTGTACATTGTGGCACAGGTTATTTTACGAACATCAAACGACCAACTCCAGCATATCAAGGAGGTAAAGTGCTGGGAACGCTTAGCAGTGCTACTGTTTTTCCGAAGAGGGTGTGGCACCTTTACTTCGATATGAACAGTTTTATATTGTTAATTTAGGCCACAGAGTTTCATTTTCTTAACACTCTCTATTGGTAGCGTGCCTCTTGACTTTTTAACAGAAAAAATAAAGTGGATCAAAAGAGGATGCCAAACACTGCCGTGATCTTCAAGAACGCATCAAGCGTCTAGGTAAGCATTCGTCCTGGCCTTGAAAATTACGCTAAAGATTTGAAAACTTTCCTTAAGAACAAGAAACAAGGTTTGCGTAGGATACTTTATATATTTCCAATGGTCTTCCACTGCGTGAAACCTATCTTGACATAGAAAAAAAAATTTCTGCCCTTTCTAGAGAATGACCCTGACACTCAGGGAAAGCATGAAAATACGATGTTATGGGAGTGTTTATAGCTTGACTCAGCAGTATAAATGCTTCAATTCATTGAGCAATGAGCAATTCTTACCTTTGCCGTGTCTGTTTGGTGGCAATTTCTTCAAGTTTGAGACCCAGTCGAAACTACCAATATAATAGCTATCCCCGTGCTCCTCCAACTCGGCGATGTCATCCGCAGGTACATCTCCTTCGTTGCCGTACACCAGTTGCCAAATATAGAAATGCAGCATGCGGATACGGGGAAAGCGAGGCAAAAAACCATATTGAGGCCGTTGATAGCCAGATCCAGTCAACGGCTCGTAAGCCTCATCATCAGTATCTGTCTCGTCTCCATCCTGAGCATCTCCTTCGGTAGTGACAAAGTCCATTAAGGACACGTTGTTTGGGGCCTTGCTGTTGCGATCTGCAACATATTCTGCTCTTGCTTTGCTCTTCCGTTGTAGTTTGTTTTCGACTGAAGAAAAAATCAACAACCTTACACAAGTGCACGGTAACACTGTTAGAAACAGGGTCATTGGAATGATTAAATATTTGGAGGGCGGTTGGAACAGAAGTGGGCTACGAAAAGAGATCTTTTAATTTACATTTTGTTAGAGACTCTGTAAATAAACTGAAAGAGCGCTGCTGGGAATTGATAGGGGTGGAGGGGGGCCTTCAGCCATGGCCACACTACTGATGTATTATAACTGGTCATCACAATAACAATAATAACAACGAATGCGTTGCATTTGCAAAAAATGGGAACCAGAGATACTTTTTTTATGTATAGGCCTATATCGAATATAGCATTTAACAAAACAGCCTTTTGCATTTTTTACCATCAATACCAAAATGACGTGTGTTGACAATAGACTTATTCTGCATCTTAAGATACACATGTCGCCAAACGCTCTCGCAAAAGCTGGAATAAAATAGCTGTTACGATACTGACAAAACTGCTCCATATTTTAGTGCAAAAAGAAATTTCAATCGGACAATAACATGTTAACAGAGTAACGAACCCCACAAAAAAGTGGAATGAAGCAAAAAGGAGCGGGAAAAGAGCCCTGTCTTACGCCATACAGAAAAACAAGGATAATTTGTAGTTCATCATTTGAAAAATAGCAGAAAATTTACCGATTCCCTTTATTCTGAATTTCGTTTCATTGACAGCTGTCTTGAAGAGCTGATCCTCCCTGGTGATACTAGCATCGCAGTAGTAAACAAATGTCTTTGGTGGTTGGCCTTCTTCTTCAATCTCGACCTCATACTTCTTAATCATGTTCGTTTCAGCAAGGCGATTGAGTATCCGATGAATGCTCTTTCTGCAAACTGTTTCTTTTATGCCGAGTTCTTGCTCAGAAAACAGCACAGCCTTGTATATTTGGTTGGATCCTTCAAGAAAAGATTCAAATTAACTCGATAAAGTCTCTAATGAAAAATCTTTTGTCTATTCTAAATCCCTTCTAAAACCACATTATAGGAATCCTAGAACCAGACATTTTAGGGATCCTAGGCTCTTTTTGGCCTCACTGGCATAACTATTATAGCATAAAGCTTGGAACAAAGGAGTGGTATCTTAGTGCAAACTTTATTTATCTGTTAGACTCAAGGTTTTGACACATTTTGGGCCAGGTCAGCCATCTGTACCACTGTCCACGTTTGAGATCCTATATGTGCAAAAGTGGGCAAAAAATGAAAATTCCCATGTTGTGACGTTACTATTAAGTAGGTGCCATACCCAATGGAATGTGCAATGATGCTAGAGAATAAGTCTACGTAGTTAGGTCCACAAAGACTGGATTATGGAACCTGACCAATAGCAAAATCATTAATTCAGCTATCACCAATCACAAAAAAATGCTCACAAACCTTCGATGACTTTAAGTTCTCTAATCTTTTCGAATATTTTGTTTTGCCTCCGCATTCCTCTTATAGAAAGAGACGCCTTTGATTTCCCCTTTTCGCTTTCGACCGTCTGCACAGATTCAGGGATGCTTACATTCGCCTCAACTTTGGCTTCAGTTGATATTGTGAGTGCCGAAGTCCCTTGCTCGCTAATTTTTGAGCTACGTTCTAAAAAAAATAACCCAAAACAGCTATTATTTTCTTAACTGAATAAGCAATAAGAAGACAATTCTTGTTATTCGGAGAATAAAGTTTTGCGGCAACACAGAAATAACAAGGCCATCAATTTTCTAACGACTGTTCACCTTTGTCCCTTGGTAAAGGTGTCGACAATCGGCAGTCCGTGACAATCATGCATGCGAATATTTTGGTAATCAAGCATGCCAACTCTCAGGTGGATTATTTGTTCAAAGAAAGGGAATCGGCAATCTGAAATAGGTCATGTCTCAAGGGAGCAAAACAATATAGAGTGATATTCCAAATTGAAGCTCGAGCAATAAGTGACGTAATTACTTACCAGGCCCCTTCCCTTGACTATCAATGGCTACAAGTGTCTGTTCTCTGTAATCCACAGACTTTTCAATTTCCGCTGTGATTTTCTTAAACTGTTCGCTTCTGTGCACATGAGTTGTCGTTACGAAACGATAAACTTTCTGTTTTGCAATATCCGTTGTGATAATCTTAAGCAAGTTCCTTCGCTGAAGTTGTCTAGTGAATGATCTTGCCATATAATAGGGCACACAAGCGATTGCACCAAATTCATCAATGGTCATTCCCCTTTCTTTCGCACTGTCTATTATCCAATAAACTTGCTGCAATAATGGGATCCCCTGAATAAGCTGTGGCTCTGTAAATTTGCATTTGGACATAAACATGCTATCCTCATCTTCGTCCACATCACCTCCGTCAACCTTATTAAATTGTTTCAGCAGTTGGATGTATAGCGGTACAGAGCTATGGAACTTGTGAATGAGATTTTCTTCCCCATTTTCAAAGTTAAAAACTTTTCCATTCTGCAAATACTGAATGCATCCTTTACTATACAAATTGCGTCTTACTGAACAAAAGACTTTCTTTGAGCAGCCAATTTTGTCTTTAAGTTCACTGAACTCAATCATACCCCCTGGTTCTGACTCTAGGATCTGACAGATTTTTTCACAATGGGCATCGTTGTCCTGGTGAATGGTTCTGTGGAATTGCTTTAGGAACAAAATATTGGTCCGGATTTGTGTGATGGGTCCAGCAGCCTTGTCTCCGCGCCGTAAATTATACACTTGTTTTGTGACAAGACCCATGTTAATCAAAACTTTCACGTGATGAAACGAAGTACGCGGGTCCATCGAGAAATCGCGGAAATCTTTCTGCAGAAACCCGCGCTCTCGCGTTTTCCCTATAATCTCCAGAAACGTGTAGCGTGTTGGCGTTACTTTGAGGTCAGGTGGATTGCCATCTCCAAATAGCACACGGCGTCTGAGCTCCTTCGTTGCAACAATGAAGACGGCATTATCCCATTTCTGAAGGAAATCAAGATGGCTAAGCGATTCTTGTCTTACATTTAGTGTAATATTCTCTCTTTTATCGAAATTTGGGCAATAACCATATATCTTGTTTTCAACATCAACAATCCAGGATTCTGGTAGTTTTGAGATTTCGTTGATACCTCCATCATCATCTAGATAAAATTTAAGTTTTTTAGTGTCTGCGAAGTAAAATCTTTGCATTCACTTCTTAAACAGGAGAGGGTGGGGGGGGGGGCAACGGCTTTCTCAACAGGAACTTTAAATTCATAGACTACTGTCGTTTGTTCATGCTACGGAGATCAAAATTTGATGGAATGGTCAACCATTATGGGGGCCTGAGCGAATGGCTCAGCCTCCTAATAGACAAAACTGAAGCATTCTCGCTTCCTGCTATTGATTTTTTAGATACTGGCCAGGACCCCCCCCCCCCCCCTTCTTCTTCAACATTTGGGTGAGGCTGAGAAAAAACTGTCATGCAAACAGGGGGGGGGGCTAAAAACTAATAATAGTTGTACGACTGTTCGCATAGACATCCCACAGTCTATTTTTGTGTTAGTATATACGTATCAAGGATTAAAAAACGGGTAAGTGACGGTGAAGGAAAAATTAGGAAATAGGTTTTTTAGTGGAGTTAAATGTTTTGTCCCTGCTGCATATTCACGCAGAAAGGATGCAGCACCAAAAATGGAGGGGTCCCTGTGCCAGTGCTGTCGTAAGTTACTAAACTGTCGAATAGGGTATTATTTTGCATGATAACCTTGAAAAGAACTAAAGGACATGGTACTTTCAACCAAACCAATATGACAATATAATAAAATACAAGAGATAAAAAAGTCCCACTCTAGCTGATTGATAAATTAATGAGATACAAGGATTTTCAAAAAACAAATCTAGGGCGTGGCCTTAAATATATAAATTTTGGGGGCATGGAATTTTGACGCAGTTTATTTTATTTATTAAAGATTATGTTCTCGCCAGTCAATCATCGCTTCGAATTGCGCGGTGTAATTTTCTTCACCTTAGCACCTGAGGGTACCTTTTTTATTTTACTCTAGAAGTCACGTTTTGAGCAATGAGAGGCCTTGAAAAAAAACTAAAAGGGGAGGCCCCCTGCAAGCAGAGCGAGGGGGCCCCGCACCCCCCCCCCCGCGCGCTAGCGACAGCCCTGAAAACATCGATTTACAAACCAGTTGGATCCTCGAATTTCTCCTTGGATTGATTGCTAGCCTTTTGTTTATTCTTTGATCCTTTTTTCAAATCCTTCTTTTTGCTATCAAAATACCAAAACTGAAGATGTTCTGATTTCGTGATCCTCTGCCAAATAAATTCTTTCATGTCATCATCATCTTCTCTCGCCAAAGGTGGCTCTTGGTTCTTCAACATGGTCCATAATTCTGTCTGTGTGATGCCTTCAAGGCCACACAGAGCTATATCTGTAATGACTGGTTTGATCATATCCATTTTCCTAATAGAACAAAATTCAAATGAACAGTAAAATAAATTTGCTTGTCATTGAGATAAAGAACATGGAGTGACCGCTTAGTAAACAAAGAGGGGGCAGCTGTTGCATAACAGAAAAGTTCAAGGGATGAAAACGAACCTGTAACATGAAAACAGGCCTTGCTCTAAGCAAAATGAAGGTGCTCCATAAAAAGAGCCCCTTAGAAACTCTAGGCGCTCTATTTAGCACCTTTAAATAAAATGTCCTTGAGAGCATCCTTCAAGAGCTTTGGAAGATCGAGAGCTTCATATCGAAAGCTTTGGGAGAGTGTTAAATAAGAAATTCAATGGTGATACCAAAAAGCACCATAATATGAAACAACAAAACATGCAGCAAACACTATGTTAATACAAATATAGAAATATAGGAAAACGCATGGCTTTAAGTCGAACATTAGCTTTGTTTCCCTTTTTATGCTATTCTTTCTATAAGAGACACTAGAACATCTACTACTCGCGAAAGCAAATGAAAACTGAAAAGCAATGCGGTAATTTGGACGAACATGTGATCTCTGATTTGCAAAGGTGATTCTAAATTATTAAGAAAAAACAGAAAATAATACTTCAACAGAAGACTAACGCTCAGCTTGAAAATCAAATAAATCTTCCGGAGATGAGGGTTGATGGCCTGTGACCTTGGTGGTTATTAGAGGGTTATTAGATTAAAAATGGTATCGAAAACCCAACGTTGAATTTGCTGCATTTTTTTCTCAAGGGGTGATCTTACGCAAATCATAATATTGCGGTCTATTGGGAAGATTGTTTATGCTTTATCAAGTTTATTAGACAAAGGCCAAGAAATTATTTTGCTCCGTGGTAATATTGTTTTGACGTTTTGAGGGGCTCTATAAATCGCTCTCCAAGGCTTCTTTTGGGTGCGCTCTAGGCGCGCGCGCTCGATCGAGCGCCTTTCCGGGCAAGGCCTGTGAAAACTTTTAATTTTGGGGGCTTCATGAGTTTCTCCTTCCCAAACCTAGGCCAGTTATGCTACTGGTAGACTGGTCAGTTTCAGCTTTTAGAAACACAGTGCAAATTTGTAAATCTGGAAAGCAATTAAAATTAACAATAGGCAGACTGTGACAAATAATTTATTCAAGTGACTCATCATATAAAGGGCCACTTTATTTATGGACACCATAAAAAGGGCCAAAAATTCAGAAACTAGATATATAAGCATGGAATAATACTTTAGAGCAATAGATCTCTAATAATTAAGATATAAAAGCTTGACAGTATACTAATAATGTTATTTAGCATAGATTGACTCTGGGTTCTATACTTTTCAAACCATTGATAAAGATGCTTCGAACAGGTTTATTTTCATTATGATTTGCAGTGGTTACTGATCAGATGTAAAAAAGACAGTATTAACAAATGTAGAACAAAGGCTGAAATTTGACATGTCTCAGGCAAATCATCACTTTATCAAGATGTCTATTCCAGTAGTGCTAAGCATGTTTTTTGACTTAGCCAAAGCAGCAGTGGTTTTAGGGACTGTGGGGCTTGGTCCTTGTTCATTACAATTTTAATTTCTTTCTTAGATGTGGACCATGACCACTGTGGACCCCCCCCCCCCCCCCCCCAATACAGTGATAAAGAGTCTTCTCTTTTTGCCTTTGTGCATTTAAACTGACCTATCCATCACAGAAGTCCTCAGCTGATGTTGGTTATGCGGGAAAGGTGAGGGTGTTTGGTGTAGACTTCAGATGGCTCATGACAATACCCACTCTGGCAAATTGGAAAGCTTTCATTGTAGTTTTGCCCCATTATCTTTGAGGCCACTACCTGAATATCATAGTTCAGCAAAAAAGTGAGGGGGCTACAGCCCCCTAGCTGTGGCGTGCCTGAGAGGTGAGAACCCTTTATAATGGTTTTATTTTTCATAGTTGAATATCGAAAAGGATATAAACAATTTTTTTATGGTACAGAATTTGAAAATGGCTTTGAAAAAAGCAAACATTTTACGACATACTAAAAGCTTTTTCGTCTGACACTCCTCAAAGCATAAAACGTCAGAATAAGGTTCCAGAAAAACATATAGCATTACTTTGAGGAAACACTTTATTTTTAATGTCCCCCTTGAATGGGCAACCCTTTTGATAATCTTAAAATCCAAATACAGCCCCCTCTTTCAAATACCCTCTCACAAAATTCCCCTTGTTGGAAAAGCGCATTTCTAAAAAATATAGAAAGATAAAGAACACACTTGGCGTTTACAAATTTTTCAGTTATTTGAATATGTTGCAAACAGGAAATTTTGGTTACGGTCCTTTTCTCCAATTAGAATGTAGCTGTAATAGAATATTTTTTCGAAAATTATGCATGAAAAACTCCCTTTCTCATTTTAATGCCCCTTTGAATGAATGCAACCCCTCACAAAATGCCAAAACAAAGACATAGAAATTCATCATTGTCCAGGGGCATCGTGGCTGGCAGGTGGGGGTCATGGCCCCCTCTGCTCTTAAAATTTGTTGGATTTTCAGAAAAATCATTTTTTTTTGTCAGAAAATTCTCAAGCTTGAGCTGTGGGTTATTTTTCAAACTCCTAGCAACATGAATTACTTGGACTAAAGTACTTACCGTAAATTCGAGAAGCATTTCACTTTTTTAAAGAAAATACTAGATTTCCACAAAACAAAATGATTTTTCAGGATTTACTGATTCCTACCATAGAGTGATTTGCTTTTCAGACTTTGTCAGCTAAAATCCGAAACTTCAAGGGCCAAATTTGGTTATGGAAATCGATCAAAATTGGTATAAATTATATCTTTATTTGATATTGAAGACCAGGACAGTACCAATTTTGTGCTTATCACCAGATTTTTGAAAATTGTGTCTCAGGTTTGAAAATTTATGCAGTTATGTTGCGTAAAGTAAAACAAGGTAGCCTGCGTGCAGACTCAATTCCCATAGTCGAGTCTGCACGCAGGCTAAAACAAGGTAGAAGTCAATCAAAACCATTGATTTCCCCCAGTGGATATTGTATTTAAGAATAAGATTTAATGATTAAAATTTTCTTCAAATGATGTGATTCCTGGCGAATTTGAAGCATTAGATCATACAAATTTTTACCCTTTAGCGGCAACCATGGTGCTGCCTCAGGTAGTAACTTTATTCTACCCTTGTCCTAATCTACAGATGTCAGAGGGGTTCACTGTAAGTATAAAGAAACAGAGACAAGATAAAAGTGCATTTTAAATTTCTTTCCAGGTAAGGCAAAAGTTGTGAGTTTTTCTGCCCCACCTCCCTTTACACTTACATGAAATGCTTCTATTTCAACTAAATTAAAGAAATTTTGTCGGAAACTTTTTCTTTCTGGTCCCCACTAGAATTCATTCGCCACATCACCCCTGTCATTGTCTTTCATTTTACCATGACTGTGTACAGTTGACAAAATTGTTTCCTCATAGCACACCAGTGCCCATGGAGGTTAGAATCCATGAAAAACTCACACAGAATATATACCAATAAACAATATACAATGGGAAATTGTTAGCCCGTGCCAGATATCTCCCACATAAGTTACATGGATTCCACATTGGGTGCCAACAAAACCATTTTGCTGTTTTGAGCCAGGGGATTGAGGGGTGGGGGGGCAGGGGATTGATACTTTGGTTACCCAGAATAAAGGCTGATCAGTTTGGATTCAAACATTCAACGCAAAAAGTATTTTTTAGGATCAAATTAGCTATACATCAAATTAAGCTGGGTAATATCACAACTCTGTTTTTCAAGAATGTAATTAAATCAAATTTTCTTTTTTCGATATTCTCTAATAACTGGACCAAAAAATACAAAATACAATGTACTCTTACAAGTGGTATGGCCGAAAAAGTACTTTTTTACAAAAACTCAGAACCCAGAAAATTCCTTGAGCACCCTGATCATAAATGTAACAGATTGTCCTCACGAACAAGGGCTTTGCATTTTAGGATATAGGTAAAATAGGGAATGTCTACTGCTTTTTTTTAAATTTTATTTAACAGTTTGAAGACAGGTCTTTAAATGTATTCATCCAGATACACGGCTACTAGGGTGAAATGTCAGACAGTGAAATTGGGAGCAAGAGAGCCTAAATGTTTCATTGGGACATTGTCTGTTGAAGGACTCGAACCACTGGAGTTCTACCCTCTACGATCTTCAGCGCGCCGCCTTAACCACTCGTCCACGCGACACAGACTGCTCTGTTGTCTGGCTTGGAGAACAGAGACTGGGGGCTGATTTTCGACCCCATTTAGAAACAGTAGCTTTGATTCTATGATGGTCTTTCCGCTTTTTTGCAGCATCAAAATTAAATTTATGATACACAACGAACGGCCTAAACGGAAAACCACAAAAATGATACGTGTACGTATATTATACCAACTCTTTGATATCTTACCATCTTTGTTGGAGACAAATTAGCAACTAAACCATAAAAATAACTTTTTACATAAAAACCTACCTAAGTCTTTTTCATACCACTGAAAAATGCGGTGGGTTGACTGTAAACAGCCTGGACAAGAAAAGTCAGCCATTTCATTCACGACCCATGCCATACTGAGCTGCGAAGGAGAGTGCGCAGCGACTAAAAACGTGTACTGAGGAGGGTGGGGGCTTAGGAGGGGGGAAAGCATCTGGCACTCTTTTTACCAAAGAGCATGAAATTCATGAAAACATATTTTACCAAAGAGCAATGAAAACATGGCACCCTTGAAAATGTTATGTGATTGGCAAAATCTATGAAAAGACATGAAATAAAGACATTATAATCCCAGATAAAATTGTTGACTAGGTAAAATGAAATTTTTGCAATTTTCTTCATTATGGTGCCTTCTTTTCCCCTGAAACAGTGTTGAATTTGTATTTCTATTATTTGTGCTTTAAAAACATGTATTCAATATTGAGTAGGGTGAAGGGAAGTTATTTTTGAAAGGAAAGAGAAAACAAAAACATTTCTCGAAAAGTCACAACCACTTTTTCAGAGAATGTAGTTCTCAGCTCTATGTTATTCCAGGCAAAGAAATCAGGAGGTGTGGTCGAATTGAGAGGAGAGACAGAGATACTGCTTAATGAGCATAACTTATCAGTGTCCTTAAAACTATCTTTAAAAGCTTGGTAGCAATAAAAATAAAGAAAAAAGAAAACTAGTAAGAGAAAAAGACTGCTCATTCTCCATTTCTCATCAAAAACTAAAATATTTAGTATGTTATTCTGCATTGTAATACACAAAACAATGTCAGAATTACAAGTTGGAGCCATATAAAAAACAAGATCTAAACATTTGACACAATTTCATGTCAATATCTGTCTCTTCATTTGGATTCTTTTCCGCCATCTCCTTTTTTATCATCATCACCTTCCTCTTCAGGTAGACCCTCATTTTCATCCCATTGCATAGTAGATCCAATAGCAACTGTCTCTCCCTCATCAGCGGGGGAGATATCAACTTGCCATAGACGGAGAGGCACTACAACTAAACAGAGATGGCAAGATGAGATATGCAGGTAAGCCATTGAATTATTCATAACTTCATAAATATTTGAATTTGTAGGAAGAACAAAGTATTTACACACAAGAAAAATTAAGAAAAATTATGACAATTTGTATTAAACTTTGAAAAATTCAAAGCAATAGAGAAATTTACATCATTTCTAGAAAAAGCCTGTCCCTTTTGGCATTGGTTTTCATTAAGGGCTGCTACACAAAATACACTAGCTGAGCAAAAGTATTGCACCACTTGGACAAATCAATAATATCGTCAGCATGGTGAACAACATACAATTCAAAACTCAAACCACTTTTGTGAAGCCAATGAGCATTATTCCACGATTAAAACCCAAACAAACAAAACTTCAAGCCATTGGCAACACTTTCTATTTTAATTTTGAGAATAATATCTTTCTAAAATATCAAAAAAGTAAATTTTTAATTTGACAGTTTTGACGCCTTGAAACCATTGTAAAACTTTTACATTTGGTTACTTTTAAATGCCACATGATAAATTTCAGTAAACTTTGGCAAGATCACATTAAGGTGTTTGTGATCCTAGAGATCATTATTAGCCTTGAATTTAGCGAAAAGTTTCCATTAATTTCCACCCTAGCAGTCATCTTAAAACTTTTAATTACCTTGCTATAGCTATTTGAATTTTGGTTTGCTATAAAAACTTTGCGATAGTGCTGCCTATGTGTGGTGGGTGGTGTGATACTTTTGCTCACCGAGCGTAGAAGTATAAACAAAGTACATAACTTACTTGCTTCTCCTTTTTTCAAATCCCCGCTTACACCTTTACACCCCTTGAATGCAGAGCAACCTTCGATAGGTTCCAAATAAACAGTAAGCTTCCCTTTGACCTGAAAAAGCATTCAAATATAAACTTTTGCAAGTAGCTGTTAAGAGAAATGCACATGATAGAGTACAGATAATTGGACTCTTTAACAAAGATTCCCTAGTTCAAGATAGTGTTTCATTGACTCAATATAATAACAAAACTAATATGGACTACTCTCCCCAATTATCTACTTTTGACATCCTAATAAGATTCGGAAATTCTTAAATATTCAATGAATAATCTGTGGTGATTTCTTGATTGATAAATATTGTCAGAGAAATGACAATCATATAACTTAAAATAATAGCAATCTTAAAAATAATTAATAATCCTGGCAGATGAAAAAAATTTGTCACTGCATGTACAGCTATTAGAAAACTTTGATTTTTGGTTGAAATGATAACAAAATAAGAACAAAAACAAAGTAACAGACTTAATATGAAGGGATCCAAAGCATTAAGAAAATAAAGTATAAGGATTATTGAAAAAATTAAAAATAATTCATTAAGTATATGATTGACTGTGATTTGTTGTTAATGACATGTGATATTTTTAAAAACATTTAAAGTTGGCCTGAGCCAAAAGACTAATGCTGGAGATAATTGGCAGCTCATTGATATTCAAGCATGTTTTGATACCCTATGGTGTTCATTAATCAAAACCATTTTCATCACAACAGGAAACAGTAAAATAACTCCACTTTTAACTCAGCCTATTCAAGAAAGTATTGTACGAATAGAAAAAACACTGACCAAGAAAATTTCTTACTGACAAAGACAATAATTTTATAAAATTTCACTAAATTCGTAATTGGGCCAAGAAAACAATCTCAGAAAGTTGGGCCAAGCAAGGTATTCTGCTGATTAAAGGAATGAAACTTACCACTGTAAGCCAGAGACCAGATGTACCATCATCTTCATAAGACCACTGTAAAATCAGAAAAGATTATTACAATTTCTGTGGTGGGGAAATTTAATAACCTTCAAAAGCATTATTAGATATCTAATTATTGTTGTCACCAAAAATAACAAGATAGGAGGAAAGGTTTTTGGAAAATGTACTTTGCGAAAATGTGAGAGAGTGAGACAGCCAAGGCAGGACGAGTAGCTGGTTGTAGGTTAAGTGAAACTAGCCTTTTGCTGTTTTGTTTGCCACACTGTGTTGCAAACCTTCATTTGATACCTACCTTTGAATTATTTGAACAGAGTGAGTTGACTTTGTCAAAGAATGTATTGTGCTTATGCATTGAAGCATAGTTGTACTTTAGTTGTAAGTGAAGATGAGTTGAATGGGAGCCTAAGGCTTGTACAAATGTCCAACTTCTCATGTGCCAAGCTAAAATCAATTTGGTGTAGCACCAGGACTTGTTTGGTGCAACTCTCATTTCAAACAGAAAACTTAATTGTGCCAGTCACAGGGCTTAAGTCTCTGAATGTTTTTACATGAAATATTTCAGGTTTGATTACAGACATTCGAGATGGCCCAAAAACATGCGTTTTGTATACGTAGCTGAGGAAATCAAGATGGAAGAGAGGATTGGCAGAAACAAGATTGAAGATGTTAGTAGAAAGCAGAAGAAGGAGCACAAATGGTGATACTTGCTGTCTTCTTGTTGACAGCTTCGAGGAAACTGACAGCAGATGAACAAGGAATGAAGGCAAAGAGGAAATGCAGGGTTGGTTGAATATCATCAGGTAAACAATTCTTGGAGGCAAGAGAGCAAACACAACAAATCTTTGCATATGCAGACTCCATGTTGGCTCAGTTGTTTCCAGGTTTATTCGCACTGAAATTCAATTATAGACATGAAATCTCCACCAAAGAAGGGAATTTTGAGATAGGAAATAAATTATGCATGGAGTTCTCAACATGAAAAGTTGGATGTTTGAAACCCAGCCCCATTTTGCTTATGTGGCTTACCAAGATCTGCTGATCCAAATTTTTCTGCTGCACTTAATTAAACTTGCCATCCCTAATTGATTACAAATCACACATCTCATGTATATATTGAGTTCTTGATTCAAGTTCGAAACATGAGAAATTTGACATTTTAAACGGGCCTAATTTAGTTTAAAATCCATATCATTTCTTCCCTCAACTTCATGCGACGATCAGAAAGTATAAATCTATATATAATATCTGTGGTTTATCTGAATGTAAAGCTGCAGAAACAAAGTCAGCATTTACTTAAGATTGACAAAATCTTCTTCTCAACTTCTACTAAAAAAACACTTACAGGAATGCTGTCTTCGCTGATCCCTTTTGCCACCATAATTGTATTCATCTTGGCTGCCTCAGCCATGGGTGGAAGATAGTATGGTCTCCTATAGTTTAGTCTAAAATGTTTTGCAGCCTTCAAGTCACAGTTTTCCCTGGTTTTGAAGAATTAATAATAAAAAAACACATTGAATGACATGAAAAAACACATGAAAAATCAAAGATTAACTTTTTATAGATCATTATTGGCCAGGTTTTAGTCTTTCATTCAAATAAATCAGTTGAAAGATCCCTTTCATTGTTTGGCATCTTGTTTTGAACAAATACATATAAATCAAATGAAGTTTGAATGCGGGAGAGACAAGAAAAATGGAAAACAGGGAAACTTACCAAAAAGCATGATACTGTTTAGGTAGCTGCCCCATATCATAAGCATTAACAAAATCATAAACATTTGCAACATCTGGTACACTGGAATTGAATCTACAGTCCCCAACTTCATCTAAATCTTTGTGACTTGTATATTCCTACATGATATCAAAAAAATAGAAAATACATATAAAATCTGTCACAGGTAGCACTAAGGTTCTCACATAAGCAAATGCTATTTACATTACATAAGCAGTAAGCTTTTAGCAGTAGTAGTTAGCAGTTGTGATTTGGTGTAAAGAACAGGACAGTTCTAAACTACATCTCCCAGTCATCAGACAACTGTCCCTGACAACTTAATGTTCTTTATAGCACGGGTAAAACAGTATATAATTTGTATATGCCTTGTATATATATATATATATATATATGTCTAAATACATAAATATATATACATATATATATCATTATCATATTATCATATAGCATTTGCCTGATGATTACATAACTATGGTTTAAATGGCTCTAATGAAGGCTTGAAGCCGAAACAGAAGAAACTAAAAGCTGCCCTGGCTACGGTGATATCTCCAGTGTTGGCTTTGGAGATTCATCGCTCATTTCATTGGGCCGTTTAGCTCAGTGGAATGAGCGGGGGTTTTTGAAGCAGCAAATTGGAGTTCGATTCCGACCAAGAGTGGTTCGATACAATTGGGCAGCACCCTTGTGGAAAGAATTTTCCTCCTGTCAGCATTTGCCTCATGATATATATATAATCATATCTTAAATGATATTTCAAACAAAGCATACCTTGGCAAGTGCTTCTACACTTAAGTCAGGTTTAGGCCATCCTTTCGTTCCATCTTCAACTATTGCAGGAAAGTCAACAAGAAGGAATTCATTGGACATGGCATCATGAGATATATTCGATATTCCTTCCAACCCATTTTTTGTCAAATCAAAGCATGCCTGACACTCCTGTTTTGTGAGATTCGGTTGTGGGGCAACATAAGGATTGTTCACCAAACAGTCCTGATCATACAGATATGTCCAGTCCCAATAAGGGAGCACCTGAAAAGAAACAAAATGGCACAGATTGCACAATTGAATTTCCAATGTGCAGACTGTGTATAATTTGAGGTTTTGGTGATCTTCTTACCTCAATGTTTAATTTTATACAACGGCATACAATACAAACAATTATTTTAAAGACATTGCTTAATAAAATTAAAAGACATAATAAAAAATGTTGAGCAGCATTTTTTGTGGCATAGTTAATTTGCTGAAAAATTTTTCTCTGTTTTCTTAACATAAGAGAATATTATTTAGAAATAAATTTCTGCTCTTTTCTTTTAATTATTCTTCTGACTCTAAGGCTGGGAATATAGATTTACTCAAATTGCCTTTATTTTAGGCAAATTGTGCCTCAGTGTTCGTAAATAAAAAGGCCGCAATATAAGTATAAAAAAACATTTGGATAATTGATAAGCCTTACGGCGTCAACCCATTCATCCCAACGGCTAGGAACTTGAGAAGCAAAATGGCAGAAAGCCGTGCGTGCAAATCAGCACGTTGAACTTTTGTCTCTTACAGAAATAAATTGAACTTCAATCATATAAACACACACACTATGTTAAAACTCTTTAAGAAGAAAAAAACTAAAATATTGCAGACTAAATACCTTCATAAGTGCGAGTTTCCCGTGAACACAGCACATGTTGTAGGCGGGAGGCCATCCAACGACGACTGCTATCAACGCAAAGGTAAAAGCGAGAGTTACGCAAAACTTTTTGTTGTCCTTCACGACTTTTTTGATGTACTCTGGTGGACTACCAAATAGAGGTTTCAAGCACCAAGAAAGGTCGCTTCTAGAGAAACCTTTTTCCAAACAAAAATCATATAATGTCTGGGCTTCCTTCTCAATCAGTTTCAGTTTTTCCTCGTGTGTCATGGCAGCAACTTTGTCTGGATCTAATGGCGGGAAATCTGGAAACGTCTTTGCCTTGCTGTCACCGGGAGTTTGCTGCTCCTTTTCAGGTTCTTTTTCTGATGCCATGCTGCTAAAATTTATAGACTTCAAGAAGATTTTCAGCAAGTTTTTTGTATTGCAAAGTCAGGTTGTCTCTTGTCTCCAGGAAGAATTCGAAACAGGAAGGAATCAATGATGCGGAAAATGAGTAGTCTCGATGCCATCTAGCCTCATATCACAGCAAGTTCAGACCTCTGACTTTTGGCTGGGGAAAAGGCTGGGGAAAAGGGCAGATGGCAGGGGAAAGTTGTACCAAAGTATCCTTATTTCTGCAATTATTAGGAGGGGTGTTGTGCATTCGGAAACATAGCCAATTTTCCCAGTGTAGCTGATATCAAATTTTAAATAATAAATGTCTATATCAATAATAAAAATAGGTTTCTTAAAGGTCCACTTTATCGAATTACTTTTTTGCTCAAGGTTAAGTTAATAGTTTGTCGTTAATATCCCGAGAGAATTCAAGTAAGATTGAGTTTTCTTGATCATTCTAAAACTGCAGTTATGTGGTTTTGTAAGTTTTTATAGCGAAAGGGCGCTTGAAAATCAGCATTCCTGAAGGGTTAACGGTATTAAAAAGTTTTCAATATTGTCAGAACTGAAATTTTTCGCGAATTTTTCAACGTGATGGGCGGTGCCAAGTGGGGGACTGGGGGCCTCCAGCCCCCACCTTTTTGCAAAAGTGTTTTTAAGAGATTAAAAAGAATAGAAGAAACTAGAAATAGAAGCAAAGAATATTTCGATAAAAAGCCGGGGTCTATGGTGCCCTATTCCAGTTTAAGACTGGAATTAATCAAACGCAAAAACCACGCCTTAAAAATTGCAAAATTTTTGCAAATAAGGACTGCATGGAATATTCTGAAATGTATTTTAAGCTAGTCTAGAGGGCGTGGTTGCAAAAATGTTCTGCTCGCTTCGTTCGCAAGGAAGCTTCCTCTTTGAATATACCTAAGGCCCCCGACAATCTCTCGCCGCCCTCCCAATGTACTGCTAGCATAACCATTGCCACATAAACTCATAGGCATAAAATGTGGTGAAGCATTTCAGTGCGTTTTTAAAAAGTTGTCTTTTTAGTCTAATAATGTTATCAACTTGAGCCCCCTCATTCTGAATTTCTTAGCGCCGCCCCTGTACCTCATTATTGATCTCATTTTTTTTTAATCAGATACCCCTACCTTGAAGGCTCTTGATTGTCTTGACTTGACATGCTTAATCACATATGTTTGTGAAATGATTTACTCTGCCTCTAATTTATTTTATGTTGGGGATGGACCTGAAGGAAACATATTTTGCAGCAATTTTTAGCCATATCAATTAATTAGCAATAATTGTGTAGATGAAGTCTTAACAGTGGCGGAAATTCATGCTTTCATTTAGGAGGAGAGAGGGGGCCCATGCCTACGATTTTCCGACAAGAAAACATCTTGCGTCATGTCTAATTTTAAGGAAACTGCACATTTTGATGAAAATAGGTGATTTTTTGGCGGGGCCCTTAAGAAATTGTTGCTGACCACGCCGTGATTAAGTAGCAAGAGAACAATCCATTTGTAATATTTGATATCAAGATCGATATCTCATCTAAGACAATTGATGATACAAGAAGCGGACCGATTACACTTTTGACAAGTCGTTCATGATAACAACACGATTGTAGTTGTGATGTTCATTTTATGCATTTAATCTTGTTTTCTTCAGTGGGAAATACTTGAAAATAACTTTCATTTGGAAGAATCCGATGGAAATTTTGGCTAATCTTTACGGAATCGAAATTAAATATACAATTCACTAGCAGTTTTGATATTGGTCATATATTGTTTGTTTGATTATTTAGTACTGGCTAATACTTAATCAGCTATGCTATGTTCAAATTTTGTAAAATGGGCAGAGAGAGGTTAAAGAGGCTCCTGGGCAACTACGCCCCTTAGATTAGTTTAAAATTTCTTTTCAGAACGATTTCTTGAAGTAATTTTGAAACGTTAAACGGTTGTCAATTATCCGACAAAAGCCTGAATTTTCCTATGACATCGCTGATTGGGGGGGGGGGGGGGGGGGCGAGCCCCCCATACCACATAATTCCGCTACTGAGTCTTAACCAGTAAAGCAAGAGCATAGTCAAAAAAGGACTGTTTAAACGATTAAAATTTTAGAGGATCTAAATATGAATAAAATCACACACAATGCAGATGAATTCGGGAGAGACGAAACTGTCAGGAAATAAACACTAAACGAACCTAGCTGACAAAATACCGTTAGTTTAATTAAACAGTGTGCAAAACCATCTATTCATCGTAAGCTCTTAATTTACTGGCATACTAAACCATAAAAATTGTTTGAATTATATTGTAAGTATAACTTCGACCACAGGATTTTTTAGAATTAGAAACGATATGCATACTGAAGGAAACTCTCCGTAAGCGGTACTGTCGTCTTAAAATGCAAATTGTGTATGTCTGTAAGGAAGAAAGGAGTAGATTCGCCCTTGTGAAGAAGGCGTAGGTGCTGAATTCGTCTTGAAGGAGGCAGGGTACTTTTAAACGTAAAATGCTAAGGAAAGGGACAGTTACAGGTAAAAAGCAGCAGTTTCTGTGTCTTGGTGGGGGTACTTCGCCCACATCGACATTACATGCACTCTTTGTAATGCCATGAAATCCCTACTTGTTTCATATTTCTTGATTCATGCTCCTACTTGATTCGTGTTTCTTTATGGAAACTTTTCGCTTAAAGACAAGTATGGGTACTTTTCGTAGAGGAAAGTGGGTACTTGCTCGTTGAGAAATATGGGACAATGAACTACATTCTACACTATGTCAAACCCCACCTTAACCCCACCCTAGATACTACCATAAAGGCAAATCCCCTACAGAATCGCCCTTGTACATGCCCACTGTGACGTCACAGCCATGTTTCGTACCACATTTCACCATGATCACAGAAAAATGGTTCCGATTCACATTAGCAAAATTTGATCAAATATATAAATATCAACATCGCTCCAGAATACCATATTATGACGCGTACAGAGACACAGGGTGTAATTTTCTATTTACGAGACCCTATGTAATAAGGAATTCGCACCTTGTTTACTACGAGGCCAAAATCACCCTACGGTGGTGAAAATGTCATTTTTATCAGCCATGCCGACCCGCTGACTAACTTTTCAGGCCTGGCTGATGATGCATGTTCCAGGTCTAATTCGATGTCTATTATAACTCAGTCTATTTTGACGGCTCCGTAAATTTTTCTAACGAAATAGTAGCAGGTATAAAAACCAACGGATCCAGTGAGCAGCCAAAAAGCAATAACCATCAGCAGTGAATACGAGAAATACAGCAAACTGGAGACGAAGTCGACGATATGTAGCTGCAAGAAAACAAAAGGAATATCAATCATAGTCATTGCACGTGACTTTCGCTTTTCTTTTCGCTGGACCCCTAAAGTTGCCTACCTAGCCTCCAAGCTACCTACTTAGCCTCCTTCCCATGCTGCCTACAACGCGTGTGTCTTCAGCAAAGTTATCTCTAGCCTCCTTTCCTCTCGTAGTTAACATGAAAAGAATCTTGTAAAAATCTGAAAAACATTGGAGCTATTTGTCACCTCTTATCCTTACATCTTTCACAGCGTCACTATACAAACCCATTGATATGCGAGTTTTGACATAAAATTATGCTTATCAATGTTTCGCCATGTTAAACCCAGTCAAAAACTATTTTCAACATGCTGATTTATTCTGACAGAAAAACATAAATATGCGGATTTTCAAGTGTTATCCCGTGCATCCTCTATTACTGTTAGTTAAAGCTCGTTATTACGCTCTTGTCGATCTAAATACTCGATGTGTAGACTAATGCTGTCACGATACTAGTGTTGGTATATATTTGATGGGGGAGGGGGATGTGTTACTAATCTATGAATTTTCCCATTATCAGGGTGCAGCAAAGTCTATTTATCCTATCGAACCAACTATCTAACAGTGTTACGGTGGAACATAATAGTAGAACTGTGGAGGTGTGGTAGAGACACTATATGTGGGCTGTAGAGAAACTCTGTTTTTACTAGAGAAAACTTTTCTTCGATAACCTACTGTTAGCCAACTTATAACTTAACTCATTCAGACAACGATGCAAGAAAGATATAACAAGAAGCAAAGGGGGCAGTGCCTCGTAAATACCTTTGTCCAGAAGTAGAAAATGCAGTATGCGATTAGGTACAGAGCGCTTGAACCACCCATTAAGAAAGATCTCCACCACCAATGATAATCCTGAAAGAACACAAACAAAAAATGCAAATGAAAACTTTCTGGACGAGTGAGAAGACCAGAGCAGGATTCGAAGCTGCGAACAAGGATTCCCCTAAATCCTGTTCTCCTATCAAAAATGAAAACTTCGTAAACGAAAATATTCGGATTCTAGAGTTTCGTCAGGGATACGATTATTTCTACGACTTCCCCAGGCGAAGGTTTGATGAATTCCTTTAGAGACCATTTCTGGGTCAATATGCAAAACTGATAATGATTATCCTCTTTGTGTTTCTTTCTTATTTGTGTATTCTTTAGGCTTCACCACATTTTTTGTTGAATCAGTAAGGCATACGTACTACTGCGAGGGCATATCTAAACTGCGGAGGCGACTATAGACGGCAAAGGAAAATTTTCATTCAAAGTCTATGTTTTCTTCTCAGAACAGAGGGAAATGAGTAGCCAGGAATTTAGGGAACATTTTTAGATGATAACTAATTTATAGATGATACCTATGAATTTTATACTAATATTCGAAAGCTCATGCCAAAAAACATAGTTCATTTCGTTATGATATTTCATTACTGATATTTCAAACTGTGTCAGCAAAAATAAATCAGTCCTCGTTTCTGTATTGGCCCTGTTTCGATTAAGTTATGAAAATGCGACTGAATTGAAAGCTTATCTCACCTCGGCGCAGAGTTGAAAGTAAATCATAACTATGGCAATTTCTGAACAGCAAATCCCTAATATGATGAAAACTAAGAACAGGAACCCAAATAAATAGTAGAACTGATTCTCCCATATTGCCTGAAACAAAAGAGACAATTTTGAAATGATAAAAGCGAAATGAAAATCAGCTGCAAAGTAAAAAATAAAGTTGTACTTTGTTTTCTTCAAAATATTGAAAAATACTTAAACTCTCTGTGTTTTTTAAAAAAACATGTCTTTCTTGCATTATTCTTAGTTTGAAAAATTTCCCCCATATTTGGAGGATTTGCTCTATGCACTTAATTGTAATAAATTAGGTTAAAATTGTAATGAATATGTTAACACTGTTGCGTCATAAAAAATGAAACATTATAAAAATCCTTGCATTTTGGAAAACCAATTCTTCTGGATTCTTGTTCACTTATTCTCAGTTTTATCAATTTCCCTCAAATTTTGAGAACTTGCTCTATGCACCCCACCTTAAAGCTTTATTTCCAATGATGACAAACGAGTTAATACTGTCATGAAACATACCAGAGGTTCATATTTAAAATGGAAAATATAGTTGAGGATTACCTGCATAAATTCACAAAACTATAACAAATAGAAAAAACTAAAAGAACTGGAAAATAAACTTACAGACAGAATAAAGAAAAGTTCAATAAATACAGCTCCAAATGGGAGTATGCCTGCCATAAGCACCCTGAAAAACATAATATGAATATTTTATTATTTAGAAAAGCAATTTCAAATGAAATGAAAAGTCTGATGATAGTAATTTAGATTAAAATATAAACATATAGCTACATCTGTCTATTTTTTTACCCCTTCATAATTAAATTTTCATATCTTAACTGTTAGAACTTAAAACAGACAAAGCACGTCTTGAATTACTGAGAGGGGCAAATATTAACTTAGAAATAAAAAATTTTGTTCAAAAAGCGATCAGGTTGTTATTTACTCCGGGCAACTCCATTCTTGGTCTCCCACCCAAAGCATAAAATGCTGATACTTTTGGTAAATATGAAAAGTATTGGCGATAAAAAGATATTGCCATCAATTTAAACATTTCATGCAATAGTCTTTTGGACCCTTTATAGTTTTATTCCAAAGATTGAATAGATGTTGAAATGTCGGTCAAATGCTGGTATAAATTTCACAATTTCAACAAATTAAATTTGATAAATACTGATGAATCAAATTTAAATGATTCATTTCAAAATTCCATTTGGCTACATTGAATTCTTTTCGTTCCTGACTATAAATTGAAATGGTTCTGCTCATCTAGAGGTAACCTATCATGCTCTTACAGAGGATATGGTCCCAATTCAAAAACTTCTAAAAGGTCTTACAACGATCTCACTTGCTAATATACACATAAAATAAAGTCGTGGCTTCCCCCCCCCCCTTGAACTTTAGCCCCATGCAAAGATTGCACTGCCCAGTATAAAATATCTTACCCAAGCACCGGATGCATGTACCAGATTTGTTCCGGTACCTGTCTTGGGATCTGATTGGTCCTCACTGGGTGCTCAAATGGCTAAAAGTTAATAAGTCTTGTGAAGTAAATGTAAAAAGGTCATTTAATTCGTTTACAGTTACATACGGATCATGACAATAAAAATGCCAATAATTTACTTTGTTACAAATAAATAGTAAGCATGTTGTCTTTAGTATTCAGGTGTAGCAAATAGATCCATAATAAATCGGACTGTTAATTTTTACAATACAACCAAGATATATTAACTTTACTGCATTTCATAAGACGTTTGAAAGCGTTTAAGAACATCATGAAAAACAGTTAAATCTAGTTTGTGGAAGATTGGGAGTTGGTATTATCAAATACTTTCACAAATATTATAACTTATAGTAACAAAATATGTAAAATACCTTAATATATAAGAATATACTTAGGCTTGTACGTTAGCTATCGCAATAGATATAACTGGTTCAGTGAGACTAACGCTTTGTTAAGAGAAAATCTAGTGGGTTATGGAAACGTCTTCGCTTTGGAATAATTCTTTTGAAACGATATGGAAAAGAAAGAGCATGTGTTGGGTTAGCGAAAGCTATGACTCAAACAATACTTCACATGTCAGAAAAAGTATTTATGATAAACGGAATAATTGATTCAGAGTGGTGACTTCTATCTAGAGAGATAAAAATACTAGATAAGCCAATTTTTGTTGATGTAAAGGTATCACTCACTTGTTTACGGTAACCAAAATATGATCCAAGGAAGACTAGTGGAACTGAGATGCCAAACCACATACAAAGCAAGGCTAGCATCGTCGTAAACGGAATCTGCGGAGGAGATTGTCTCATATAACAAAGAGAGCCTTGTAATGATTAAGTCTTTTAACAGTCTTCTTAAGATAAAACTCTGTATTTCTCAGAACATCTCGAAAGTTTGGTTTCGTCAGCGGACTGCTCAGTGTCTAACCAAGCTAATCTAAGATTTATATAGAGTTATTAGAGAGAGCGTCTTTCCACGAGAACAACTTTCCAGCTTATAGACAGACGTGTGTGTTAGGATAATATTTGAACATTGCACAGGTCAGTTCAAAAGTCGTTAAAGCTAAAAGAATTTTGATTGAAAAGAACATTTTTAGGACAAAATAATTTTTAAATACTGTTTATTGGAGGGCAGTGGTCAATGGAGGGCATGAGATTTTGAGAATATATTTAGGGGCGAGCTCAGCAAAGAATCTGACGTTCAAATAGAAACTCATGATTCACATCTTGATATACTTACAGCTCCTGATGAATGTTTCGACCAGATAAAGAAATTGAGAAAGAAAATTGTACCAGAAACAATGCCAGGGTACAATAAAGAGGTCTGAAAAAAACAACAAAACAAAAGCTTACTAAGAATGAGCGAAAAAAAAGCATAAATTTTACGACGGTATGTGTATTCACTCAAAGGCCCTAAGTCGAAATAACTTAACAGCACAGTGTTAAAATAATGATCACTTGAAGACTGGTAAATGAAATCGCAAAAATGAATTTTTCAGATCGATGGTTATCTGTTAAAGCAAAAGTAATAAACAGTAATGATAACAAGATCTAACAAATACGTTTAGCATATATTGCAGCCCTTTTACTTAAAATTTAGTTGAAAAACCTTCTCATTACATGTATAACATTATATCTTTGTAACTTTTATTTGCCAGCAGAAATTACGTAAGAAAGGTTTTAATTTTCAAGTACTGATCTTTTCAGGTAAGTGATAGAAGTTGCATTTTGTGGCTATATTCCAAGCGAAAACAACTCTCTAAATTTCTATGGTTTCAGTTATCTGTTCGGTGTTTTAAACGCACGAAGACTTTATAGGCCAGTTTGGCAAGCTTACCAGAAGTGCACAGCTTTTCCAATGACTGCCCCGCAACGTCTTGTAAATTCGTCCAGCATGGAAGCCAGCAAAAACCCTAAACAGAAATAGCTTGATGCAGTGTAACTCATTTTGCATGCAAAACGCGTAGAAAGGACTGTTTTAGTTAGCTGGTGGAAGATTTTAATGTGGTTGAAAGTTTTTCTAATCATCATACAATATACGGCAGTATGAAACGTTATGATTTTGCAGCAGTGAATTTTGATAATCGTTAGCAAGGATCAGGGAGTGCAGCTTCGCCTTAAAATCATTACAAATTGTTAACGCTTACGGGAATCATGTTCTTAACAACAATAGAAACATGAAAAAACTGAAAGATTGAATACTGTCTTGACACTGTCAATGAATAATGAAATTCAAAAATTGTCATCATTGTCAAGATACTTCAGCTTATGAGTGGGAAAAACTCATTTCCCTCAAAAACATTTCAAAGAATTTCGGCTTACAATGAACGTCTACTTGTTCAAAGAATTTAAAGAAAAATATTTGCTAAATACTTTTGGGAAAATCACTTCTTATATCTAAAAAGCCTTTAAACGGCATCAGCCGACTGGCGGGGAGAGGAGAGGGTGGTCCTTGTTAAGAAGTCAATATTCAATAAAGGATAACATCTAAATAGGTCATGGTTAAGGAATTTATCTTATAATACATTCAAATCAAAGGGAGAGAAAAGAATAAGTACTGATTAGCTTATCATTTAAAAATAATTATTTTTTTGCGATTTTAAGTCATCTTCTCTGAGCAGTTAATGATTTTTTCGTAGGTTTAATTTAGTTTAATTAGAGACTTAAATCAGACTTATACACTGTTAAGAACGCCACGGCGTTTAAAGGTTCCAAATGGATGGCGTTCAATAGAGGGCGGCGTTTTTCCAAACGATTGGCTGAAGGTGCGGCATTTAATAGAGGGCGGCGTTTATCAGAGATACTGATACTGAATACTGATCTTTTCAGGGATACTGAATAGCGTTTTAAAATGGTAATTGAAAATTGATAAACGAGATGAAGACATCAAAATCGACCATACCCCATAAAAACATAAACAAAGAGAATAGCAGTTGTTAGACTTCCTCTGCTTGCCGGAGATAACATTCCAAACATGGCGAACACTGAAGACGAAAAATAAAGATGCAAGTCTTTGGATGAAGAGGTTTAGTTTTGTTTACACGTTTATCTCAACGACGAGAATTCAAAGCATAATATCTATTGAGAAATTCTAAGATAAAATCTAATCCCTCGAAGACCTTGCTTACGAGGACAGTTACTTCGAAAAATGCTGGAGAAATCCGCAACCTGAAAAAGGCTTCGGGACAACAATCAGCTCCGTCACTGTAGGAAAAGTAGCAGTTGTTAGAAAAATAAGGTACATGAAAATCCCCCCCCCCCCTCTCACAGCAATGATAAGATTATTCTCGTAGCTATCGAGAAGAAATCATTCGTAACTTTCCTCTGAAAATTAAGTTAAACCTGATCCAAAAGGGTGTGTCGCTCAAACTTGCATAAACTGGTGTAGGGTACAATGACGATTTGAAAGATGGATAGGTCTTGCTGCATCTTACCAAGAGTGATAAGCACCATGCTGAATATCTGAACACCCGAGCCAAGTAGTGCAGCCAAAAGCTTTGGCCATCTTGGCGGCCTAAACACATCACCATGGACGAGTTTCCAGCCTGTCTCTTCGGCGGAATCCTCCTAGAAAAGTAAAGAAAATTAAAATAAACAATCTTGTTTAAAAAGATTTTAAGGCTCAACTCAAAGAAAAGTAAAGCACAATACGAAAGTGAAAAAGAATATTGATTGATTTCATAGCCTCTCCCATCTATAATAGATATACCCTACTAATTTCCATCACAATAGAGGACATTGGACAAATATTACTGGACTGTGTGGTGCACTTGCAATCTTACTGCATGAAGGGGAATCCAAAGGAGTCAATTTCATAAATTAATTAGAGGTTAAAAAGGAGGCCTTCCTCAGATATGCTGAATATGCGGATTGGTACTCTTTGGACATCTAAGACTGGGTTTGGCACAACCGCTTAGTTTTAAATAGCATCAGCTGCTCAATTTAATCAAACAGGTTGATGCCATCTAATGTACAAAGATGTTTTTTGAAAGTCTTTTTACAAATGACAGAATATGGCTTTGAAAAAAGCAAACATTTTACGACATACTAAAAGCTTTTTCGTCTGACACTTCTCAGAGCATAAAACGTCAGAATAAGGTTCCGAAAGAACACGATGAAAAATATATACCCAGTTGTGGGTCGAAATAGGCCAATCAGAAAAACGCAAGCACAAGACCGGTAATGGTTGACCAATCAGTGCCGCGAGCCTAAAGAAAAATTACCAATGGAGTCCAAGAGAGAAAACGAACTCCTTCTGTCTACACAATGGCGGCTTTTTCGTTTGTATGTAGATCGACTCCAAAACTGCTAGATGGAAGGACGACCGGGCTCTGCCAATTATCCGAAACATGTCGTCATTATTGAGTTTTGCACAATCTAATTCTGTACAGCAAAATAATTGTTCAAATGATATCATAGAAAATTTAGTCCGATCTATGCAAGTTTGCTCATTGTGATTCTAGTGGCTCATTCTGATTCAATCGATTAATTAAGAAGATGATTCAAAAGCTCATTTCGATTCATTCTGATTCGAGTGATTCTTTTTTATCCAAATGATTCATTCTGATTCAAGTAGCTACTTACCAAATCATCATCTCTGTTGTAGTTAGCAATATCACGTCGAAGAGTTCTGATCATGATCATTGCAATGATTCCTACAACAAACATACGTCACTTGAATACACCTCCAATTCTAGTAACAACATGTAAACGTTTGACATTACATATACGAATAGCTGTGCTTGAGATAGGTTATCACTCGAGATAACAGCGGAACGCGGATAACAGATCAGTAACTTAAAAAGGAGCTCAAAGAGAGAATGAACCCTTTCTGTTAAAAAGTCTTTGATATTATGCTTTTATATAATATCTTAGGTATATAATTTATTATGTATCCGATCCTTGATATCCGTAAATACGTTTCTGAATACATGGCCTTTCTGCCTTTATCTCATATTCTATTACAAAATGCAGGGGCTAAAGAAAGAGAATAACATTCCTTCCCTGCCTGCGCAGCAAAAGGATTGCAGTCGGTAATCTGTCAAATTTGCCTAACACCAAACCAACCAATTACCATCAATTAAGCTAAAAATCGACAGTCAAAATTAGAAGATTGAATGGTAAAATGACTTATGACTGCATTTGAAAGTATCCAAGCATTAAACATGAACACACAAGCAAACACGGAACTTAACATCCTATCAGCATCTGACTTTACCGAGTACATACCTGATAAGAACAGCACAATAACAAGCGAGTTGATTATTGCAAACCAATGAATCTGGACATCGTTCATTGAGAGATATGTATCCCATCGAGATGACCAGGCCAAGTCACTTTTCTAAAAGAGAAACAGAACGAATAACAAAGATTTACACTAATTCTTGGAAAATTAGCCAAGTCTTCAGTGATATCTTATGGATTGGCAGACTTTCAAATCTTGCCAGAGGAAGTATCCAGCGTTGGCAACTTCTGTGTCCGAATACCTCTCATTTAGGTATTAAGGTATTTATCTTATGGTCTGGCAGAAATACTTCAATAGGCAGAAATATCACATTGACCTGATGAAGGGTTATGCTCGAAACGTCGTACCAAATATTCATTTCTTGCACAAAGTCGTTATTTCATTGTATCAAATTTTGTTCATTGATTGTCATCAATCACCCCTGGCTTCCTATACTGAATTCATAGCTCCCATTACAGTTTTCGTTCATTTTCGATCTATCATCACAAAAATATATATATCTTTAACTTACCACCCATCCAACTTCATAGGTGAAAAGGATTTCAGTTTCCTCTGCAATAAAACCAAAATTGGTTATGATAGTTTCTTTAAACAACTTGAAATAATTTCAAAACAATAATTGCAGAATGGCGATATAGTTAAGGCAAGTAAAGAAACTCGAGACTAACAATAGCATATGGCATTGTTCTCTTAGAATTTGTTCAACTGAGTTCGTCCTACTTACAGTCCCTTTTCTCCACATAAGAATATTCCCAATCTTTTTGCACTCATAGTTCAGTTATATTTTTCAATTCTGGTATATATCTGAGAGTAAAACTATAAATTCATCTTGGGATTCTTACCATTTTCTTTGATCTCCTGCGGGGACAACTTTTCCTTGCCAATTTTACATTGTTCATCTTTTCCAATCTCCACACTACCTGAGCTCAAACTGTTACAAAAAAGAAATAGGCAAATTAAAAACAGGCAGTAGTATGTTTACAGTAGAAGCATCACACATTCAATTTCACAATCTCACTGAAATACCACTTCTTCTTCTTCTTTGTGAAAATTTTACTTTCTCGGTTCAAAATTAGGCATAACAGGCCAAATTCACTTCTTATTGTACAAGTTTAAAACTTACACAGAAAGACAGACCCATTTTTAAGCATAATTTAAAGTAACTTTCAGCTGAGCTCTAAACAAAATAAAAAGCATTTGATGTTGGCAAAAACGATGGCTAAGACTTTAACCATATATGGCTAGGAACAAGCCTATCGGCAAAAGTCACTTCTTATTGGGTATGTTTCTACCAATCAGGTTTCTTTTCTTTGAGCATGCGCAAGTACGGCCAACAAAAATTGTGTTATGTTCTGTAATACAGCATGTGAGAAAAATCGCAAGATTCGAAAACAAAGCAATGATGTTGATTAATACCTTCTTACTTCAGCTTCGAATCCAACAAGCATGTATTTCGTACTGGGAAAAGGTTTAGAAAAAGAAGCATTAGTAATACATAAAAAAGAAAGCATAGGCAATACTAGAAATAGACAGTTTCTGGGAGTTTATCTATATCCACATTATAAGGTTATGTAAGCCAAGAAACTTGGTTGACTAAAAGTGTTTAACTCTTATGATAAAAACATTATTTCGGAATAAAAGACAATTATCTGAGTGGTTACTTGATTTAAGAGAAGATGCAAATTTGATGCAAAAACATGCAAAGATATTTATCTTGAGAAAGAAAATTAGGCTTCGAATCATTAGCTTATTCCACTGAGAATAAAACTTTTTCTAGTGGATGCTCTCCTGCTGCAAATTAAATCTCAAGTGAGAAACATTTAACAAAAGGATGTGAATGAAAATACATTCTCTGTGACCGCATACATACCTACTATGAACGTTATACTTCATGTTAAACCTCATGTGGTTATTGATGTAGATCTAAAGAAAAGGCAATGTAATTAGAAATATTGAAGATGCTTCTGTATAAAAGATATTAACTATAAGCACTTTACAACTGCATTTAACTGACTTCTAAATAAAACTGTTGAAAAATGAGGTGGCTCGTTAAGAGAAAATAAAATAGGTAGTTCTATAGGTGAATAGCTGAGATAAATTGTACTGATTGCACAAACCTTTCCATTAGCGATGAAACCAAGTTTAATTCCTTGTTCATACTGGGCCTAAAGAGACAGAGCAAATTTTTTTAAAAGAAAATAACCGAACGATAAAGTACCCAAAAATTTCTAGTAGAAACAGAAGACAAAGAAGAAGGGAGTTACAGATACAAAAATGAAATGGTAATTATATATACTTCCCCCAAAACCTCGAGAAGAAAACTTAATGCCGCTTTGAGGATATCAATAACAGGGCAACAAGAATGAACACTGTAAGACAACGAGAAGCAAGCCAAGAAAAAATGGGAGACAGTGAAGATTTAGACCATGAAGCAAGACAGAGAGACGGAGTAAAAAGAATACAGCACTGATGCATCCCTTGCAGCAACAAAAGCAAAACAGCTGCTTCAGTGTACACGCAATAACCTTGTTATTGATTTTAAGGCTGTTTTACCAACCAGAGCTGCAACAAATATTTTCTTTTCTGGGAACCTGGGAAACAGAACACAAATTTTTCTGTGAGGTGGAAGTATTGTGTACTATAGGTCTCCACATTAGATCTGGAGAAAATTGGGTTGGGTCTAGAGAAAATTTCCAATAAGATATCGTAATTTGATTGTTTATTACCTACATCTTTTTGGTCTTTGGCAAATGTAATAGATGCCAACTTTAGGGAAGATTAATCTGGTTACCTGTTCATTGTTTATTAGCCACCTTTTCTAGCCTTTCATTTTATGTGATTGTTAATGTAAAAATAGCTGCCTTTTAACAAGTTTTGCTAAAAATTTTCTGCCAAGTGAAAAATTTTTCTGGGAATCTAGTTCCCAGGTTCCGATACTTTCTGCTGCTCTGTTACCAATTAAATTGCAATGTTTGACAGTACTGCTATAATTTACACTTGCGACAACACATGCTTTTGAGAAATATGACTGCCATTACAGCCAACAAAACTATAAATTTATAAAACTTGATTCAATAACGGAGTTGATTTAACGGTTGAGATAGACTGGTGATTTTGTTTCAAATTAAAAAATTGCCAAACAAACGGAATAAACTTATTTCTTTTTCATTATATATATTTGTTTATTTCCTGTTTCAAATATTTGTTGTAAAGACAAAAAGTCAATTCCAGAGGTGGGCAACTAACATATATTTGCACGTTTGAGTTTTTACAGAACACACCAATAAGCAGATAGTGAAACTTCAATGTTCGCCAATAGAATTTACACCAGTTGTGATCTTATCGGCTTAAAACTAAATCCATACAAAATGCACTATTTGTGTTGTTTTCGATCAAATAAGAATTACAATTGGATAGAGTTTAGTGGAAAAAAAAGGTGCAAAGTTGCAAATCTGTCTGATAAACCCATTGTTACTTTATCTTGTTCAATGTTCTCATTGTAAAGTTGCCGAGGTTCGTAACCATCCATCAAAATATGTTGCCAAGCAACCATTAGAGCCCAAGATTATTCAAATAACAAAACGTGTTGCCACGCAACCAGCAGAGCCCAGGATTATTCAAATTACAAAGCGTGCTGCGAAGTAAGAAGTAAGGCCTAAGATTATTCAAATAATAAAACGTTTTGCCACGCAACCAGTATAGCCCAGGGTATTCAAATCATACACAACGAGCAAGTGTAGTTGCAAACGAACTAAGAGCCTTCAAACAGGTGGCAATGATTACTCTAAGGTTCTTCAAGTCTGTCTGCAAAACCCTTGTAATATAGCAAAAAAAACAAACAAGAATATTTCTTAAAAGTGTACTTCATGAGACAATCAAATGGAAAACTTCTTATTTACTCAAACAAAAATATACTTGCATCGCCAGTATCAAGCATTCTAAATTTCGTTGCCACTGGTAGATTATCAGCAATCCTTTAAAGAAAAAGTTTTTAATTGTTTGCTTGATACTTGTACAAAAATTGGTATAAGAAATTAAAATTTTTAAAGAAAGCTTGGTGGCACAAAATTTAAATTTGACTTTGAAAAAACAAATTATATAACACCAACTAAAGCTTTTCGTCTGACACTCTGAGTATAAAACGTCAAAATAATTATCGAAATTCTAACGCTTGATATTCTAAAGAGAATCAGACCTAAAGCCTTATGTCTTCAAATAGCTCCTTCTTTAAAACCAGTTGAAACTTCTTTATTTTATGATAGTTTCATGTTATACATGGTGATTGCATTTTTGCTTTAAAAATTTAACACACCCGCTTCCGGTGGTTTAACACTTGTAGTGTAGTATTGTATTCATTAAATTACATACATTGTATATCAATTGTACTTTTCAATAGTAAGTAATGGTAAATACCATAAAAGCTCTATTAAGCCCCCCCCCCCGCCCCCTGGGCTCAATAGGGCTATTTTGTTCAGTAAGAAACATAAGTGTTTCTTAGATAATCCTTCGAAAAGTCTCTGAGATCTACTGAATGGGTTTGAGTACAAAAAAGGCAGTGCATGAGGTCAACATCAGGAAACTGTGAGGCAAAGTATTATAAAGAGAAAATAATGGAAAATGGAGGTAGAGGGGTTAAAAATCAAGAGCAAATATCAAAGAAAAAAAACTTGGAGAAACATGAGAACAAAATTTTAAAAACAGTATATAATTAGTAGTTAAAAAAGACAATACCATTTATTCAGAAATAACACAACACAAGTCTCTGAGTAAGCTGCCGCCCCAAAAATTTTTTTGCAAAATAGGCTCCTGGGGGTCTTTTTAGAGGACTCACTGTTTAGGGATGATTCTTGAGGTTTTTTTAAGCACAAAAAGATTGGCAACATGCTAATAGCTAGAATGAAACTTTGAAGCTTAAACTCTCATAGGTGTGCTAAAACTCCCATTGATTAGTAAAAGCTTCACAAATTGTGAACATTTGCAAACAGTGGGCATCAAATCCAAAATTCAAGTTTGATTGAAAATATTTTTGCTAGAAAAATATATCATTAAACACAGACATTATTATGAGAGGGTTATACTCACATATGGATGGTATAATCATCTTTAATGAATTTGCTTAACTTTTCTGACTGCTCTTTGGATAACTTCATTTTAGAACAGACAGAGTGACATGTTTTGTTTTTATCCATCTCTATCTACAAAATAAAGTAAGAAGATAAAGGTTACTTGTGTTTTATGACTCTTATCATGTCAAAATAGGGTCAATGCATTTAACAATGCTTTTGGGGTCATATCTCCTATACCAAATCAGAAGCATTATACCAGGGTAGAAATCAGCATTGAGAGAAGAGAGAGTATTTTATAAATACCTCTAAACATGGGAACCTTTCAAAAAGAGTGATGCTTGGTTGAAAAAAAAATTGTATGCATAATTCTGGTCGAAAATGCTGAGACATTCCAACCAATCTAATGGTAGATCCATTTTTATCGCTTAAAAACGATTAAAAAATGTTTCCAATATATCAAAAATCTTGATAGTGTATCAAACCCACACAATCTAGAACACAAATATGAAAATAGAATTTGAAAGGACGCTTTTTATTTACTATGGACATTCAAAGATAAAATAAAATTCTTACCTTATAAGCAGTGTTGACTATTCTGTCTCCTCGCAAAACTTCACCTAATATCAAGAACAAATAGGTTTAAATAAAAATGTGACTCTTCAACTATTTTATAAAGTTGTGAACAGTGTATTCTCCTTGCAGCTCAGTTTGGAGACTTTATTCAGTGACATCACCAGTCACTACAAACTTACGAGCTCTCTTTGTTAATAAATAAAAAAACGACTGACTCCAATTCTAGAAAATATAAGGGGGTAAATATTTTTACCTCTACTCCTATATCCCTTTGACTCTAGTCTAATATGTATGGATTCTCTTTCCCCATCATGCCTTTTTATGAAGTGATCATCATTCATTAGTTTTCATTTAACAAAAGGTTTTTATCCTCTTTCAATATTAGTGCATTTAGAAAGAGCATTGTACAAAGCTTGTTGGGTTTTGCAGAAAGAACATTGAACAGAAATAAAAAGTTACAAACTTACCAAGGTTTTCAACACGATATTTGACACCTCCTGATGGCTTACAAAACGGTAATGCATAATACTCAAAGGGCAGCTGTGTCTTTATACTAGTCAATCCAACTGCCTGCAATATAAATATCACTGCTAAAATTTGTGTGATAACTCTTTAGGTGTGAAAACGTTTTACATTCACTTACACAAGTTAATTATATCACAGCAATTGCAATTTGGCTTCTGGCCCAGTTGCTCCTATCTAAGCCAATTATAATTTTAATAGGGACCACAAGCCCCCCCCCCCCTCATTAATCAAAGTCTGCTATGGCACAGCTACATACCCTGGCTCTACTTTGAAAAATACTGTTAGTTTAGTGGTAGTGAAAACTAAGCACAAATGTAGAAACTGCTTGAATCTATTGAAAAATTATCCCCAAATAGGAAAATTCATTCCTGAAAGTGTACATCCAACAGACCTATATTAAACAAGGTCTTGCTTATGTACATAAAATGTATTATTGCAATTTTCAATTTATCTTAAATATTCTTAAATATTCTCTTGAGCTGCGTGTTGAGCAATATACTTCAAGCAGTTTTTGTAATCCTATGCAAGCAAATAGGAGGTAAAATGCTGAGTTCTTTGCTAAATTTCTACTTTTCTTAGCACTTTATTAAAGATCGTACTTTCATTTCCAGAACTACTCCTGAAAATTTTAAAAGTTTCAGTTTCAGTTTTTAATTTCAAAATTCACAAAACATACAAGTACCAATTCAAAATACATCAGATACAATGATAGTAATGTAAAAAAAGACAATAGAATTGTAGAAAAGATTCAAAGCAAATCAAGACTTAAAAATTTTGGGAATCATGAGTGCATTTTTGTGACCAAAATTTACAACAAAATGATTTTGATACCTTGATATCAACTGGTTGTCCTGGCGTAAATTCTTTCGGTGTAACACCAGGAAGGTAAAACGAGTTTGTTGTTTCCAAAATGCATAAGAAAATGCATAAATATAGTTTAGACTTTTTCTAGAAAAAAAAAATTTATATCTAAATGTGTAAAACAAACAATTACAATGTTTTATGATGAGCTGCTGAAATAATTACTTTTAAATTAGAAAAAGTCATTTTGGATCATTAAATTTCAAAACAAAACTTCTATAAACTCTATACCAAAAGATTTTCATCGATTCTAGCACATGCTACTTTTGATAGATTCCCTACTGTTGAGTGAGGTGGAATAGGTTACTTGATATCTTCTTTACTCTCTCCCTGTTTACAACTCCCAGCATATTAGATTTATTTTTGGGCTGGTTTTATTAGTTTCTAGAAAAATTTTCAACTCCTCTTATAATTCCAATCTCTTTTTTTAATGTTCTTCATATCAAAGTTTACTATCGTTTAAATTTACAGAATTATTTCATGTAATTCTGAATTTCATCTCTAACTTCAATATTCTAGAATAAAATATCGAGTCAAATTATGATAAAATTTATCTTGAAAATGCATCTGGCAAATTTTCCAGATTATACAACACTCTATGAGTCTATAGTGCAGCCAGTTCCTCAAGGACAGTTCCTTGCCCATTCTACCGTCAAAGCCACTAAAGCAGTTTTGGTGCATTGTTGTCACGATGATAGATAGAAGTTATTCCAAGACCAACGGCCTTTTGGCCAGTAGACATTCAGCTATACATTTTCAGCAAGGGACCATGTTGTAAAGCCGCACATGAAGGACATTCGCATTGCTCAACGGTAGCAATAACAAAATATCTATTTATCATCGCGATAACACCGCACTGAAACGGCTTTGGCGGCACTTTGGAACTTAATTTTGATTGACAATCCCTATACTGGGACTTGACTGTATACTTGGGCGCCTTATACTGGGGAAAACATTACCAACGTTGCTCATTTTAGCTGCCGAACCAGCGTCGACAAATAATCTACTTCCAGGTTTAATTGCTTGCGAAAAAGGCTTAACAACAACAAACGTGAGGCTTTATTACTTCTCGTTCTGCTTAATTCATTGCTGGGACATATCTATTGATGAAGAGCCATCCGTTCTTGCTTTTTGTTAAATATTATCTTTTCAAAAACAAACAAAACTAAAAAGTTACGTTTAGCTTCGGCTGATTTTTCCAGAGATTACATAGCTAGGAAAGACAAATAAAGATACATGCTTAAAAAAACGCATATCAGTTAGTTCCCGACATCAAATAAGTTTATCAAAACCAAGAAATGAAAAAAGATAGTCAGAAATTACCTTCGCTGTGGAAAACGCCATCTTGACAACTGTTCCAAGTGAAGTCAGGGAATTTGGAAACGAGGCCAATGACAAAGTGTGCCGTAGAAATGGTGCCCACTTTCAGAGAGAGTGAGCTTGTTGGGAAGATAAGGTCTCACTCCTATTGTTTGAGACAAAAGGCTTTTAGGTGCCAGTTACACTATACCGGATTGCTATCGGAGCGGAGTAACTTTCATATCGGATAGGGGTTTGAGTTACACTACGCCACACCAATCCGATACACAACGCTCTGATTAGCTGAGTGAAAATCACTCCGCTCTGGAGGTGATACGAAATCACTCCGGAGTCATTCCGTAGCGGAGCTATGTAGTGTAATCGCACGAATCCGATATGCTCCACTTTGAAACAATAGATTATTGTTTTCTGCTTGAAGCAATTCGATCGATAGTGAACAATGGCGCTTTCTGAGATTTTGTTGCTGTTGGATAATGCCAAATCGAAATCGTGAAAGCATTTTCGTATTTGGATTTCATCTCTTCCCGAATTTCAATGAAGTGGCCCTTGGACGAAAAACATACTTTAACACATCAGATGGAACACAATCTCGCTATCCGTCCTACGAACCCTATCATTTATCTCTCAGTTTCATGGTTCTTTTCGTCATTTTACGCATAGCTATTGAAAACGAATTCGCAACAGCACATAGATTATAAATACTATCAAAAAATTTAATCTGGTGGATTTTGTGTACCAGAAATGCAAAGGAATGCAGGCTAATGAGCGAGCGGAGCGTCGTAGTATAACTGCTACCCTAAATATCACTCCGCAGTAAAAGTTACTCCGCTCTGCTCCGCTCCGATAGCAATCCGGTATAGTGAAACTCTACCCTTAATGATTTGTTCGAGCCAATCAACGTCAAGGGGCAGGGACGCATGCGTATTCTTATGAATTATCCCTACAAAATCCCCGGCCATCCTCAACACCCAAAGCCAGGGAACACAACGAGATCTCGCAAACATGTTGAGAACAGTAATTTTAGCAATTTAAACAAGTTTCATCAATTTCTGAGGAGTTTTACGCAAATATTTAAAGGACGTTATTTCGTTTATTTTTCATTTAGGGGTTTCCTCGGAGCTTATTTGTAGATGTAGTTAAACGGGAAGATCAAAATTCGAAGCTTTCCTTTCCGCCTTGAATAATTGAATTGAAGGTACGTTTTCTGTTGTTTTAGTCGATAAAGTTGCCTTGGTCTGGCTCTAGTGTCGAAGGTCAGTTCAAATTAGGTTGTATTGTTTACATCGAATGTCTACTCTAGGTGAACACTTCGGCCGCGTCATAAAATTCTCGATGTTTTTACTTACCTTTGGAAGTAAAGTGAGCCTTAATACAAACGAAAAACATTAAAACAACAGAGAATCCAGGCAGATTTTTCAGTATAAAAGATGTTTCTGCTATGATCAAACTCCCATGTCAATGTGAATGTTAGGCTCCGACCGCTCAATTAGTTTTGAAATTAGATCGAAAACTTCTGTTTGTTCCATTCTTGAGTCTCGGAGGGTTCAATGCCCCTTTGACTCCAAATATATAATACGCATGTGCAATGGCCCCAAAACAGGGGTACTCATTTCACATTCAAGAACTTGCTGCATCTCATCTCCCCAACAAGAGCTGTGAATCTTTTCTTTCAGAGTGAGCTGTGAATCTTCTCTTTCAGAGTGAGCTGTGAATCTTCTCTTTCAGAGTGAGCTGTGAATCTTCTCTTTCAGAGTGAGCTGTGAATCTTCTCTTTCAGAGTGAGCTGTGAATCTTCTTTTTCAGTGTGAGCTGTGAATCTTCTCTTTGAGAGTTAGCTGTAAATCTTCTCTTTAAGAGTTAGCTGTGAATCTTCTCTTTCAGAGTGAGCTGTGAATCTTCTCTTTCAGAGTGAGCTGTGAATCTTCTCTTTCAGTGTGAGCTGTGAATCTTCTCTTTCAGAGTGAGCTTTGAATCTTCTCTTTCAGAGTGAGCTGTGAATCTTCTCTTTCAGAGTGAGCTTTGAATCTTCTCTTTCAGAGTGAGCTGTGAATCTTCTCTTTCAGAGTGAGCTGTGAATCTTCTCTTTCAGAGTGAGCTGTGAATCTTCTCTTTCAGAGTGAGCTGTGAATCTTCTCTTTCAGAGTGAGCTGTGAATCTTCTCTTTCAGAGTGAGCTGTGAATCTTCTCTTTCAGAGTGAGCTGTGAATCTTCTCTTTCAGAGTAAGCTGTGAATCTTCTCTTTCAGAGTGAGCTGTGAATCTTCTCTTTCAGAGTCAGCTGTGAATCTTCTCTTTCAGAGTGAGCTGTGAATCTTCTCTTTCAAAGTGAGCTGTGAATCTTCTCTTTCAGAGTAGCTGTGAATCTTCTCTTTCAGAGTGAGCTGTGAATCTTCTCTTTCAGAGTGAGCTGTGAATCTTCTCTTTCAAAGTCAGCTGTGAATCTTCTCTTTCAGAGTAAGCTGTGAATCTTCTCTTTCAGAGTGAGCTGTGAATCTTCTCTTTCAGAGTGAGCTGTGAATCTTCTCTTTCAGAGTAAGCTGTGAATCTTCTCTTTCAGAGTGAGCTGTGAATCTTCTCTTTCAGAGTCAGCTGTGAATTTTCTCTTTCAGAGTGAGCTGTGAATCTTCTCTTTCAGAGTGAGCTGTGGATCTTCTCTTTCAAAGTCAGCTGTGAATCTTTTCTTTCAGAGTGAGCTGTGAATCTTTTCTTTCAGAGTGAGCTGTGAATCTTTTCTTTCAGAGTGAGCTGTGAATCTTCTCTTTCAGAGTGAGCTGTGAATCTTTTCTTTCAGAGTCAGCTGTGAATCTTCTCTTTCAGAGTGAGCTGTGAATCTTCCCTTTCAGAGTGAGCTGTGAATCTTCTCTTTCAGAGTGAGCTGTGAATCTTTTCTTTCAGAGTCAGCTGTGAATCTTCTCTTTCAGAGTCAGCTGTGAATCTTCCCTTTCAGAGTAAGCTGTGAATCTTCTCTTTCAGAGTGAGCTGTGGATCTTCTCTTTCAAAGTCAGCTGTGAATCTTCTCTTTCAGAGTAAGCTGTGAATCTTCCCTTTCAGAGTAAGCTGTGAATCTTCTCTTTCAGAGTAAGCTGTGAATCTTCTCTTTCAGAGTTAGCTGTGAATCTTCTCTTTCAGAGTGAGCTGTGAATCTTCTCTTTCAGAGTGAGCTGTGGATCTTCTCTTTCAAAGTCAGCTGTGAATCTTCTCTTTCAGAGTAAGCTGTGAATCTCCTCTTTCAGAGTGAGCTGTGAATCTTCTCTTTCAGAGTGAGCTGTGAATCTTCTCTTTCAGAGTCAGCTGTGAATCTTCTCTTTC